CAAATAAAGCAAGCGCGACTGAGCCAGACGACAAAGCAGCGCAAAAAAAACCAAACAGGGCAAGGGGCAACGGACCACTTGTACCTTGCCCCTCAAGGCTGCGCTAAGTTTGCGCGACGAGGACCTGCTATTGGGGTTGCACATGCAAGATAAACAGTACCTGAAAAACTAGCCGAGAGATACACAAGATACACAAGATACACAAATTATACTCCGTAGATGAGCATTGCGCTGCAGTGCTGTGTCGGACGCCAGTGACACAGTCGTTCCTTCTTGTCTCGACTTTGCGTTCTTAAATTTGGCCAGGCAATGCCTGTTCGACTCTCTCGCGCCTTCCGTTTTGTTGTCTTGTGAGGAAATATGTAGTTAGTCCATCGTGGCTTCCCCTTCCTCATCTCCCTGGCCCCAGCAACGTGCTTTTAATGGAGCATTTCTTGTCTGGGACCCAGAACTTCTCGGCCAGCAAGCACAGGCCATCTGACCATCTGTCCGCTCACCCCCAAGCTTTGCGTGTCGCGTTAACTTATTTCGTAATGGGGCGACCCAGGAGCTGAAGACGAATAAAAAATACAACAGGGCAAATTAAATCGTCGCAGCGAGAGCAAGATATCGCACTTGCCCCTCCTGGTCCTCCTGGTCCTCCTGGTCATCCTGGTCCTCCTGGTCCTGGCACCGATCGCAACTGCCGTTTCGTGCGTCTACGACGTTTGTGTATCCCCTCACAGGAAGGCATGACCGAGCATCTCCTCCGAGGTTTCACGGTCAACAAGCGCCTGTCGCTCTTTCTGTTTTGATGTCCTTTTGTCTCTCTACGTTGCTGTCTATCCTGTTGTTTTGCCGATCCAAACCACAAAGGTAGCTAGTCGTCACACATCCCAACTCTCACTTCTCTTTTTTCTTTTTTCTCTCGTTGGCCCCCCTCGTCTGGCATTCCCACATCTGTACTGTGTATTTCTCCAATTCATCCACACCCACCTTCAAGAACCCAATCCACACCCCTGTTACGCATCTCGATTGACACCCGGCTTGGGCCCGCCATTGTATCTTACCAATTGCGCGCTGTTCCCAGTTTTCTTGGCTTTTTTTTTTGCTTGGCCTAATCTGTTTCTGTCTCTCATTTTTTTCTACTTTCTTTTGGCCATTCTCGCTAACTGGATGCTCTTTCGCGTGACGGTAGCTGCACCTGTTCCAGAGCTCCCATTTCCCAATCCGACTCCTTATTTATCTATTCCCACCGCCTCGTTTCGTCCCCCCTCCCTCACCCCCCCGGAGACTCTTCTTTTCCTCTCTCCCTTTTCCCTTTTTGGTCCTTTTTGGTTCCTTTTATTTTTGTTCTTATCTCGCCTGCCCCCTCGTTCTTGGCATCAGATCGTGGAGCATCGACAACAACAAACTTCGATTCACATCGCCATTGCACGGCATTGTTATCGCCAAATACGACGTAGCCTCTGCATAGCTACGTGAGCCCTGCTCCTTACGTTATCACGCTCTCACTCTTGTTGCGTCCGGGCGGCTTCCTGGATTCGTCACAGCCATGAGCGACTCCAGCGACACGCCGCAGTCATCATCGCTGCAGGGTAAGGCTCTTCTCCTTGCCGAGCAATTCCAGATTTGAGATTACAGCCTCGTCTGGACTGGGACACCGCTTGCTGACCAGAGCTTCATTACAGGCCTTTACCTGACCATTGGTCCTGTGGCCGCAGTCTCGGCCATTTACTTCCTCATCTTCTTGGTGCTCCGTCGTAGCCAGCCTCGTTGGTATGCGCCGCGTACCTATCTTGGCTCTCTCAAAGAGGAGTATGTTCTTGCTCTCACAACACCTTTACAGCAACGGCGTGACAGCTGTGGCTGTTGCCTCTATCCTGTGGACTTACTAACAGGCCTCACTCCTTTCACAGAGAGCGCACACCCAAACTCCCCAATGGCTTCGTGAACTGGTTTCGGAAATACTTCCACCTGCCTGATGTGTACGCCCTGCAGCATCAGTCCCTGGATGCGTACCTGTTCCTCCGTTTCCTGCGCATGACGGTCATCGTCACCTTCGTGGGCTGCCTCATCACCTGGCCCATCCTCTTCCCCGTCAACGCCACCGGCGGCGGCGGCCAGAAGCAGCTGGACATTCTGTCCTACTCCAATGTCGACAGCAGCACTTTCAAGAAGCGCTACCGCTACTTTGCGCACCTCTTTGTCTCTTGGGTCTACTACATTTTCATCATGTACTTGATCTTCCGCGAATTCGTCTTCTACATCAACCTGCGCCAGGCCTTCCTGCTCAGCCCCGTCTACTCACAGCGCATGTCCTCCCGCACCGTGCTGTTCACCTGTGTGCCCGAGGCTCTCTGTGACGAGCGCCGCGTGCGCAAGGTGTTTGGCGCCCATGTGCGCAACGTCTGGATCAACCGCGACACCAAGGAGCTCGACGAGCATGTCAAGGACCGCGATAAGGCGGCTTTCCGCCTCGAGAAGGCCGAGGTCAAGCTCATCAAGGCCGCCAACAAGGAGCGCCAGAAGGCCCTCGCGAAAGGCAACGCCCCCGAGATTAAGGACAACGTGGCTGCTGCGCCCGGTGAGGGCGAGTCGGGCAGTGTTGCCGCCCGCTGGCTCGCGCGCAAGAAGCGCCCTACCCACCGCACCGGTCTCCTGGGCCTGATTGGCAAGAAGGTCGACTCCATTGACTACTGCCGGTCCGAAATTCAGCGCCTTTCGCCCCTGATTGTCCGTGAGCAGGCCGAGTACCACGCTGGCACGCCCAAGCCTGCCTCTGCCATTTTCGTCGAGTTTGACAACCAGGCCGCCGCCGAGAACGCCTACCAGTCCCTGGCCCACCACGAGGGCCTGCACATGGCGCGCTTCATCGGCATCACGCCCTCGGACGTCATCTGGTCTTCGCTCAACATCCCCTGGTGGCAGTTGGTTATCCGTCGTTATGCCGTTCTTGCCTTCATTGCGGCGCTCATTATCTTCTGGGCTATCCCTGTCGCTGTCGTCGGTGTGATCAGCAACGTCAACTACCTCGAGACCATCTCGTTCCTCACTTGGCTGAAGAAGGTGCCCCAGGTCATCATGGGCTTCATCACCGGTCTTTTACCCTCGGTCGCTCTGTCCATTCTCATGTCGCTCGTGCCCGTCGTCATGCGTCTGTGCGCCCGTCTGGCTGGCGAGCCCTCCACCGCCCGCGTCGAGCTGTTTACCCAAAACGCCTACTTTGCCTTCCAGGTTGTCCAGGTGTTCCTCGTCACGACGGTCGCCTCGTCCGCCTCGGCCGTTGGCAAGCAGATTGCCAGCAACCCGGGCTCCGTCACCAGCCTGCTGGCCACCAACCTGCCCAAGGCGTCCAACTTCTACATGTCGTACTTCATCGTCCAGGGCCTGACGGTCGCTGCTGGTGTTATCTCGCAGGTCGTGGGCTTCTTCATCTTCCATCTCATGTACAAGTACCTCACGGGCACTCCTCGCGGCATGTACCAGAAGTGGGCCAGCCTCAGCACCATCTCGTGGGGCAGCACTCTCCCTGTCTACACCAACATCGCTGTCATTGCCATCACGTACTCGGCCATTGCGCCCCTGGTGCTTGGCTGGGCGTGCGTGGGCATGGCCTTCTTCTACTTCGCCTACCGCTACAACGTCCTGTTCGTCACGGACACGCAGATTGACACGCGCGGTCTCATCTACCCGCGTGCCCTGAAGCAGCTCATGACGGGTGTCTACCTGTCGGAGATTTGCATGATTGGTCTTTTCGGTGCTTCCGTTGCCCCGATCCAGCTCGCCCTGCAGGTTGTTTTCCTGGTGTTCACCGTGCTCTTCCACATCAGCTTGGTGTCGGCCCTCGACCCTCTTCTGTACAACATGCCCCAGAGCCTGTTGGCCGAGGAGGAGGCCCGCCGCATTGGCGATGTTGAACGCGTGCCTGCTGGCGGTGCTGCTCCTGCCGGCGGTGCTGCTCCTGTTGGCGTTGCTGGCAGCGGCCCTATCCCGGCCGAGATTGCTCCCGCCGGTGCCTCGGGCGCGGGCGTGAATGTCGCTCAGAACCGCCCTGCGCAGAGCAACACCGTGGTGAACCCGGCATCGACTCAAGGTGGCGCAGAATACGAGAAGTATGGTGACGCTGGGGCTCCTATCGGTGTTAAGGGTGCCAACGGTGCCAATGTTGCCAACGGTGCCAACGCGGATGTTGGCGCCCATGGCCACACGGGTGCTCTTGCTGGGCCTCCTCCCAAGGGCAACATTCTTCTGCGTTTCCTCAAGCCTTGGGTGTTTTCCAACTACGAGTCCATGCGCGAGCTGGTTCCGCACCACGCAAACAATGTGAACTTTGGGAACATGTACACCCCAGAGGTTGAGCGGAATGCATACGTTCCGCCATCGGTGGGCAGCGAGCCTCCGTTGCTGTGGATTCCCGAGGACCCTGCCGGTGTTTCGAAGCAGGAGATCGCCCACACGCAGCCCTACATCAATATCACGGATGCGGGCGTCACTTTGTCTGAGAAGGGCAAGATTGAATGGGACCAGGACAACATGCATCCTCCCATCTACACTGAGCGCGTCCTCTACTAAGCACCAAGTCGCTCTAGTGACGGTATTGTCATTGGTGTGTATTTGGATACGGCACGTCTCCCGCCACAAACACTTCTTTAATTCTCTTTTCTTATTATTCCCTGTTGTCTTAATTTCTGGCTTTTCTTTTCCTTTCTCGTTTTGTTTACTTTATTTGGCTACATTGGACCGATGAAAACGCACGGAATCTTTGTGCCAGGGCGATACCAAAAACAATAAAACATACATCATTAGTCAGGATTGTGCGAGTTGGTGTCGCTGAGATGGGCCTGCATTTTGGGAGGCAGGCGTGGAGTTGGACTGCGTTGACTTTAGGTTAAAGGAACGCCGAAAGATATCCCGGGAGCGTGTAGTTTTGCTTGTTATTGTTTAATAAAAGGACTTTCAATGCCACATGCAGTCTATATGGGTATAAGTGACAGAGTATGGGGTACAGTAGGGACGGCTCATAATGGATGCTCGACACCCAAACAAACGGCCGTGGCATACTCGCCATCGTGGCTGATGCTGATGCGGGCCTCTTGCTCGACGATGCCGTCGTCCCTTTCCAGAGAGTAGACACGGACATACGCCAGCGGCGGCCCACTGCTGGCATTCCGCCGCCGCACGACATCGTCGCCGGTTGCGATCGCGTCGCCTGTTTTGCTGATGCCGCCCGTTTGCTGTGACGCTGGCCGTCGTGCAATCCGCACGTCCTGCAGCGTCAGCCCCGGCAGGTGTGGGTGCGCCTTGATGGCAGCCTCTTTGGCCGCAAACCGGCTGGCCAAGTACTGCGCCGCCCGCCACAGCGGCGAGGTCTCGACGGAGGTCTCGGAGGTCTCAGAGGTCCCAGCAGCAAGGTCTGAAACGGAAGCACCCCTCGCCAGCAAGGCCACTGCGGTGTGCGCGGACATCGTAGTCGACGACTGCGACGGTGACGGTGATGTTGATGGCAGCGTATGTGGTGACCCTAGGGCAGCCACTTCGCTTGGTGTTAACACACGCCGGATGAAGCGAGATGCTGTCGTCTGTGTTGGCGGTGGCGACGGCGACGACGATGACAAAGGCGACGCGGGCCGGGCCTTCTTCAGAATAGCATAGACACGGGCGACATGGCAAATGTCGGTGCCGACGTGCAGCTGTGGCACGCCAAACGGCAGCACACGGGACGCTGTCCGGACGGTGGCCGTCGGGCGCATTGCGTGGGTTGTTGTATATGAGCCTTGTGCTGGTGATTAAGCAGATGTGAGAGTGCATGAATTGAAAGTGAGGTTGAAAATGAGAACGGCGAACTGGGACGATTAGGTAAGCCTTACTGGGGCAGCGACCCAGCGACCTGCAGCAGGACAGGATTTAGCGCAACACAAGACCTTACCCAAACAGCCATTTTACAAGTCACTTACTTGTATTTTCCGGTGTCCTGACACAACAACATGCTTTCCTGACATTGTGGGTTTTATTTATGCAACTCCATACTATGTAGACACATTTCAAATGTTACCAAATTGCCGAATTATAAATGAAAAGCAGGCGAAACAGGAAAAAAACATAGACAATCTGATGGGTTTCCAGTCATGAACCAAGGGGATGAATCAATACGGCCAGGAGGCGCAGTGAGACCTTGGCTATGCAATTGTTGTAACGTGCTATGAGATGTTGTGAGATATCGTGACGAGAGTTCAAATACGGGTGAAAGGGTTCGTGATCATTGTAACTGTTTTTTATTGTTACTTTTGTGGTGCTTCGCCGTGGCATGAAGATTTTGTCCATGGATGGGTACAATGCGGACGATGGATCCTTGTCGTTTTGGTGTCCCATGAAAAAGCTGTGTAGCAGACAAACGGTATGGTTTCTCAGTTTTGCTTCCGTCTGTTTGAAGGCTTGTTTACTGCTGCTCGTCAAGCAGAGGAGCACGCTCCGAGTCGCGCGGGATGACCAGCACAGACTGCTGTCTGCCGGTCCACACAGGCAATGCCACGGCGACCGTCGCGAGGAACAAGACGCTCATGACGATAAAGGCAAAGATCCACTGAAGGGCAATGAACTGGCGCAGGAACTGGCCTGCGCCCAGCGCGGCGGCCAGAACGGACAGCGCAAAGCCCATGGAGTAGTCGGCGTAGACCATGATGTAGAAGAGACCGTACGCCAGGATGGCCCACACAAACACGTTGGCCAGGATGCGCATCGCCAGGCTGTGGGCATGCGGCACCATGATGGCGCCGTTCCAGTAGATGGCGACAAACGTCCAGGCCAGCGGGCCGGCAACGGTCGGCGTGTGCACGAGGCCGCGCGGGTGCGAGGCCGACGGGTGGCGGAAGTACAGGCTGGTGAGGTTGACAAAGTTGAGCAGCAGCACGACCTCGGCCCAGAAGAAGTGGCCACTGACAAAGAGCAGCACAAAGACGGCGTGGAAGACGTTGTTGACGATGAAATGCGAGCCAACGGCAACGGCGGCGTTGACGCGCTCGGACTGGTGGGCCGACGCAAAGAGGTGGCCCAGGTAGCCGGCCTGGGAGACGAAGAGGCTGACAAAATAGACGTAGACGATGACCATGTTGAGCGAGAAGGCCGACGGATGCAGATGGTTTTGCCGGGCGATGCGATGGGCGTTGTGGCCCCAGCCATGCGGCGAGCGGACGGAATAGTAGACGGAGACGGCGACGGAGAGTGCCCAGGAGGCGAGCGTCAGCACACGGTAGGTGGCGAGCTCGCTGCGGGTGCGGCTCTCCTGCCGGGAGAAGGGGTTGAGGCGGTCCATGATGGCGGTTGTGAAGCGGTGCCAAAAACTGATGTGTTGACGATGGTTGGTGATGAATGCGAACGAGGAAAGAACAAAGAAGCAATTGTGTTCAATGGAGAAAGAATTCAGTTCGAAAGCGAGGAAGGAGCCAGGAGATGTGGTCGTGGCACTTGTAAGGAAGGAGCAGACGAAATAGGAAGGCAAGCAAGGAGATACTCGTAAGCTATGACGGCAGCGGAGGCAGGCACGGCTGGGATCAAACGCGGGGAAAGAGCAGGCAGCTGGAGCGAGGGCGGGTGACTGCCAAAAGCGCCGATCCGCAAGCTGAAGTGACCAGTGGCAGGCGAGAATGGGCAAGAGCGAGCTTCAACGGGGCGAAATAATCCGGCTATAATTTGTAACTATGGAGAATATGTAGAGGATGGCGACTCTGGACGGCGAGACGTGTTGTCTCACGTTGTTCTGTGATCTGGACATTCCTCTCTCGTCCAATCCACCAGCATCGGAGAGTTTACAGACTCGATTGGAATCGTCTACGCAGTATGCAACGGCCAATTTCAACGGTCGAAAACGAATGACAGCAAGTCTTTGCAAGCATCGCACACCGACAAACAGAACGGCATCCAAGTGGCAGAACAATCACGGAGAGAATGTTCCCGTCGCCCCAAAATCGATGACGACGCCATGTAACAAAACGGGGTAGCGTTGTACTCGCAGAGCGGCTGGACTCGGCCTTTGTTTCGCGGGCATCGCTAACGCAGCCCCACACTAGCTCTCACAACATGCGAATTAGATATGGCTGTTGTCATCGAGCCAGTGGCCTGGAATCGCGGCGAGCATTCTCCCTCCTGGCCTAGGCGGGGCGGTGCTTTTTATACGGTGCTTTTTATACCATTGATTTAACACGCCGGCGTGGTTGCGATCGGATAGCAGCTCTTGACGGTTTTTTCAAGCTTCGTTTCCGTTTCTCCTCTGACCCGAGTTTTTGTATCGCTATTCCATTGTCCCGTGTTCCATTTGCTGGCCTTGAAAGTAAACGAGGAAAGAAAAGAGTAAAAGAGGAAGGATTACAACAGTACGTACAGACGAGTTGGGTATTGTCTCGAAAACAGAGACGGCACAGAAGTACAAAGCGAAGCTACGGAAGAAAACGACGGAAATGAAAGGACAGGACAACAACACAAGAATGGCCCAAATAATAAAGAGACGAGACTCCTGCACCAGTCTTATCCCTTTTTTGTACGCCTGCCCTCCTTGCAGTAAACAAAAAATGCAAATAGTTTGCAAAACACGATATATCCACTCTCCCGATGCGCAGTATGGAGTCGGCACAAGCCACGTCGTTCACCTTACTTCTGCATCTTCCGAGGCGACCTGGTCGGCGAGCGCGGTAGCTTTGTCGGCGAGCGCGGCCGCATTGTGGGCGATGCTGGTGGTAGCGTGCCAGACGACGTAGCCGGCCGGGACGAATTCGAATTCGACGCCACCGACAGGCCTGCCGAGCTCGGCCGCGACGACGACAACGCGGCACCGCCGCCGCCTCCGCCAAAGAAGGGGATCGCTGACGTGGCCGTGAACACGGGCAGGTCGGCGCGCTTCATAGGCGACGGCGTCGCTGCCACTGCCCCAGGCGTGTTGACTTCGTTGGGAGGCAGCCATTGGAGGGGCGCTGCCGTAGCCGACAGCGACGGTACGCGGGGTGGCTGGGGTGTGCCGTCGGGCTGGTACGGAATGAAGACGGCCGGTGCCGGCGCAGGTATAGAAACACCAGGGAAGCTGGCCATTGGGTCGCCGCCAAGACCGCCCTCCGTGCTCGGCGTCAGCAGCGGCGAGTGGTCGTCGGAGCCGGCAATGGAGGAGCCGGCCATTGCCGTATCCACGGAGAGGGGTGGGCCTTCCGCCTCAACCGCCTCGGTCAGGCGCAATGTCGGGGCGGCACCAATGGTCTGGGCGAGCGGCGTGCTAGGCGGCGCTGCCGTCGATGCGGACGCCGTGTCGACGACCTTTCTGTGCAGCGGCGTTGCGGCCGCAGGGGCCGGCAAGTCGGCCGAGGACTCGCGGGAAGAAGCGGCTTGTGACGTTGTCTGCGAAGATGAGGCCTGTTTTTCCGTCTCTGCTGCATCTCGCTTCGCCTTCTCCCGTGCTTCCTTTTGTGCCGTCGTCACAACATTGATCTTGATCTTGCGCATACCGCTCGTCAGCTTGTCGAGTTCATCGTTGGTCGGTGCCGTGGACGTGGTTGTCGTGGTATTGGTGCTACTGGTGCTCGTCTTGCGGCTGTAAGCCGGTTTTGCTGTTGTCGCTGCGGCCGCCTTCTTGCGTGGCGTCTTTCCTGTCGCGGTGGTCGTCCGTGCTTTGCGTACAGAGAGTGGGGCACCGCTCATGGACGAGTCGGGCTGTGTAGCCGTTGTGCTACTGCCGTGGGCGGTGGCGGGGCGGGTTGACACAGACGTCGGTGCCGTAGAAACATCAGGTACGGCGGGCACGGGAGGAAGATCAAAGTCGTCCTTGGGGAGGACGACTGAGGCCGCGCTAAGGCGCCGACCGGTCGTCTTGAGCCTACCACCACGAGCACTTGTAGAAGCCACGGGCGTAGCGGTGGCTGAGGCCGCATCACCAATCGTCCTGCGACGGTTCTTGCGGTCCAGATCAGGGTCTTCTTCTTTGATTACGGTTGACGTTGAGGCTGAGGCTGTGGAGGCCACAGACGAGCCGAAAGGCTTGACCTGCTTGCGCTCCCGCATCGACACGCGCGTGGGCCCGCTAGGCGTTGCTGGAGTCGAGTAGTACGCGGCAGCGGGCACGGCGACGTCAATGGTGCCTAGCTGGATCTGGCGGTCGCGGCGCGCGCGCGTCGCCTCGGCTGAGAGGTCCTCGATGGTGCAGCTTGTAGTGGTGCACTCGCCAGTAGGAATCAGTAGCTTGCTGAGCTCATGCATGGCCGTGGTCCAAGGCACTTCTGGAGGTGGTGGGGGTGGCGGTGACGGCGGGCGTGACGAGGGCAAAGAGGCCAGACCACCGCCAGCGCCGTAGGAAGAGGACAGGCCGGACATGCTGCGCCGCAGCTTAGGGGTGTGGACGACGACCTTGGCCTGGGACGAGGCGGTGGGTGACGAATAGGTGGTGGCCGGGTGCGATGGCCGGTCGGGCTTGGGTTCTGGCGGCGGTGGTGGCGGCGCAATGGCGGCTTCGATCAGGTCGAGCTCAGCAGAGGCCCACCATGTAGGGTCGTATGGTGCACCAGATAGTCTGACATCCGCCTCCTTTTCATTCCCGTTGATGGACAGAGCTCCAAGACGGCTGCCCATCTCGTATCCCAGGCCAGACTGGAAGGCCTCGTCGCACGTGGTGATGGGATCCGAGCCGGCCAGACCACTCAAGTGGCCTAGAACACCGGAGAAGAGTGCGCGGTCGCTGTAGCCGCCCTCCAGGACACTGACGACGCGGCCAGCACACTCGTCGTTGGCGATCTGGGCAACATCACGGGTGAAACGGGCGTAAAACTCGGTGGGCACGTTAACCTTGTGGCGCTGCATGCTGGACGTCTCCCATTCGCTGGCGTCGAAGCCAGCCGAAATGAAGATGGCACTTCGATCGCTACTGCCTTCGCCACGCTGCACGGCTTGGTTGCGGAAAAAGGCACGCAGTTTGTGGAGCAGGGCGGTGTACTTGTCGGCGTAGAGTGCCCAGAAGGCGGCCTCGGACTTCCAGGGCTCGAGGTGGATGTTCCAGACAGTCTGGCCATGGGCATTTTCAATGCACAAACTGGCATTCCGCACCTTGTCGTCATCGCCCGATTCGCAAGGGAACGAGTTGATGTCGTGCAGACTGAAGTAGCCAATGGACGTCTTCTTCCAGGCGGCCGCGTTCTTGGTGGCCGAGGCACTGCGGGCGTTGTGCTGCCAAGCAATGGCCTGGGAACCGTCACCGTGGTGCAGGTCGATATCCACAATGGCGGCGTGGGTCAGGCCGTGAGAAAGGATGGCGTGCATGATGCCGACGTGGACATTGTTGATCCAGCAGAAGCCCGAGGGCCAGTCGGCCGAGCAATGGTGGCCCGGCGGACGGATGGCGACGAAAGCGCGGCGGCTCTGCGAGGCTGAATCAAACACCGTGTCGACAGCCTCGCACACACCGCCCAGGGCGCCCTCCAAAGCCTGCAGCGACTCAGAACACAGATACAGGTCACCCTCGTGTAAGCGGGCGGGTGCGGCGTGGTGGTGCGGCGGGCCCCGATCCATGTCTGGGCGCTGCAGTTCTTTGCCGTTGAGGGCGAGTTTGGCCTCGGCGGCATCGCACATGATCTTGAGCTCCTCCATCCACTTGGTGCCATGGACATTGGTGACGGCGGGCGACTGCAGGGGCAGAGCACGGGTGGTCTTGTGGATGCGGAAGGGCACGGCAGATGCGGGAATCGAGGAGGGGTCGAGCCGGGGGTGAGGCATGTAGTCGGCGTCGGCATGGCGGCCGCCGAGACGCACGTAGGCCGCGGACACGCCGACGGCACAGGCCTGAATGCGCTCGGGGCGCTCGACAATGGTGCTGAGGTTGGCGCGGGAGGTGCGCGGGCGGGCAAAGCGGTGGCCGTAGCAAGCATCGTGCAGGATGACGACGGTGTGCGAGCTGTGGTGCAGATCGTCGTCGGGGCTGCGGTGACGGGCCAGTTCGGCCTGGAAGTGGCTGCGGGCGATGTCGGCAGCGGTGGGCGGCGGTGGGCGGGGTGGTCGCTGGCGCTGCTGCTCTTCGCGGAGCGTCTCGAAGCCGTGGCCACTGCTGAGCAAAGGCGACCGAAGCGGCGTTCCGGGCGAGGGGGATTTGAGGTTGGAGGCGCTCGTGCGCCGCGCGAGGCCCTTGCCGGGACTGCTGCCGTTGATGCTGCTGCCACTGTGGAGCGAGTTCAAGGAGGCCTTTCGCAGCAGACCAGGCGTGCCGGCGCGCGACTCACGGCCGTTGGGCAGCGGACTGCGCGGCGTGGTGCTGTGGCGGCGGCTGCCAGCGACACTCGGAGAGCGCGGGCTGCCGGAAGGTGGACCATTGGTGGAGGAGGTGGCGCGCGACAAGGGCGACGGCGACTTGGACTTTACAGGTGTGCCGGTGGAGAGGGACAGCTGTCGAAGGGATTGAGAGAGAGGCTCGTCGGCGTTGTTGGCGTCGTTGGCGTGGTTGTTCGTACTGAGGCTATTCGGGGGATTGTTGGTGATGTTGTTGCCGGTGGCATTTGCGCCGGCGGCGCCACCGAATGCAGTCGACTGCCGGCGCTGCGGCGTCGCCTCGACCGAGGACATGGTGGGTAAGCGTCGTCGTGGTACGCCGTGTGTCGCGTACTATCGGACGTCGCGTGTGGATATAAGCTGCCTCTGCAGCCAAGTGGATGTCGACGTCACGATGCAGTGGAAAGGGGGCATTCGAACGTTGTCCATGCGCGATGGCTTTAGTATGCAGCCGACAGACAGGCCGACGTCAGAAAATACCGGACCAGTTGTTTGCTCGACCGTTTGGCGTTGTTTGTTGTGGCGAAAACAAAATGAGCGCGGGCCCCAAACAAAAGACGGCTCGCCTGACGGACATCAACCAGAATAAAAATAATAAAAATTAGTTGCGAAAAGGGGTGACGCACCCCGGAAGGGGAAGAAAACAACTACGTCAAGAGCGACCTGGCCACCCACACACGCGCCTTCCCTAGATCGACGCGTCTACAGCCTTCTTGGCGCTGGCGCTGTATTGTCACGTGGCAATATTGGCCTTCAGGGACCGTTTGCGTATACAACCGCTGTACACAGCCCAAAGGAAGGAACGGCTGTTGTTGGCAGCCAGCCGAACGAAGAACAGAGGGCAAGAGCGACACCCGGCGAGTCATGCATGATGCTCGACATTGAAGAGAAAGTGATTTTGGAATGTGAAGCACGAGGAGGGGCTTTTGCATTCCGGGGGCGATCTGTGAGGGGCGATACGAACAATGCTCGACAAATGACGCGAAATATGCGCCAAAACGCATAAATGGCATTCCACGGGAAGGCCTTGCGTAATACGAGAGAGGTGGATGAACTGAGGCAATGCCCGAAGACAGGTAGGAGGGCTCGGACGGTTTACAAGCCCAATGGAGGAAGAACTATGCATCTTTCGATAAAAAGCCTTGGCCATATCGACCTGCATCAAGACAGCCTAACGAGTGTCGTGCAATGCATCCTTCGATGTACTGCTGGGAGCCAATGTGAGGCTATGAGTTTCAAGTTAAGACGAACTTAGTCGCGGCACGTACATACGTGCTTTTTTGGTCCCAGCTTTACTGAGTACGCCGTTTGCTGCTGTGCGAAGTGCTTGAGCCTCAAAAATTCCTACAAGACGACCGATGTATGCAGTATATTGAACGACAGAAGTTTAAACGGCAGCAAGCAAACCAATACCCGGGAAACTCGAATAATTACCGTCAATAATACGGAGCATGTCGTACATACGCTCAATCTAGCTCGAAAATGGAGTAGATAAGTCGATCGGAACGTGAGCAGTGGCGAAGTAAGTATTGTCGAGCAAGTGCAACGGAGTGGAGTGTGAAGAAAAGCCACTGCATTGGCGGTAGCTTCGGCTGGAGGAGTGTGGCAGCAAACACCTGCATCGTGCCAGAGGCAGGCTCTGTTCGACATATATTCTGACAAGAATACAGATTCAAGTGTCAGCAACAATTGTGAGGTGGGTCGATTAACAAGATACAAGTTAGAAATAAAAGGAAAGACACAAAAGAAATCACAGATTGTTCAATGCAAGGGCTTCGGGCAAGGGCAAAGCAATAAATTGGTTTGTCGATGAAAAGGGCTGGAGTCACATGGTGGTGGCGGCGGCTGAAATACTGGACTGTAAACGACAGACCAGCCGTCTTCATGTCTTGAGCACCAGTAGTTGCTCCCCAGGCAGTTAGAATAGCTCAGGCCTCGACCTGAGGCGCGTTTAATCCCTGGCCGCGCCTGATCCGGCTTGCCCAGCCGGCTTGACGCAGCCAAGACCACGAGAGCCTCAAAAGTCTCTGGATCTGAGAGCCAGTTGGATCGAGTCTCGGAGATCATCGCTTGGCTTTTGACAAAAGCGAAAGGTTGACGACAAGCTGATTTTACAGATCATGAACATTTCCTTCCATCTTCTTCTTGGGCACATGATGGTTGCAAATAGCTTCTGTTCGAGCTTCATCGACGAGTCGCGAGAATAATGGAGAGCGGGTGCTTCCTACCTCTCTTACGGAGTAAAACTCAGTATTCCGCTTGCCGAACCATTCTCATCAAGGAAGAAACAAAACCCAAGTGAATCTCACGAATAAGGAGACTAGAAAAAATTGTCAGGACGGACAAGGATCGTAAGATTGCAGGCAGGGGCCGGAAGAAAAACAGAAAACAATGAGGGGGCAGGCAAACAAAAACAGAGAAACAAGAGGACCGCCTCGAGCCGTCGCCCGGCGCCAGCTGTCAACCCTCCACTGGACACACCCTTTGCGGCCACGCTTCTCCACCATCGACCCTGGGGCTGACCCGAGTCGGGCTAGCCTGGCTGCAGGACCTGAAAGAAGCTTTCCGATTTTAGGTTGGACGGAAACGAAACATGGCCGATCGCTCCGCTGTAACAGCTGCCAAAGAGAGGCCAAAAGCAAGGCTCGGTTCCATGTTTCCTCTCCTCTCCTACGTCGCTAACACCGCCGGCCTGGCCTAGCCATGCGGCGGTTGGGCAAGGTGGATGCATGGTTTTATTGATTCTGGATGGGGACATGGTAGGGGGCAGCTGATTGCAAGCAGCCTTCTTTAAAACGAAGCAGACACCCAGTGTCGTTGATTTCTGTATTTCGTATTTTTGCTTGTTTTCCCTGTTCTCGCGATAGTCGTCCAGCGTGCTCTTTCCAGGTTTGTGTTGTGGCCTCGTACCGATCGTGCCTTCCTTCCACCAACGTCTGCAAGAACGCACCTTCCCACAACCTCGCCAGTTCAACATGTCTCGCCTCGTCCTCCTTGCCGGCGCAGCCTCCCTGGCTGCTGCGTACGAATTTGCCATCCCGGCCAACCTCCTGGCGGGTGCCCATGCGTTCGCCGCCATCGACCCCAACTATCAGGCTTGCGGGACGGTCGGCGACGTCGTCTCGTACTGCGCGTCCAACCTGCCGGGCAATGCCGCCGTGACCGACAGCGCCTCATGCTACTGCTGCAACTACGCGACGTTCCTGGCGCCGGCCTACAGCAGCTGTGAGGACTACATTGTGTCCTCGGCGCCCGGCTACACGGAGGACTATTCAGGTACGCTGGCTCTCTCTCTGTCTTTTTTCTCTCTTTCTCTCCTTCATCGACGTCGCTAACAACCTCAAGTCGTCAGCATCGCCCAGTCACTGTGCTTGGCCGTGAGCAAAGAGGGCTTCCGCTGCGGGGGCGTGGCCGCGACGACCACGCCCCCCAGCACCGCTACCCGGACCGGCAGCGGCAACACCTTCCCGTCGTCTACGAGCTCGTTTTCGGGCGTCGTCCAGACCTTTGGCGGCAGCGGCGGCCGAGGTGGCGGTAGCGCGACGGCCCAGCCGCCGGCCTGCACGTCCTTTGCGGCCCTGTACGAGTCCTGCGATGCCAAGATCCGCGGCTTCCAGACCATGGACGACGTCCAGGCTGCCAGCTGCCTGTGCTACATCAACGGCAAGTTCACGACGGCCCTCGACGACTACATCAGCGAGTGCGGCGACTGGGCCAAGACGGCCGACCCGGCAGAGTACGAGTCCTACGTGGCCGTCGAGTCGTTTTGCGAGCTGTTCCAGGGCGGCAGCAGCAGCAGCAACAGCGGCGCCAGCGCCACGGGTGGTGACGTCGCCACGTTTGGCGGTGTCGGCGGTTCGAGCGGCTCGGCGTCCAGTTCCACGCCCAACGCCAACAGCAGCCCGTCGCCCACCACGACCAAGGCGCAGCATACTGTGACGGTGACGCCGACGCCGACGGCGGCCAAGAACGCGGCTGCTGGGCCCGTGCAGGTGGTGCAAGCAGGTAGCGGTCTGGCGGCCTGGCTGGCCGTTGTATTGCCGCTTGTTTTGTAGGCCATTGAAAGGTGCGGGCGTGAAGGGTGAAAGGGATTGATCTAATGTCGAACAACCGAGCGATACCATAATTGAAATAATTAACTCTATTTTTGACATACGACGTGATTCATGTCCATGTTTCCGCAAAGGTCTACCCCAAACGCCAAGCCATACCGTGGTATTTTTGGTGCAAATGCACCCACATTTTGTCTCTTTGACTCTTACCCCGATTTAGTCTCGCAGATTCAAGTTCACGCCCGCCAACGCGTCCACGGCCCAGTCTGGGTAGTCGCCTGGTCCGTTGGGATACAGATCGGCAAAGAACTCCCGCACGCGCGTGGGGAAGCGGTCTTGGAGAATGGCCTCGCGCAGACTGGCCATCAGCGCCAGCTGGTACCACACATTGTGCATCGTCAGCAGGTGCGCGGCCACCGTCTCCTTGGATGCGTTGTGGTGCACAAACGCGCGCGTAATGGCCGGACGGGGCCGGCTGGCTTGTTCGCCATTGGTGGCCCCATTCTCGGACACACTGCCCCCGCCTCCATCTCCGTTCGCCGCGCCCTCGGCGGTGGCCGGCCGACAGCACGGACACCCACAGCCGTCCTCGATAGGGCCAAAGTCTGTGGCATAGCGCTGGTGCTTGATGTTGAGCACGCCGTGCCGCGTGATGGCATTCCCGAACCGCGCCGTCCGTGTCGGCCACACGCAGTCGAACATGTCCGCGCCGAGCGCCACGCTGACCACCAGGTCCTCGGGGTAGCCGATGCCCATGACGTAGCGCGGCTTGAGCGGCGGCAGCAGCTCCGTCACGGCCGCCACCACGCGGCAGTAGTCCGCCTTGGCCTCGCCGCCCGACAGGCCGCCAATGGCAATGCCGGGCGTGTCGCGTGCCAGCATGGCGCGCGTGCAGGTGCGGCGCATGGCCACGTCGAGGCCGCCCTGGATGATGCAGAAGAGGTTTTGGCGCTCGGGGATGCGGTGCGCCGCGATGCAGCGATCCAGCCAGCGCACGCTGCGCTCCATGGCGGCCTGCATGCGCTCGGCGTCGGGCGACGTGGTCACCAGCACGTCGTCCAGCTGCATGGCAATGTCGGAGCCGATGCTGTTCTGGAGGGCAATCGAGTGCTCGGGCGTCAGCAGCATCGGCTGGCCGTCGTGCGGCGACAGGAAGCGCACGCCCTCTTCCGTAATGGTGGCCAGCTGCAGCAGGGACACCATCTGGAAGCCCCCGCTGTCGGTCAGCAGGTTGTGCTGCCAGCCCTGGAATGCGTGCGCGCCGCCGACGGCATCCAGGACCGCCTGGCCCGGCTTGAGGCCCAGGTGGTAGGTGTTGTTGAGGCAGAGGCGGCAGGACGTGTCGGCGAGCTGGGCGGGCGTCAGGCCCTTGAGCGAAGCCTGCGTGGCGACGGGCATGAAGACGGGCAGTTGGACGGGGCCATGAGGCAGCCAGAGGATGGAGGCACGGGCCCGCGTGGTCGAGCAGCGGGCCAGCAGCTCAAAGGTGAGCGCGCCGTGCGTGGCCGAGGTGGGCAGAGCCGGGAGAGTCGACGAGATGGTTGATGAAGCTGCAGAGGCTGGAGAGACTGCAGAGACGGCAGAGACGGCTGCGGCCTTGGCTGACGAGGTGGACGCCATCCTGAGGGCCGCCAGCATGGCCGTGAGGGGCGGATGGAGTGGACGAGGGCAGATTAGAGGCAGCTCTCGTTTGGCAGTGTAGTACGGAGCCCTGTCGGCTTGCTTCTGTGGTGGCCGCTTCTTGCCTGTTGGTGATTTTCTTACTTTTTTTTTTTGCACTCTCTGCCGCCGGACAACCCCGCAGAACAAGGCTAGCGCCGGCCTGAGCCTGTGGCCGCTGTCGACCCCGAAAACCCCTAAGCCTTAGAGGCTTTTCAGTGCCTGTCAGCTGTAACGCTCCCCCCAAAATCCTTCCAGAACAAGTGAGGTAACGTCCTGCACGAAATGGGTCTAGCAAAAAGCACCTGATTTTCCACTTTTTCCAGCGCGCTACGGCGGTCGCAAAATAAAGCTCAAAAGGCCTGTTCAGGCGCGTTTAGAATCCATCGCCGCTGGAAAGCTGTGGTCGGCTATTATGACACATCCTCTTTTCCTCTTTTTTTCAACCTTTTGCACCCTGGCCCCGTTGGCACCCAAAAAGTCATACGATTATTGGTTCAGGGTTGCACTGACCCAAGGCAGCTTTCCAAAAGAGGCAACTGTGGTTGTGAGCAAAGAGTGGGAAAGGGGTAAAGGAGCCGTGAACCGGGGAAGAAAATGAAAAATGAAATAAAGAAAAACGAGGTCGAGGTATGACCGGAACGCAACCTTTGCGTCCTCAACAGGTCTTTCACTATGATTTCTTCTTGTCGTTTCTCATCCAGGTATATCCATTTGGATGGGATGAATGATGAGACTAACTGCTCTGCGTACTGAGTCTTTGAGTCCGTCCTTTTATGCTCGATTTTTTTATTTTATTTTCTTTTCTTTTCTTTTATTTTTTTTCTTTCTTTTCTTATTTATGCCAATTTCTTTCCACTCTCAACCCCTATAAACCCTTACATAGGTGGCTGATACGAATTACTCCGTTCGGATAGCCACATGTAATACTTTTGTTCATGCCTTCCCATCCCCAATGCCATCCATGTCTTTTATTTCCTTCTCATTCTATTATCTATTTACTGACCACCCTCCACCTGCACCCCTCTTCGTACTTAATTCCCATTCACCCTACCCTATATTAGACCATCACCCGCTCGCGGTCGTGCACTTTATCTGCACTCTACGTGCCGCAAGGCCTTGGCCGTGACCTAGATCACTCTTTTTCGGCCTTTTATTTCTCATGTTTTTGTTCCCGCCGACTTCAGTCTCGTCATTTTGCGCTTCGTAGTTACTGCAGCATTCTCATCCCGGATGCATTTCGTAGACTTAAGAACCCCTGTCTGGCAACACCATCACCCATAATTCGTATGGTACCAGACATAGAGTCTGCCTCCGCTGTGCGGAACCAACCGGACGACTCCCCGATGCCCAGCTAGGCGGGCGCCTGGCTGCAGCTTTGTTTTGGTCGTGGTCTGGCCAAGTCGAATAAGCCAAGTCACTTAATGCCATTATTTATTGGTGCCTGTCGTAGGTTGGGGTGGACGGAGGTTAGGCGCGCAGGACCAAGAAAGCAATTCGCCTCGACGAACCAGACGTCACCTGCTTTACACTTTTTTTTTGGCTATGTTATTTCTACTTTGTTCTTTCTTTTCCTTTCTTCCTGCCTCGTTACGGACGTATTTTGTCAATGCTTTAAACAATTGATCGTTTTCTTACCTTTTTCTTTCTTTTTTGGATTTTTCTCTCGTCAAGTATCCTTATATTCTTTTCTCCTCGTACACCGTCTACTCACCTTTGCAGCTGAGCTGACTCAGTTCATTACATCACCACCTCGGCCTTGACCACCACCAACGACGCCGAATGCTCACCAAGTACGGACGCAAAGCACCATAAAATACCATTCCCAGTCTCCAAACTTTTATGCTGTAATTTTCACTTTGCCCTCTGTCGGATTACTCTTCCTCTCCGGTTTCGCGACCACATAATGCATCTACGACCTCACTGAACGATCGCTTCTACACCACATTAGCCATGCACTCCTTCAAGAGATTCTCCGACTTGCCGGCTGAGCTCCGTGTCAGCATCTGGCGCCTCAGTCGCCAACCCCGTGTCGTCGAGGTCTGGTATGATGCCGACGCCGACTGCTGCCGCACCACAGCACGCCCGCCCGCTCTGCTGCACGTCAACCGCGAGGCCCGTGCCGAGGCCCTGCACCAGGACTGGTACCGCCGCGCCTTTCGCACGAGCTCCCACCCCCGGGACCACTACATCTATTTCTCGCCCACCTTTGACGTCCTCTACCTGCCACGACATGGCCTCATGGGCTACGACGACACCGCCCGTGACTTCACTCTCCACGTCCGTGACACCGCCGAGCACGTGCGGGCGCTGGCCATTGACCATGTGCGCACCGACACCATCCGGCCCTGGGAGCCGTATAACAAGCTGATGCTCCTGCTCAGCTTCCCGCACGTGCAAGAGGCAATGCTGGTTGTAGGCTCGCAGACGATGCCGGCGGCGTCGCCGCCTTCACAATCCCCAGTTGGGCGATTGCATGACCGGAGGACCCTGCGTCGCCGTTCTCACGAGTCGATCGAAAGCAGTTCCTCGTCATCTTCCTCCTCCTCCTCCTCCTCCTCGTCTTCTTCATGTTTACCTGTGCCATCTCCCTCCTCAGTATCAACACCCTCAAAAGGTGACGTCGTGCTGGTCGACCCTCAGGGCGATACTTCGGCGATCATGGAGGTCATCAACAACGTCATCGAGTCGTTTTCGCGTGAAATCGAGGCCGTGGCCGCCGCGTCGGACCACAGCATTGGCATCGACAACAGCAGTAACAGCAGTACATCCCCGCTTCCAAAAGACGACAGCTGCAGCCCCGGTCGCACACTGCCACATCTTCCTTGTCTCATCCCCAAGGCCATTGCCTACCATCGCCAGCAGCGACGCCGACGCCGGCATAAGCACCGTCCAGCCATATGTGCGTGAGGAGGGCAGGAAATCGTGTCTCTAGCATTGTCGAAGTTGAAGCGAACATAATGTAGGCGTGTGAATATGTATACCAAAAAGAGAAGAGAATAATGAGTGGGAACCGATTCAAGGGGAAATAAAGAGAAACTATGCTCAAAATAGGTCCATTGGGAAGACGGCGTACACGAGTTGACAGAGCATTCTTTCCTAGCAGAAATCAAGCGTGCATACGGTCCATTTTGGTCTTGTTTTGTTCTAAATCTGGACATCCCGAACCACATTTCAGAGCATGTTGCAAGCTGTCCACCATTGCGACCGTGTATTTGCGTACGAAATACATGCCTCTCATCTCTACCATGGCTACATGGACTGTTGAAGTGGACCCACTTTTCTGATCTGTGATTGGGCGGAACTTACCCACCAATGAAATACACTCAATTCGCAGTTGGCCCACTTTATGCTTCAACGTGTGTTTTTCGTCTCGCCATTTTTTGTAGCTGCCTCCAAAAAAGCTTCACGTCGTCGAACAGGCTTGGCTGCCTTGCACTCACTACACCGTCCTCGTCCCTGCGCAGACGACGGCAGATCTTCTCGCCGACTCTCACATACCCAGCTGCAATGGCTTCAAAAACATTGTCGCCAGGCGCTGCGCTGCTGCGCACCTCTCGCCTTTTCTCCTTACCAGTCAAGCCGGTTCCACAAGCACCAAGCGACGTCTCAGATGTTCAAACCCAGAACTCTGACAGAGCCACCAAGCCGTTCCCAACCTTCCCGGCCATCCGGAGTCCCCGATCGTCGCGCAAACGGGGTGATTGGGGCCTGAAGCGGCGCATGCCGGACTTGGCCATAAAGTTTCGTTCAATTCGCGTCTACGAGCACGACACTATCGAGGGCATCACCGACTATGCCCACGCCCACGACCACACCACCACGCTCCGCAAATGGCAGAGTCTCAACATGCCTCTGACCTCCCAAACAGACGCTGAGCAGAGACAGCACATTGCCGGCAAGTCTGTTTTCGACGAGGACGCCGATGTCATCGCCATCGACCCGTCCAAGCGCCACACCCCCGAGGACAAGCGCTGGAAGTTCGAGGGCCCGTGGTTAGCCGGCATCACCGAAGGTGATTTCCAGACCTACCTCAAGAAGAAGGTCCGCACGCGCCGCCCCGAGTTCCGCGAGTTTCTGCGCACCCAGCTGGCTGCCGACAAGAACGCCACAGCCGCTGCCGACGCCATGGACCGTGGCGGCGCTGATGCGGCCCAGACTCTCACCGCCGCCGACATCACCGACGAGCAGCTGACCGAATACCTGCGCGTGCTGCGCCACGACCGCCCACTGCTCTACCGCCTGGTGGGCAAATTCTTGGACCTAGCACCGGTCGAGCCCACGGACAAGATTTACCAGAACCTGGCTCGCTCCACAGCGAGCCTGAGCGGCGGCTTCCTTTCGCCACTGACCGGTCTCGGCGACCTGGCCAGCAGCGCGTCGTCGTCCACGCCCTCGCCCACGAACGGTCCCGCGGGCAACCCATGGGCTCGGGACGGCCCTCCCATGTCGCACCCCTCGGCGGGCCTGACCTACCTGCGCACCGCCGCCTTCCTCGACAACCACCCAGTCTACGGCCCGCAAAAGTTCCACCCGCCGGTGCAGTCTCGCGTTATCCAGCCGCGCACCTCCTCCAACAACCGGACCGCCAAGCTGGGTGTTGCTGGTATCGTGGCCTCCAGTCCCTTCAGCGAGGCCGCCTACTCCAACACCCGCCACAACCCCACATACAGCAGCAACCGCGCCATCCCCGGCCTGAGCGTCATCGACCCGTCCGTCTACGGCGGCTTCAAGATCCCCGTTCATGTGGCCGCCGCCAAGGTCAACTCCCAGGGCCGTATCATGGTCCAGCTTGCCGAGGCAGACCCCGAGGCGACGCTTGTCCGGGACGAGCTCGAGGGCAAGGAGATCATCTATGGGCAGCCCTCGCGTCTGGAGTCTACACGTGCCGACTCCCAGCCACGGTCTGTGTCCGGCCGCTTTATCCTGGGCCGCCCCGTTCGCCCGATGGGTCTGAAAAATGCCGACTCTGCCATCAGCAGCGCCGAGAGCTACGGTCTGAGCTAGGAGAAGCGAGAGGAGGCATGGGGATGAGAGGATGGAAAAGCCTATATGTCTCATGTACTACTACCAAATGATAAGAAGAAGTATAGCGTTTTTATTCAATTCAAAATTCATTTCATCCTTCTGTGTAAGGTTCCATCCAAATGAAAACAAGACGCGGGCATCAAGTTCCTGCTCCATACAACGCAAACCTCGAATATAGTCACGTGCACGTACAGGTGCAGATTTTGGCATCAACATTGACTCGTACTTTGACCCACTTTTAAATCACGTGCAATCCCACTTCCGTACCCTAACATCCTATTTCCCTCCCCCACCAGAAATTTTCGACACTAAGGGCTCAGTAAACTGCGTGAAGCCCGCCCGAAAAATTGTTCCAACTGTCTGCATCTGCTTTTGGCTGCTCGTTTTGGCTCTTCCCACCTTCAACCTCGACTTCTTTCTCTCAACCACCACCGACAACCACCTCCCCCTCCTCTCACCACACACAAACCGCCAACATGGGTCGCGTTCGCACCAAGACCGTCAAGAAGTCCGCCAAGGTCATCATTGAGCGGTACTACCCCAAGCTGACTCTGGACTTCGAGACCAACAAGCGCGTCTGCGATGAGATTGCCATCATTGCCTCGAAGCGCCTGCGCAACAAGATCGCCGGCTACACGACGCATCTGATGAAGCGCATTCAGCGTGGCCCCGTCCGCGGTATCTCCTTCAAGCTGCAGGAGGAGGAGCGCGAGCGCAAGGACCAGTACGTACCCGAGGTCTCGGCTCTCGACTTTGCCCAGAACTCCGAGAGCGGCCAGCTGGACGTCGACACCGAGACCAAGGACCTGCTGAAGCACCTCGGCGTAAGTTCACACCCATATCTCAGTAGGAATATATGCTTTGGTTCACCGTCTAACAACCGCAGTTCGATGCCATCCCCGTCAACGTCATCCCCGTCACCCAGGTCCAGACCGCCGAGCGCGGTGGCCGCCGCTTCGGTGATCGCCCCCCTCGCCGCGACTAAGCGGTGGGCGGAAGCATGGTGGTGCCGACGATAACATGACGACGAAATATAAATTTACAATACCAAAATTTTCAAAACCCTGGCGTCCTCGGATTTTTTTTTCTGTCTCTTTTATATTTATGAAATGGCCCGACTCCGACATCTTGGCCATCTTGGCCATCTTGTCACCCTGCCTCCTCCTCTACTTGACCCTCGGCGCTCCCTGCCCTGTTTCTTTCGTCGACATGTGTGCAGCAAAAACGTTTTCTTGGGACGCCGTCGGTGAGAGTCAGAGGAAGGGAAGCAAGCGCCAAAAGGACGCAAGTATCGGGAATACCTGGATGGGTTATGAACTGGAAGCGCAGATGGAAAGTACGGGCCGCTTTGACGAAAGCCAACGCCTGGCCGTCAAAACACATAAAAAAAAAAATAAGAAACATGTTGCACAACCCCCAAGGTGTCGCGGAAAGTCATACTGGCACTTTGCTCCAGATAGGCTTTTGTCTTGCTTGATCGCCAATTCTCATTTCCCTCTCCTAGATGCTTGTGCTGTCGTTGTGCTGCCAGACCGTATTTGACCACGTATAGTCGTGACTCGTTTATTGTCGCCGTATTTCGTACTTGTCCCAGTAGACAACGTAATCGTTATAGCCAATCTTTGACCAGACACACTCGTAATATCCAGGTCGAATAGAACGCGCACGTTTTAAAGTCAAAAGCAGATATGAGTATGATAACATTTGATTTTGGACTGTCGACAATATAATGCGGGTATCTATCTATTTTGGTCCATGTATGATTCAACCCAAACTCCGTATATAAATCAGACGGCACATTCTTCTGTAGTGTGCATGTCCCGTTCCGCTTAATCATAGCGGAATCTGATCTTGTGGCCTTCGACGACCATGTGCGAAGTATCACCGCCCGTGCTGCCGGAAGCATCTCCCGTTTCCAATGTTGGCGGTGTCGGCGCCGTAATCACCTTCTTCTCTACAATGTTGACGTCGACGAGAGCCGTCGGCATTGGAGGCACGATCCGTGGTGGCTGGTCGTTGTTATTGTCGTCCAGGTCAGTCAGCGCAGCGGCAACACCGGCGTGTCCCGCATCGCCGCGCTCCATGGCCAGTGCATTTGCATTTTGTGCCAGCCGGCGCTCCTCTCCAAGTTTGAGCCGGGCCAGGTCTTGCGCCAGCTGGGCCTCGTTGGCCGCTGCCGCCTCTGCGGTTCCAACTTCTGCAGCCTTCTTGCCCTTTGGCGTACCCTCGTCCATTAACTCGATGCGAATGTCCGGGATGCCTGCTCTCTCCCACGCTGCCGTCTCGTTGAGCTGCACCTTGATGTACAATGCCCGCCGTGCGCACTGTGACGAGCACCACTTTTCGATTTCTTTCTTAGCGACAATGCCAAAATCCTTGCGCCCTGCGTTGACCAGTTTCCAGGTCCCGTTGCCGGCAAATGTCTGCCGCGGCTTGGGGCACAGCACATAGCCGCAGTGACCATATGTGTTGCGCTCCTCGATGAGGTCGTCGTAGTCGGTCGGCTGGAAGATGCGCACGAGGCTTGTGAATTTTTCGACATCTTCGTCAGCCGGCGTGGCAGCTGAGAATCCCGCGCCCTTCACGCGTGGCAATTCGGTGAGCGTCTCGATGGATAGAAAGATGGCCGACTCGAGCTCACGGCGCTGCTGAAGGATGGCGGCGTGCTTCTTCGCAATCTCAGCGTTCTCCTGCTCGGACCGCACACGACGGCTGTGTGTGGCGGACCGCGTCACGGCGCCACGGCCATCGTCCTCCACGTCGTCGACATTGTCACTGACGTCGGGTGCAGGTGCAGACGGCTTTTTCAGAATGCCCTTTAGTTGCCGGTCTGGGGCTGCCATGATAGAGGTCGCGGAGTGGTGATGGCGAGCATTTGCAAAGGTGGAAGGTCATCCTTATTTGTCACCAAAGTCGCTGAAGAGGCGCTCGAAAGAAAAGGTTGAGCTTAGTTAGCTTGCGACGCTTTTCCCGCTTAAAAGAGAGAAATGTGGGGTGCAGTAATTACGTAGGAGCCAGTGATGACGCCCAGCACTGGCAGGTAGTGCGATCGCCCCGTATTACAGGCAGGACAGGGCAGTCGCCACCCACTGAACGATGACGGTATCCCGTCGCCCGTGTCAGGCGGGCGCCCAAGCCATGTCAGCCAATCCCGGTCCACGTAGCAACGGCTGTCCAGACAGCTCGCCTGCCAACTGCCAGGTCCAGCCCCACCCGCCCTGTGCCCCTAATCCCCTGAAGCGCATCGTGTCGGCCAGTCGCCCTTACCTTCTTGTTTTACCGTAGCTCCAGGGAAGGAGCCCCCCTTCTCCGCCTCTGCTGAACTTTACAGAGCAACAATCTCCTGATAATATATTGGCTTCTCCCCTGTCTCAACCACCATCATAACGACAAGGCCCGCCTCACCGTTCACACCAACGTCTCAAGTGCGATCACGGCAGCAGAACGAGTCGTGCAGAATTGCATCGCGCCCCGAAACATTACTGTATGTCGATCCACCGCAGCCACGGCCACAGCCACGCTGCTCCCCCTTCAAGCATTCTCTCCTTCTCTAGCTCTCCTTCTCTAGCTTCACGTTTCTCCAGCAGTTTGTCTCTCAGACAAAGCTGTTTTTGGGGTTTTGCGGCTGCCATTGTCTCTCACTCCCGTCACTGTTTCCCGTAAAGTCTCTCTTCCCCGTGTCAGCACAAGGGCATTAACCACAGAAGAAGGCTACTTCGACCAGACGGGCAAATGCTGACCACAGAAGCATATCTAAGCATCTAAGCATACCACACAAGAAACGCAAGCACCGTCCAGAAACGGCACAGCACGGCATTGCGGCTAAGCTGGTGTCCCTGCCTACCTCCCGCACCGTGACCGTTCGTGTTTGAGAATCTGCAGTCGAGTCGTCAAGGCAGCGCGCAAACAGGTCAGCACAATCCCCCCCGCCTCGTCGTTTTGCCTTTTCCTTGGTCCAGGAGCATGCAGCCAAAAGTGGTTTGTGCATTGTCCATGTTCGTATGTGGCAAATCGGAAGGCCATGCATGTTATTTTCTGCGCTCTCCACGTCCTTCGCTGCCCTGCGCCTCATCTCTCCAAACGGCTGCCTACCCGATTAGCGCTGCAGAAAGCACCAGACAGCGCCAGATACCATCCGAGAAATAGCCCCCCAAAAAGAACGAAACGCTGACCGCTGGGCATCAACAGCAGCACCCGTTCTGCCATCCATTTCCCCTCTCGTCTTGCATTTTCGTCTTGTTTTTTGTCCTCAGAGTCATCGACGTCCATTGCACCTTCCGGCCTCTTTTTGCGCTCTTTCCTCGCCCGACCGGTTTTGTCGCGGTTACGTACCCCCCCTAACTATTAGGGCTCGCCCACAGGCATCCCCGCGGTTTCCGGAAAAGGAGGGGTCGAAGCTTCAAGTCGAGCCACGGCTCACCCACGCCTCAACCCTGCAAACCGGCGGACAACTCTGCCAACCGATATACAAACACAATCGAACCGCCTCTCACTCATTGTCTGCTGAGCGCGTCTTCACAGGGACGCGCTCTGCCCCGGAAACACACCGCCCAATATGTACAAAGTCAAGGCAATCTACGAATACTCCTCCGCCCACGATGACGATCTTACCTTTCCAGCCGGACAGATCATCACTGTGACGGAGGAGGAAGACGCCGAATGGTTGGTTGGAGAGTACACCGATGACGCCGGCAACCACAACGGGGGCCTCTTTCCCCGGAACTTTGTCGAAAAGTACGAACCTGTTGCGCCACCGCGGCCTACGCGCACTCGCACCAAGCGGGACTCGGAGATTCCTGCGGCCTTTTCGCCCGGCGCCTCCCCCGCCGCTGCCGTGGCCATGGCCACAGACGAACCGGCCTCCCCCCTGGCCGCTCCGGCGCCAGGTGTTGTGTCTGTACCTGCTGCCGCATCGCCTCCCCTTGTCTCGTCTCCAGGCCCCGTTGCCGCGGCTGCGCCTGCCCTCCCGTCGCCGGCGGAGGTTCCACAACATGCAGAGGAAAGGGAGGAAGAGGAAGAAGAGGAACCGGAGCCGCCGAAGCTTGATAAGACTGTGGTGTCGCCCGTGCCTGCTCCACCTAAGGCCGCCGAGCCGACGTCGCCCGTGTCTCCCGTCGCCGCGTCTAAGGCCCCCGAAGCTGCCCGCCCACCTCCTGCTGCTACTTCGAAGCCTGCCCCGCCCCCCGTTTCTGAAAAGCCCTCGGGCAACTCCTTCCGCGACCGTATTGCGGCATTTAACAAACCTGCTGCACCGCCCATCACTCCGTTTAAGCCTAGTGGCCTTGGTAGCGGCTCAGGCAGCAGCAACTTCATCAAGAAGCCGTTTGTCGCACCTCCCCCGAGCCGTAATGCCTTTGTCCCTCAACCACGAGATGTCCCGACCGCCAAAATATACCGCCGAGATGAAGACCCGGAGATCAAGGAGCGCGAGGCCGAGAACCTGGAGTCCGCTGAGAAGGCTGGTCTTGTTCCAGGCGCAGCGTCTGCAGGTGCTTCTGCAGGTGGCGGTGAGGGCGACGATGACGAGCCCAAGCCCATGATGAGCTTGAAGGAGCGCATGGCCCGTTTGCAGAAAGAGCAACAAGACCAGGCGCAGAGACACGCGGATGCCGCTGCCAAGAAGGAGAAGCCTAAGAGACCCCCAAAGAAGCGTCTCGAGAGTTACGACTCCGCGGGTGCAGCTGCCAGTGCTGGTGCTGCTGCCGGTGCTGCTGACGAGGCTTCTCTTCCTACCCTTGAGCGAAAATCCACAAGCGACACGATTGGCCGCCGCTCCGTCGAAGAGCCTGCCACTGCTCACCCACACCGCGTACCCCATCCTCCCCGCCGCAAGACGTCTAAGGATCCTGAAAGGCCCGAGGCTGATGGCAACGATGCCGATTTGTCTGGTGCCGGTGACACAACTGAAGGCCAAGACGACGAGATCACCGAACGCGACGACAGCGACGAGAAGTCGAGACGCCCATCTCGAACAATCCCCATTATTGTGCCAAGCGAGAGACGCTCCGTTGAACAGAATCGCGCTAAAGTGCCTGACGAGGATGACGGGGAGGAAGAGGGAGAGGAGCATGCCCCTGAGTCCACGGGCGCAAAGGCGGCGGATGAAGAGGATGAGGAACAAGAGGCTGGTGGGGAGGGCGAGGAGGACGAAGGCGATGAGACAGATCCCGAGACACGCCGTCGTGAAGAGCTGCGGGCGCGGATGGCTAAGATGAGCGGGGGTATGGGCATGATGGGTATGCAAGGCATGCAAGGCATGTTTGGCGCGCCGCCGTCCCAGGGACCAAAGAAGAAGAAGGCGGCAGCACCAGCTGCGCCCGCAGAAGAGACAACGTCACCCAGCACCCGTGCTCCGCCTGTGCCCTCTATGTTGGCGCTGCCTGGCATGATGGGCCGCCGCTCTGAAGAGAAGCCCGCGGAAGCGCCTGCGGACGAAGGAAACGAAGAGGAAGAAACGCCTGAGCCCATCACCAAGGAGTCGCGTTCCCCATCAATCCCGACCCGAGGTGCGGCACCACCCATCCCAGGCGGCCGTCCTGTGCCACCCGCTCCTCCACCTGCGGCGGCAGCCGTCATTCGTTCGCAGAGTGAGGGCTCTGCTTCGGACGACGAGCTGTCCGAAGCCCAGCGCGACCCCCTGGAAACACCCAGAGGCGAGCCAGCGCAGCTGCCACCGCCTCCACCTCCTCCTGCCTCCGCGCCCAAAGCACCGGCGGTCCCCACGTCTCCCCGACCCACGAGTAGCGGCCAACGTGCTGCGGAAGCTGCTGGTTCGCCGTCCTCACCAACCTCCCCGCAGAATAAGCGTGCCAGCCGCCTGCCGCCCCCGATCCCTGGTACTGCGCCAGCCCCGCCCCCGCCCGTCCAGACCCGGCCGCCACCGCCGCCTCCCCCAACTTCTCTGAGCCGCCAGTCTACCGCTGATATGCGGTCGCCGTTGTCACCTAGCAGATCGCAGCCGCTCGGATCAGACGATGAGGAGGAGGAGGAGGTTACAGAGTACGAGGGCGATTATGACACTGACATTGCCAACCCTGTCTCCCACAAGAACTCTCTAAAGGCTCATGCCCGCGATTCTAGCCTCGAAGACAGTGCATCTCTGAAGTCGCCCACTTTGGAGAAAACACCATCCTTCCCACCGCCAGTTCCGGGTGCGTCCAGAGCGCCGCCTCCGATTCCGAGCCAACCACCGCCCCCACCCAGCTTGCCCCCAAGTCTACCTCCCAGCGGACCGCCCGGCGTCCCGTCCAGCCAGCCGCCTTCTCGCCCATCAATTGGCGACAAGAGACGGTCCGTGGACGTGCCTCGGGGCCCTCCGCCTCCGCCTCCTCCACCACCTATTTCGAGCCAGACGCCGCGCCACGGTGATGACTACGACCCGTACAATTACTCTGCGCAGCCAACCTCGCCCGGTGTAGCTCTGCCAGGACTTACTTCTGGGGCTACTGGATCGTTTATGGATGACTCGTACTCAACACCCGACCTCAGCTTCTCTGTATCTGGCGCTTCGGCCTCGACCGTCACTGGATCTCGGGGCGGCGCTGGTGCACAGTACCCACCCGGGCCGCCGCCACCCCCACCAAATGCACCAGCACCGAGTGCTGGCCCTGCACACAGCAGTCGCGGCACACGGCAGTCCATGGACATGCCTCGGGGCGGTGTCTCCGGTGTGCGTCGTTCTCTAGACGTGACCCGCCCCTCGATGGAGTCGGGTTTTGTCGCCAACGACCTGGATCTGGCACCTCACTCTGGATGGTGGCTGCAGCCAAATAGCCTGCCACCCCAGCTGCAAGGTCGCAAGGACATCTTCTTCGAATCTGAGGAGTCGCAGTCGGCCAAGCGGGGCGGCAAGGTGGAGATCACCCGTGACCTATACGTCCTGTACGTGGACTACTCGCAGACAGTCATCACCGTTCGCTTTGACCCGTCCGACTCGTCCGACGTTCACCTGGAGCAGCGCCACGAGCCACCGCCGCGCAGCTTGCGCCAGGATCAACTGGAGCAGTCGTACGAGCGCTTCGGTCGTCACATTGCCGACTCCATCCTCGCCAAGAAGGACACCGTTGTGGGCGACGGGACACCACAGACGCTCGTCCTCGAGCTGATCAAGCCGTTCCGGGATGCCCTGCTACCGGTTGGCACGCGCGCTTTCGGCGCTCTTGTCTACTCCAACTTGGCCAACGCCAGCACATTGCAAAACGACGAGATCCGCGCTGGTGATATCATCACGCTGCGCAATGCCAAGTTCCAAGGCAAACACGGCGCGATGCATGCCAAATACAGCATGGAGGTCGGCAAGCCTGATCACGTCGCCGTTGTGGGTGAGTGGGACGGCACCAAGAAGAAGGTGCGTGCCTGGGAGCAGGGCCGCGAGAGCAAAAAGGTGAAGCTCGAGAGCTACAAGCTGGATGACTTGCGGTCCGGCGAGGTCAAGATCTGGCGGATCATGCCGCGCAGCTGGATCGGTTGGGAGGGCCAGAACTAGGAAACCCATGGCCAACTCCGTGGCGGAAGAGGGCTGAGAGGAGGGAGTGAATGGGCGATGACAGTGGCTGGCTGCGCCAGGACAGCTTTCAGGTCATCCAACATCCGGTCGAGCGTGAGGTCGCTCCGTTCTTGGCCGTCAACGCCAACGATTCCGTCGTCCTACATACCTCCGCCCCCACCGCCGCCACCACCGCCGCTGCTCCCGAGTTCACCTTTAATGCTAGTTCCAGACGAACGACAGTGGGCTTCGTCATGGACACAAATCACGCCCCACGATCCAGCCCTGTTGGCCTACCATTCTCGACGCAGTGCCGCACAAGGCAACTAGTACTTTCCAGTGACGGCGTTGCGCAGCCAAGGCAGCCACTCAGTCGACAATGCAATCCGGATCCGAGAAATCAGCGAGAACAGCACCATGGGTGACTACGAGACGTTCGATAGGGTTGGCCAGTCGGAGACGGGAACCATCCGGCGATTGTACCGGTCAGCTTGATTTTTGTGACTGTGCCCGGCTGTGTCTTTTTGTCTTTGTTTTTGTTTTCAAATTTGTTACGTGCTGTCATTGGCTTTTGCTTTTTATTATTCACCGCATTGCCTTCAGCTGCTCTCATCCTTGTCTTAGTCTGTTTTTTTCTCACGCATGTTAGTTTTAGTACTTGATTTTATCACGTTACCTATAATTTTCTGTCTTCATCTTCATTGCGCCCTTCATGCACCACTACTTTCCTCTTGTACACATTAGCACCAAGCAATAAGCAATAAAACTGCAATCACCACATTGTCATTAACATATATGAGGTTCATCAGATACTCTCCACGACGCTGCACATAAGAGGAGTTCAAATTGATAGATAATGGCATAATTGAAGAAAAGAGGGGATCGTGAAATCTTTATAATGTAAAACGATTGTAATTTGATGGTCAACAGAGGGTTCTGGGCCTGAAAGAAAATAAAAAATAGAGTGGAAACAAGAATGAGGACCATAAAGGCAAAGATACAAACGAGAACTCCAAATAATGATATTGCGTTGGTCATTCGTCACGTTGCCCGTGGTTTTCCAAATATAACAAAATATACGACGCAAGCCATTGAGGGGTGAAAAAGTCTGCAATACCCATACTCCCATGCTAATTTGAGTGAAGCCAAGGAGAAGACGAGCCGAAAGATATATGCCCGACAGTATGGTAAAATCAGAAGAGGATGAGAACCGACAACGAAGCGGCAAACCGTGTCGCTAAGCACCAAACAAAAAGGAGGAAGAAGAAGAACAAGAAAGGAATTAAAAAGAATACAGAAGTAAAAAAAGCCCAATAGAAACGAAGGACGCCCCGGTAGAAATTACATGTGTAGTTCAATAGGTCGCTTGAGCATTGCGCAAGGGGCTCGACATATATGGGCTACCATGATGACCGCTACTACCACTACCGTGGCTATTGCGGCGATGGAATACATGCTGCATCAAAGCACGCGGGTTGACATTGTCCATGTCGAGTGTGCGGGATATCAAAGGAACAGCAAGGCCATGGGCCTTGCGCGGCTGCCAACGCGTGCGGATGCAGTCATCAGTCAAGGAAATAAGACCGGTTGACACAATGACGCTGATAAAGTTAGTATTGAGAGAGTTGTTTACGGTACAAACCGGGGGGGGGGGGGGGATCTTACTCTGCGACGTCCGTCATGACTTGGAGGACAGAAGGATCAGCGATCCACATGTGGCAGGGTGGAATCCAGCCGCCAGCCACCTCGTCAGCATCGATCTGGTTCGGCGACCGCATCTCAGGCACGATGTGGGCAATGGGGTTCTCGCCGTTGTCGTCACGTAGTAAGTGGTACGACACCACGTTGAGATGCTTCTCCACGGCCCTTTTCCATGTGTATTTGTGGCCCCACCATGTAAACTCGTACCGGGTGTTGTCATGACCGTTGTTATGCCCACCCCGCAGTTCCAGGTCGACGCGGGCATAGTTGCTGAACTCGAGCTTGATGGTGTTTGTTGGTTTTGGCGGCGGTGGGAAATGCACAGACCGGGACTTTTCTCGTCCAAAGAGAGATGGTGTAGAGCTGGACAGTGAGGGTTGTGTCGAGGATGTGGTGTATTCGCTGGCGTGATTGCTTCCATACGGTGAATGGGATGTGGCCGGGCGCTGTTGGTGGTAGTCGGTTCCCGACGAGTTGGAGCGCCGAAACGCTGGAATGGTCGCCATTGCGCCCAGCGAGCGCAGGGCAGTTGTCATGGAACGCTGAAGGGCTGGCCGGACGTCGGTGCTGGCAGTCTTGGCATGGCCGCCACTGGTGTTGCTTGTGGTGCTGCTTCGGCCCCAGTGCTTCATGTTGTCATCGTAGCTCGACTTCCGGCTGGTCCTGCCCACTTTGTGCTTCTTCTCAGACGGGTCAATGAACGTGAGTTTTGAGTTGCACACCTCGCGGCCCGAGTCACGACTGTAGCGGCGCAGCGAAAAGTCACGCTTCGCCAGGTCGTACATGCGTAGGTGGAACAGCTGGTACGAGGTGAGAATGCGTCGACGGCCCATGGGAACAGAAATATCGACTCGCAGGTTCATGTTGCCGTCAGCAGTAAACTCGTCGTGCCGAACAGACATGCGGTCGAGGCTCGGGAAAAGTTGCGCAAATTCTTGGGGTGTCGCGGGGCACACATTCCTGTCAACGATGTCATGACGATACTCAGGAAGCGGCGGGATGCTGTCTTCGGATCTGTTCAGGCCGTGGTACCAGTCGTGGTCTTTGGAGACGTCGTCGTCGTCAGTCAGGTCCAGAGCGCTCTCGGGAAGCTGCTGATCCAGTTCCTCGTCGGAATCGGCGCCCGAAACGTATGTATCCACCGACGCGCGAGGATAGCACATTGTCGATGGCGACAAGTCCTCTTGAGGATCATGGCAAAGCGGCGCCGGCGACGAAGGCATGCGCTCACTATCAGGCAGACGAGGCGAGCCACTCATTGAAGTGGGAGCGGTGCTTTGCGATGAAAAAGGGACGGCATCGATCACGCTGCTGTGGCGGCCCTTGTTGGACTCGTGGTTGCTGCTGAGAATGGAGCCGGTGCTGTCACCGGAGTTGTACTTTCGTATTGACGGCATGACGGATGGTATATGAGATGTGATATGTGATGAGAACTCGGCGGCGGTGCTTTCTCTTAAGAGTGGTGTAAGTGGATTGGACACGTCGTCGAGGTTGTTGATGTTGTTATTTTGCAGGCAGGCGCTATCAAGGTGGATGTCGATCTGTTGATTTAAGAGTTGACTTAAACAACAGCGAGAGATATGACGGTGACATGCGGAGGCAGGCGATGGCTATATAGACAAGACCCAGATCACAAGAGATGGAAATCAGGGACGGCGAAGGGGACGGCAGGAATTGGCGGGTGGGCTGTGTGGAACACGGAAGTGTACAAGCAGACGACCCAGAAATGGTACAAAACAAAAAGTGAGGCGTTCCGTTGGCTGAAAATGCACAAACAGTGCAGCAGAGGCAGTGTTTTATCCAGATGGGTGTCAACGGCTGCAATATTGGGCTGGGACGATGGTCTCAGAAACTGGTCAAGCTATTTGTGGCAGCCAGTGGTGGACAGAAGACGAGACGGGGTGAACAACAAGCTGGGGTTCGACAAGCAGGACAGAGGAGATCTTGCTGGTTGCGGGAGAGCCGTGAAATAGCGAACAAGGAGGTCTGGGAAGCCGTCGGCAGCAGAGTGTGAGAAAAGTACACGATATATATCAGTGACACAGATGCTGCGAGAAACCACTTTCGTCGTTCAAGGCCGACGATTCACTTGTGCAAGAGGGCTTGTAGGAGGAGTGAGGTTTCGTTTTGAGGAGTCGAGGACATGAGGAGAGCGAGGACGACGAAATTGTGGGAAGCACGGGTATGGGCGCATATATTAAAGAACACGACGAGAAGGTATACGAAGTACAAAATATAACGATCGATGTTTTGGTCACACGGTGCATGGGGGCGCGCGAGGAACAGCGGTGCATCGCTCTTGCCAATCCGTCCGCGCGGGATGGGGAAAGAAACAGAAAGCGCGAGAAGCAGAGGCAGGAGCATACGACCTCTGCAGTTCCTGCATCAGTGCCAGGCAGGTGCAGGCAGAAGATGCAGGTCAGGAAAGAGTGAACGGGCAAAACCAGCCAGCAATCCGAGGCAACGGTCCATCGTGGAAGCTGCGGTGGGCGTAAAATCCAGAAGTAGGGGGTGTGGGGTGGGAGGGCAAATCACAACGAACCAAAGAAGGCGTGGGGATGGAATCGGAACAGACAGAAGGCAGATGTGCGACCGACGCAGAAGAAGAAAGGGAAAGAGCCAGAAAAAAATAGAGCCATCAGCGCAAAGATACAGCACGCGGCAGGAGCGGTCGGCTAGAGTGGCTTAACCAGCCGTCGAACCCCTTTAGGTTAAAAAAAACACATGAGGCATGCGAGAAAACGGAAGACCAAACCAGATGGTGATATGTTGCGACTGGCTCCACCATCGAATGCTTGTTGCTTCGCTGTCGCCTGTCCCAAGCCACTAGCACAGGCACCCAGGCGGAAATGGAATGCCCTACTACGGCCGACAGTCATCACTTAGCGGGCGGCTGCGTCCGGAAGGGGCGAACGGCGAGGTTTCCTGAACAGGAATCAGGGGACACCAACAGGAGGTCGCGATGGCCGAAAAGCGCCTCTTTCTGAGGTGATCGCAACTTCCCTTCCAAGCATGACTGTGCAAAATTTTCGCCATAACCCTTCAGCGTTTCCTCAAGAAGGATATGCAAGGGCTGCTCTTTCCCATTATCGCCGACACGGTGCCTACGTTGCGCGTTTCCAAAGCAGTCGTGCCTTCCCTCGCTGTCGCGAATATCGCCACTTCCGTTTCAGGAAGTTGGGCCAGCTAAGAAAGCAGCATGGGGTAGACACGCCCACTTTCCACGGGCGGGATTTTAGGTAAAGTTGCCCGCGATGTTTTCGCTCCAATGTTTTGCTACTCTGCCCCTTTTGCTTCTTGTCCATCCTATATTCCATCGTCCCAGCCACAGAGGCAATTAACCGATACAACCGTGGCCGTTTCTCGCCTTCGAAGACACGCAAGCAACTCTCTTTAGTGCCCAGACCTGCTTCGCTGGCAGCCGTGACTGCCTAAACATGCTCGCTGGTCGCGGCTTGACGCAACACCCGAAAGTATCTTACCAGAAGTGCGGCAGAATAGCAACGTCGAGGACCCCCAACGAGCAAAGACTAAGGGGCCTACGAGAGGCGAATGTAAAGGCGCTAGAAAGCTGATGTTAAAGTTTCAACGGCCTCGGCGCCAGCGCAAGCCCCGGGCCAGCCCATCTGCACCCGAAAACGATGTCAGACATGTCACCTTGCGTGAGAAAGGAATGCTTGAGCCATAAGCACTGTGGATGCAACACTTTTGTCAGCACGCGCCGGCCGTGCCACTGTGAAGCCTCAACGGCTGGATGCAGGAATGGGTGCTGCCAACGGAAATCTAGGTCTTTTGCAAGTTTATTCCCGCCCTCCTTTCCTTCTTGTCCAATCCAAAGGTCCTGCAGACATCCTCGCGAGAGTATGCTTACCAAACAGCATTTCCTTCGTCCATACTACTCCCAACTGCGTATTACATACACAAACAGCGGCCCTGAAGCACTACTTCTTTGCTGCTTTGGCACTTCTGCCCGCCAATCAGGCTGTCATTCGACCTCTGTGATACGATTTGAACTCAGCGGTCTGTCCACACCACATTAGCTCCGGTTCATTTCGTCGGGGCTGGTAGCTCACATGGACTCGCGGTCTGCCATGTCTTCTATTTTCGAGCCTAGATCAGTGGTGTGTCGGGTCACCTTCCAGGACATGCGCCTGCTCGTCTGACATGTGCCATTCTTGACTTCTCCCGACTTGCCCAGTTTGTTGAACATTTGCTGTCTCCAAGAAATACCCGAAAGGCTCACTTTCCACAACGTACATGGTAGAGTTTTATCACCATCCTTTCACTTGTTCTCTCATGACGTTGTTTGTGTTTTCATTTCTCGTCCTCGCGACAAATAAACCGCACAGACACCTTTTTGCACATCCCTTTTCTTTCGTCATTTTCTTCTCAATGTCACATCAATGTCGTCCTTGCATGAACAGACAAGCTTTCTCGCAACACAGTGTGGCAGCTACAAGAGCAGGACAAGTCACTCTCCGCAAATGGATGCCCAAATGGCCGTGCAATTGCTCACAGCCACACAAATGCCTGAGGCTTTCCCTGGCGCGAAACGAAAGCCATTGGCTGAGATGTGCACTGCTGCATGAGTGCTTCCATCGTTTGTTTCGTCCACTTTTTTTGTTCGCTACCAGCACTTCTTTCCCCTCATCTTGACATCCAATGGTGCTGAGCCAAGTGGATGCAGAGGCCACCATCACGAGCTGCTTGTACACACTCAGCAACAAGGTCGTGCTTCCGGTAAGGATACGGAAGTTTACAAAAGCAACGGCAATTAATGCGAGTGCTCCGTTGGTTCCTGTACCATTTTGTGGTGCAAGTATTCACTCACGCCCAGCACACTCACCAGGTTCTGTTTAAAGGCCATTTTGGCTCGATACTGAACCCAGATGACGCAGAACAGCACTGCGAGCGTGACGGTTGCAAGAGTGATCCAATCTGGGGGTGTTACGCAATGAGCCAGACGAAGCAAGTGTTTGTCGTGATGTCTTTGCGTATCAAGCTTCATTTCTGAGAAACAGGAAATCAGCTTCAGCGGGGATGGGCGTGTGGGGTGAAAACCAGTGAGCATGAATCTGCCAGGAACAATTGGGAATTGCGCTTTTTTTTTGTTTCTGTATTCTGCATTATCATATATTGTTGGTAAATATCTGTTTGTCACTATCAAACACGGTCGTTGGGCAATGATTGTGCCTCTGCTGCCGACTTCGAAAGCAAACAGCTGAGCCAACAGAAAAAGAAACAAGAAACTTCCACTATGAGTACTGCCCCTGCCTGCCCCAGAAGCCACTCACGACTAACACTCAATTTTAGATGAATGGCATGACCCTACAAAGTTGTTGATGGAGCTTTGCTCTGCTGGCACGCGCTCATTGGCCAACGCGGCCTTCCGTTGGGTTAACATTCCCTCGTTGCTTGACGGCTTGTGAACCTGGACAACACGACACTTCCAGCACGTGCGCCCTGAGCAGTATTTCTGGGGCTGTCGATTATTTTATTTATGCGTTGGGCCTTGTTGCATGTTGTTCCTGGATGCAAGCCGTTGTGTCCGTTTACGGAACACGTCGCACTTTTACAATGATACACAAGGAGGCCCAATGAAGACAGCAGTGGCGCTTCCCCGGATATTACAGGGACTGTGCAGGGCGCCATCGAGCCCAACGTTCGACAAGACGGCAACATCGATATCAAACTTGAACCAAAAGTTGCCTACTTGACGGACAACGGTTGACTCCTTGTTCAAGAGTTTGAATTGCCGCGTGGAACTACGCATATGGCCACAGGCACGGTCCACAGATACAATCGATCGGCCCAACCATCGGCATCAAGAGGCGTCGACGAGCCATAGATGACTTCAGAGTAGCCTAGCAGTCCTATACCGGGTATCATGTCTACGTCCGGAAATGAAAGACCGTCTGCAGTACTTGGACCACAGCACTGCGTAGCCAGTTCAGGGGCCCAACAGAGTGGTGCTTTGGCGTCTCTACAGGTGCATCGTTTCTGTTTCGTGGAATTCAAAAAGCAACATGAAAAGGACTCAAGACGACCGGCCATGTGCTGCTACCCATGTTTCCTAGTTTCCTCGATGCCTCTACAACACATGGACGAATGTCACTTTTATCCAGCTCCTCGCTGACATCAACAGCGCGATGCGTACAGGTTCGCCGGGCTGTACTATGCTAGTAAGTACCAGCTAGGATATAGTTACGCTTCCACTTTTTGTTGGGGTCGGGTAATGACCTGGTGGACAGTAACGTTGAGGTACTGCCCTTGTTTGTGCTGCCATATCAAACACGGACATACCAGAATCGCAGACACAAGATATACGTTGAGATACGGCATTATTACAGGGTCGTCATTCCATTAATCAATGAAAGACGGCCAACCTCGGTCAGTACGATACTTTATACACATGAAAATGGGCAAGGAGTGTGGCATCCTACATGACACGCTATCGTCTGCCTTACTACCCTCTCTGGCCTTGAGCAGGCAATGCTCATCTCTCATTCAATCTTATGCCGGCGATGCTGCCACATTATAACCTACTACTTACACTTTGTCTTGTTGGATACATGATCGACCGACCAGTCTCGTTGTCAAGACGCACCTTTCTACATTTGATTGCCCACGGTGTTTACCACGCTGCATTACACGACGCAACCCACCCCCTCGCCTCACTTTCTGCCACCGAACCGCGGCTTGGCGATGGGAAGTGATGGAACAAGATGAGGGGATGAAGGGGAAGCAGGCAAATGGAGGGTTGCCATACTACAATGGGGCTGCTCCAAGAAGCAACAACTCGCCAATGAATTTGTGAATGGAGGTGGAGAGCGCGGCTGGTCTGACGATCCTAGGCATTGACTCAGACTCGATACCCAATTGCCTAGCTCTCCCACTCACACCATGAACCCTGCCCTTCCTTGCGGGAAGATCGTGGCTGATACATCTGTCCAAGTCCTTTTGTCCAGGCAGTCCTTTTTATTTCCATCGGCAACGGCGTTGTTGCATTCGTTACGTGGGGGACGCAGACTCTAAAATCTCATATTAGAGAGTGACCTTGATGGTCAAGAAATCCCCAGAGACAGAAAGTTTGATTCTATGTCCACGCATCAATGTCTTCTCCCACATCCTCACCTACGAGAACGTGGGTCACTATATGGGGGCGCATGGAGGACTGTGAAGGATGCTGCAAGACACAACGCGGAGAATGGGCACGGCATTGCCAGAAAACTGAGAGAACAAATGAGCGCAGCAGGCTTCTCCTCTTTTATCGCGCTGTCCTTCTTGGACTGGCCTGCGTCTCTCCATTTCTCAAGCTCTCTTCCCCCCATGTCCGTCCACCCCGCCCGCCTTGAATCGGACACCGCGTCAACCCAAACTGCCCTTGCAACTCTAACCGGTTGGTACCAATGTACAGCTCCGAGTAACGGCAGTGAAAACGAGGAAGAAGGAGGGTGTGCGTCTTCGCATCATCTTATTCTTTCCAACTCGGCCGGTGGATATGTCGGCCGTCGATCAGCATTCAAGACGTGACCCAAGTTTTAGCCTTGACTGCCTTGGCTTCGTCTCGCTCCGTGCACTTTATTTGGTCCTTTTTCAAATGAACACTGATCTGAAACCTATCCAAAGGAAAACATTTCTTTTCCACATCGGCAAACTCTATCGACTTTGCCCTTTTTTGGTTGTGAAGCACAACCTTGTGCATACCATGATACGGGAAGCTAGACATACGAAAAGCAAGTATGAGGGGGCGGAGTAGATAAATCGACGAGCACAATGCATGGCGATAATGGCTCGTTCCACAAGAAGGATTCAATTCATCAATCCCTTTGTTAGCAGTGTTTCAAAGATTTGGAAGAGAGAAGCTGTGGTGGAAACAGAGTAAACAGGTTTTCCACATCTCCTGGCAAGGTAAACAACGACAAGAAACAGCAGGATGGGGTCTAGGCCAAGCAGGTAAGAAAACGATCGCGGGTGCAGCGTGTCGCACAATATGGGTATCAGCATCAGTCGCTTTCTGTGATATGCTCCGTGCACTTCTGCGCAAATGCACATGGTGCACACGTTGGTGACGATGTGTTGCACAGCGGGACGTGGAGAGACACGATGGCCTATCCAGTCGTCCTTTGGTTTATTTTCCTTACATTTTGCGTCTTGTGACCAGTCTCTTGCAGCTTCTGTTCTTCTGTTCCATTGTTTCTTTCTATTCGTTTTCTGCGACCATGTCTCTCCTCGATGGACGCCGCTTGTCTTACATTAGAGAAAGGAGGACGCTCGGCGACTACATCCAGAAATTCGCCTCTCTATGGTAAAAGGTTTTTCTACAGAGAGTGTTTGTTTGGAAAGTGTGTAGGGTACTGAGGAGGAGATAAGAACCTGGGGCTGGTACGGAGATGGTGTAATATTGTAGCAGCATCGGTATTTATTAATTAAAAATATGCGACGTAAGTATATACGTTTTATTTATTTTATTTTTATGCATTTGTTACGTGTTTGCTTATTTCATAATAAGGATGAAAAGACATTCGAAAAAAAACTTTGTTCCATTTTAGTTTATCGTCTTGTATTATTCACTGCTTCAATTAAAGGTCAATACCCATATCATAATAACAGAGAATTATTAGGTGATCAAGCATGTATTCATTCTACTACGCTCGTCGCCAGGAGACCGCAAAGTACAACACAAAGCACAACAGAGCACAAACTAATTAAACTTTATTGTGAGAGAAAACAACGTCCTTGAAAAAACAACCGGCCTTTCACGAAATGGAAGATCGTAGGGAACAAAATTACTACAGCATCGTCGCAGCAAAAATAAAAACACCTCCCAATGTAGTCTAAAAACGTCTTTGGAAATCGTCAAACAGAACCCCTTCCCACCCCCCACCAGCGCTGCACGTCTTGCCTAAGCAAACGTCGACACAGCTATGGCCACAGCCTGGCTGTCTGCGTGCGAGATCGAGACGGTCACCTCTCTGAGGTTGGCCGCCTTGGCCGCCGACGCCGCGTCACCATGCAGGTGGACCGTCGGAGCACCTGTATCGTCACGCAGCACCTCAATCTCCTTCAGCGGCGCACCGCCACCGCGGCTGGCGACGCCGAGAGACTTGAAGATGGCCTCCTTGGCCGACCACCGGCCGGCAAAAGCGGCCTGGACGTTGGCCGTCGATGTGCAGTAGGCAATCTCACGCTCCGTAAAGTTGCGCTCCAGGAATGTCTCGTTCTCAATGTTGATCGCCGAGATGTCCTCCAAGTCGATGCCGACCTTGTTGCTCGACGTCTGGATCTGCTGCGCGAGCACCTGCAGTTTCTCGAGCGTGGTGTTGGCCTTGGCATCCGGAATCGTCTTGGTGGACAGCTGCATGAAGTTGGACGGGAACGTCAGCTCCGCCGTCTTCTTGTCCTTGTTGACGCGGGCATCGGGGTTCAGCAGCACCGACGACAGCTGCTCATCCGTGTACGGCGCCTGCGTCTTGGCCACAAAGACCGAGTTGTTGATCATGCCGTTGTGGAAGTAGCGGTATGCCTTCTTCTGGCGGGCCTCGACCTTGACGCGGTACGCGTCGAACGTCGCCTCGTCCAGAGTGGCATACAGGTAGCGGGGGTGGATACCAATGGCCTGCGCGCCCTTCTGGCCGAAACCAAACGACGTCACGGAGAAGGCCTTGATACCATCCGTCTGCAGGCTGCGGCTCGGGTACACAATGTAGTCGAACTTCTCCATGACCTCGTCCACGTTGTCGGCGTTGCGGTTGCCGGGAACGAGACCCGTGTTGAGCACCTGCAGACAGCCGTTCATCATCCAGGCACCGGCAGCACCCTTGGGATGGCCAGTGAGGTACTTCTGGAAGATGCCAAGGACGGCGTTGCCCTTGGTGCGGCCCAGATGGGACAGCTGCTGGCAGATAACGGACGATTCGTTCTTGTCGTTGGCCTTGGTGGACGTGCCGTGGAAAGACGCGACGTCGAGGTCATCAATCGTCAGGCCCCACGTGGCAAGGGCACCGCGCAGCGGCGCGATGCTGGCATCACCCTTCCAGAAATTGTTGCCCAGGCTGCGAAGAACGTCCTTCACCTGGCGAACAGCCTCCTTCTCGATGTGGTTGGCGCGGTCAGCGAGGTACGCCTTCTCGTCAAAGGCGCCGTCGCTCTGGGCCTTCATGGCGGCAACCTCGTCGGCCAGGAACTCCAGCTCTGACTCCTTCCACTGCGCAATCTGCTTCTTGCGAAGCTCGATCTGGCGGCGGCGGTACTTGATGTCGAGCAGCGGCGACGGGAACTTGCCGGCGTGCTCACGAGCCGAGGTCAGGACACCCATGCCGGGCGCGGGCACGGACCGGCCAATCTTGTCGGAAGCCGTCGTCGTCATGGCCAGCACACCGTAGATGGGGACGCCCATGTCAAGGGCCAGCTGTGCGGTCATGATGACCTGCACACCACTGCCCTGGGACTCCATGAAGCCGTTACGGGTGGTCGTGGTCGGGCGCGACATCTCCTTAGGCGTGCGGCCGTGGGCAAACTCGTCGACGGCGTTGCTCGTGGCCTTCATGTTGGCGAACTCGTATGAGCCCTCCTCACCAAAGTCGTCAAAGCCACCGACAATGCAGACGCGGGCCTTGCCCTCCATGATGGTCTCGTAACCAATGTCCACAGACTCGACGGCTGTCGCGCAGGCACCAACGGGGGTCTTGATCGGACCCGACGAAGACAGCAGAAGCATGTTCACCCACGCACTCATAGTGTTGATGAACGACTCCTGCAGAATATCGTTCTGCAGAGGCTTGTCCAGGTAGCGGTCGCGGTGCATGCCGCGCAGAGCGCCTGCACCACCCATGCCGGAACCAATGCAGTTGCCGACCTCGGAAACATGCACGTACTTGTAGAACTCGTACGGGTCGGTGACACCCGAAGACAGGAGAGCCTCGACAACGGAAACGAGCACGAAGAGGGCGACGGGATCAACCTGAGAGATGATATCCTCCGGCACACCGTAGCGCTTGGCATCCCAACCCGTGGGGATCTGGCCAGCGACAAGACGGTCGAAGCGGAGGGCCTTGGGGATCCACAAACCGGCGCCCTTCTTGAGACGGACAGTGTATTGGTCGCTGTCGGGCACCTCAAATATCTCGACCTTGTCGCCGTGCTCACGCTTGAACTCTTCGGCGGTCTCCTTGGAGGCCTCGAAGGGCTCGAGGTCCTCCTCGATGACGACCTCGTGCAGCAGTTGCTTCTTGTTCGGGTCGTAGCCATCGAAAAGCTCCGGCTCAATCAGACGGATGCCAGAGTGCTCCAGGATGAACTTCTCGTACTTGGTCTTGATGTCCTTGTCGTCGACCGGGTCGCCCGACTTGGCGTCCACCCAGCCGGAGTACGGCTTGCCCTTGATGGGGCCGTTGAAGTTCTTGATCAGGCCCATGATCCAGGCCATCTCAACACAACCTTCCAGCGAGAACTCGCCGTACGCCTCCATCTCCCAGCGCGTGCGCGAGTTACCCCAGGGGCCAACCTCGGCGAAGCCGGTGACGACAACGACCTTGTCAAGGTCGACCATGCCCTTGAGGTTTGCGTTGAGGGGCTCGATCTCCTTCTTCCAGTCGGGGAAGTCGGGGAACTCGAATTTGATGTTGGCACGCGGCTCGATGACCTTCTGCTTGTAAAGAGTCTCGGACTTCTCGCCGTTGACGATCTTGTTCTCGATCGAGTTCTCCTTGGTGACCTCCTTGCGGATCTCGCTGGTCTCGGTGATCTCCTTGCGCAGCTTGGTCATTGCCTCGTTGAGGTTGGGGATGAACTGGAGGCCGCCGTTCAAGTCGGCCATGACCGGCTCGTTCTGGCACAGGTCGACAATGGTGGGGGACATGAGACCCAGCAGGTTGAAGGCCATCTCCTGCTGCGAGAAGGTGCGCACGCCGAAGCGCTCGACACCCTCAGCCACAATGTTGTTGCCAGACATCAGGCCCGTACCACGGGTCCAGCCGATGACGGCACCGCAGACAGACAGGTAGTCCGACCAGTCCTCGGCGTGCCAACGGTTGAAGAGAGTCTCGAGACCCAGCTTGGACTCAGAGTACAGACCGTCGTTGCCGAACGTACCGTGGTTGGGAGACAGGGGCAGAATGACCTGGGCAGGGCGCGTGGTGAAGCCACGGGAAGCCTTCTCCGTTTTGACGCTACCGAGGAGACGGATGAGGTTGGTCAGCATGATACGGTGAGCCAGCTCCGACTTGGAGTCGACACCATCAATCTGGCGACCGTTCTCCGAGATGGCAGCGAAGGGAACAATGTAATCGAGGTCCCAGCCGAGGCCGTTCTTGGGGTCGTAAATGTACTGGACGAGCGCCTCGACGTCCTGCTTGCTGCCCTGGTTGAAGGGAACGACAACGAGCTGCGAGTCGCGCGAGCCGTGGCGGGCGTACATGGCCTGGTAGTACTCAGTCACCTCACGAGAGTAGCGGCTCGTCGTGACAATGACATGGGCACCGCCGCTGATGAGACCTTGGAGAATGTCGGCACCAATGGAGCCGGCGCCGGCGCCAGTCATCAGAGCGTACTTGCCCTGGAAGCTGACACCGGCAGCGGCAGCCTCACGCAGACAGTCCAGGTACAGGCCGGTCAGCTTCTTGCTGTAGTCCCAGCCGCTGAGGGATTGGCTGCGGAGATGCAAGAAGGGGATGGTGTCGACCTTGGCCTTGGGCGTGCCGTTGGGCTTGGAGGTCAGCGACTTCTTGGCAGCACCGTTGGCGGAGATGATCTGGCTCTCGTTCATCTCTAGCGAGCGCAGAAGCTCACCGTACAGCTGCTTGAACTCGAGCTGCGAGGTCTTGGACACCTTGTGCTGCTGCTTCATGAGCTTGTACAGGCGGGACAGGCCAGTCTGGACCTTGGCACGGGTGCCGTACTCGGTGATCTTGCCACCGGCCGACATCTGCTGGACGTAATGCTCAAGTTTGCGGCAGCTAGCACGTGGGACCTCTTCGTAGTTGAGAACGCCGCGGGCGTCGACAGTGGTGCGCGGGCCCGTGGGCATGGCGACGTCTTTGTAAACGGGCGGGACGTTGAGCACCTCCCTGCAGTTCTCGATGAGCTGGGCGCCAAGCTCCTTGGCGAGCTTGTAGGTCTCGCCGCGCTCGGTCGGGCAGTTATCGATGTGGTACTGCATGAACTCAAGCAGAGTGGGATTGGATCGGTTCATGATGCGGATGCACTGACTGACAATCTCACGGTCAACGGCCTGCAGCCGACCAAAGATGATATCGTAGTACATGCTGAGAGCGTCCTGGCGAGCCCAGTTCCACGAGGAGTCGTAGACTCGGGCCTTGAGAGAGCTGAAGACAGGCTCGATGCCGGCGGCGTAGAAGTCACCGTGCTCGGCGTTCCACAGGTCGAGCTGGCTCTGCAGGACCTTGGACGACTCTTGCGAGGTCTGGAAGGCCTTGTCGCCAGCACGCAGATCCATCTTCAGGTAGCGGGCAAGCAGTTCCAGCTGCTGCTTGAAAAGGGCGCGCTGGTCCTTGGTCAGGGCGTCCAGAGCAGCCGGGTCCATCATCATGCCGCCGCCACCACCGCCAGCGTCACCGCCAGATGCGGCCGTGGTCAGGCTGACGCCCGCATTTGCGGCATACTTCTGAGTGACGTCGTCGAGGAAGGCCTTCGCATCGGATTCCGAGCCAAGACGTGCCGGAGGCTCCATAGTTATGGCCAGCAGCAGCACACCATCTTGGCGACCAGATGCCAGCCCCCACCGAGTCTCGAGATATTTGCGGGCAGCTGTGATGTTGAAGCCACCGGGCATTTTGGAAGAAATTAAACGGGCAATGAGCGACTGGGAATGCTTGCCCAGGTTGCCGTCGAAGGTGGCCTGCATGGAGGCACCGAGCTCGTCAAGGGGAGTGTCTTCTGGCTTCTCGGGTGTAGAGCCGAACTCCTTGCCGAGGTCACCGAGAATCTCGTTCTGGAGTGTGGATTTGCCTGTATTTTGTTAGTGAGAGCGCTTGGGCACAAACCAGAGTTTGCATGGCGCCAACAGAGCTTGAAACTTACCACCGACTAGGTCCTTGATGGCCTTGCTAAGTGGCACCTCGAGGAAGGGCTTCTTCAGCTTCTGTGCAATGAGGGCGCGAACGATCTCGAGCGCCTGCACCGGCGCGTCAGGCACCTGTGCGGCCGGGCCAGAGTTGGGAGCTGGTGCGGCAGCGACAGGGACAGCAGCAGCAGCAGCAGCAGCAGGCGCCGCAGCACCACCCGAACTGGCCTCTGGCGTCGGCTCGGGCTCCTCCTCAACCGGGTCGACATCGTAGTATATCTCTTTGGCGTCCTTGTTGTAGCAGAGAATCTGTCTCTGGACGGACTTGGCGGCGTCGTAAGCCTCGTATTTTGACGCCAGAGTCCGCTTGGCCATCACGCCCAGGGTGTCTGCAGGGCCGATTTCGACAATGCGCTCGGCGGTCTTCTCAGCGAGGAAGACATCTTGTGTTTCAATCCACCTCACAGGCGAGGCAAACTGGTAGGCGAGAAGCTCGACGAGCAGTGTGTGCGCGAGCTCCTGCTCGACCTCGGGGCGCATGGTTGCGGTTAGTGAGGGTGCCCGGTCGAGTGGGTTGTGTAGCAAAGAGGTTAGTCGGAGCGGTTTCGACGAGGGAAATGGTCGATAAAAGCAGGAGAAAGGCTCCCGAGGTGAAGGTTTTGGTTTTGGGTATCTCAAGAAAATGTGTGGGTGACGGAAATCGCAACGAGGATGCCGCGTCCGATTAGAAGAAAGGACCGAGTATAGATGTAATTAAAAGGGAGAATGGTAGAATGGGAGAGAAAGAAGAGAAGCCGAAGCACCCCCGACAGACGCGGAGTACGACAAGATAGGATGGATGGATGGGAGGTAGATGGCAGCGTCGAGAGAAAACGAAGAAGAGAAGGCAGGCCAATTGGAGATAGCTAAGTGCGAGCTTGTTGATCGTCGGGTAGACGGAGGAGAAAAACAGGAAAGCGTGTTGGGGATGCCAAACGGGAGCGAACGGCCAGCTTGGGAAAATGGAACGGCAGGAGAGGCCAGGGGTGGCTCCGTGGCAAAGAGGTAATTTTAGGGGCCAGACACTGACAATAGAAGGAACGAACAAGGCAACCACCGTGGATGTGTGGTGATGAGGAAGGCGCGAGTGTGCAAATTACAGCAGGCCCGTTTTGGTAAGAGCAGCACGGTCACGGCGAGCGCAGTGCCAGACGAGACAAGAGAATGACACCGAGAAATAAAACTGGGTCTCAAGGGAGACAAGTAAAAACTGATGTCAAAATATCTCATCCGTGAGGAGTAATTACGGAGCACGAAATATGTCGTACCCCAAGGCAATTGAGTTTGCTGTTCTGTTGAAGCAGCATTATGATTCCCAACCAAAATAGACAGTCTTTTCCATAATAGGACTAGCGTGTATTACATGTTGACCCCACTGTCAACGTTGAGCAAGCCGAACAGCACGTTGAAGGTGGCGATAAGATAAGCGGAAACTTTTTTTTTGTTCGTTCTTTCCTTCGCTACTATGCATGCCATTTGCACACAATACATCGTTTTTGTATTTCGTACCAAGCCTTCGTCGATCGCGCCTGCCAGTGTCAGGAGAATTTATCGATACGAGAAAAGCAGGTCGTATTACTCCCTAGTAGTAGTTTGCCCTCTGCGATAGTAGCTCTCTGCCCATCGCCCTGTCGCAAACTAAATATGTGCAGCGTGGTTGGTGCAGCCCAGGCCCGCTCTGTGGGCGGTGTTAGTGGTTGACGCTAGTGGCTCGGGCTTCCAAGCACTGCAGGTCAACGTGTACTGGTACCTTCGGCTATTCGAGATGCAGAGTAACGCTCTATCGTAAATGGTGGGCGAAAATCGGTTGACAGCTCAACATATCAGCATATCACATCAACACATCAACACATCAACACGTCAACATATCAACATATCAACATATCAACAAACATATTATGTTGTACGGCCGGCTGCCAGGCAAGGAATTGCTCCTTCCCGGAACACCCGAGTCATCAGAACGGAGAGTATGAGCGTCCGATCAGTATTCGGCTCCGTGCGTCGATTGCTGATACAAACGACGACAGGTGGCCGTCAAAATGAAAACCGCTGGGGTTCTTGACCTCACCCCGGCCGTCACCAACAATGTGCATACTAATCAACATCCGTCGAAGCGAATTGACGGCACGGACAAGACAGGGCCGCGCTGACATGATGGCAAGGCTGCGTCCAGGAGCAAAGGGAGTCTGACACCAAAGCTCCCCTTGACTAACAGGCAAGGCTTGAGATACTGGCATGTGTATGTTGTACTCCGTGGAGCTGATATACATCGAAAACCTGGATTCTCCGAAAAGCACAAACATGTTTTACTGCAGCAACCACATCCAAGACAAAAACGATGGATGAGACAAGTCAATATTGGTCAATACAAGCGACACGTTGCTTGGGAATTCGAGGGGCGGGGGCGGTCTCGTCCACACTCTGCTCGCTTTCAGCACATTCCGAGCACTTTGTATTTTCCCAGATGTGAATGCCTCCATGCAATCTCTTCGGTTGTCTATTTCTGCTTTATTCTGCATCTGTCCATGATCCGTCCTTGTTGAAGATGCGGTGTTTCCGTCGCTGGTTAACGCCTCGTACGAGCTTCGGTTCAGCAAGGTACCGGTACTTCAGCTGCTCGTTGGGTGCAGACCAAGTGGGCCTGCCTACCCAAACTTTTTGATGCCGCCGCCCCTAACGTCGGTTAAGATACGTGTTACATTTGGGGCCTTGGGAGCGGAGCCTGCTGGCCACACGCTGTCCGACTACAGGCAGATCTGCCAGTGTTTTGCTGGGGTCTTACCCAGTCGCAAAGGGGAAGAACAAAGGGGTAGTTTTCTTTTCTTCTTTCCTTCTCAGGTGCACACCCTGAACGCAAGGGGGAAGGTGCGCTGACTGGCTGCTGGCCAAACTCACTCGCTAAAGAAGGAACCACAGGTAATGAGGCAGCACCATCATTGCCGCAACTAGGTAATACTGCACCAACTCAGTATGTGACCCCTTTTAACGGCACGACGTTTGCACTGCGACTGACCGCCGCCGCTGCCGTGCCGACCTGTAAGATATTGTGCCATGGAGGTGCGCCATGCAAAACTTTTTTTCAAGCTCCCCCAACAAACAAGATTGCTGGGCGATACGCACCTTCCCTGGTTGGCCCATTTTAATTGTCCTGTCGTGTTCCGTCCTGGTTGCTCCTTCCCCTGGGCCATGACAACGGCGCACTATTGTGCACTTGCCTATTTCGTAGTCGTGTTGGCCCCATTGGCTGTTCTTGCCTTCCGCGTTCCTGGTGGACCCCATCTCGAGACAGTTGGTCGATGCTGTTGGGAAACGGCAAGCTCCAGATCTCTCGTCGTTTTTCTGCCATCCATCCGGGGCCGTGAGAAGACTCTTCGTTGCCTGCCCACGCCAACATAGCATCCGCCTCTCGTCATCTCTAGCCACTTGCACGTTCTCCAAACCCGTTTCTCTCCTCATTGCATTTTCCCGTCCTCACATCTGCTCAATTGCGAGCGCCACCGCTTTCCTACCTCCGCCTTCTCGTCTCCTCGAAATTGACGATTGCAGCTTGTTCTCTTTTTTCTTTATCTCTCTCCTTTTGAAGCTTCATTTTCACTCCCATTTCACTATTCACGAGCTTCTTGTCGTCTTTCGACCTCCCTCTTCGCTGAGCTGGAGTTGTCATAATCTGTTGATGTGAGCTTATTGTCTGTTGTTTTCCTTGCTCCCCTCGATCGTGACCCGTTACTAACTCCACGTCAGCCTCCCAGAACTCGATTTCTCCTCCATTGATACCCCCCCCTCTCATCACCATGTACGGCACCGGCACAGGCCCGCAGACGGGCGTGTCGACCCCGCGCACTTCCAACTCTCTCCGGCCCCTGACCGTGTCCCATGGCTCGCTCGAGACGTCGTTCCTCGTGCCTACCAACCTGCACTACCACGCTTCCGAGCTGAAAGAGCGCTTCACCGCCAGCTTACCAGCACCCACCGACGAGCTGGCCCAAGATGACGAGCCTTCGTCCGTCGCCGAGCTCGTGGCCCGCTTCATGGGCTTCGTGGCCAACGAGGTCGAGGAGGGCGAGGACGACGCCCAGGGCTCGTACGAGGAGGTGCTCAAGCTGATCCTCAACGAGTTTGAGCGCGCCTACCTGCGCGGCAACGAGGTCCACGTCCTAGCCGCGTCGCTGCCTGGCATCGACAGCAAGAAGTTGGCTGTCATTCGTAGCTACTACGCTGCGCGTGCTGTCTCGAACCGCACCATCCGTCCGCACATGCCCGCGCTCTTCCGCGCCGCCGAGGACTCCTCGGCAAATCTCTACAACATCTTTGGTGGCCAAGGCAACATCGAGGAGTACTTTGAGGAGCTGCGCGAGCTGTTTGAGACCTACCCCACCTTTGTCGGCGACCTCATCGTCAACGCCGCCGAGCTGCTGCAGACGCTCTCCAAGCACTCGAGCGCCGACAAGCTGTTCGCCAAGGGCCTCGATGTCATGACCTGGCTGCGCCGCCCCGAGACGACGCCCGACACCGACTACCTCGTGTCGGCGCCTGTCAGCTTCCCCCTGATTGGTCTCGTTCAGCTCGCACACTATGCCGTCACCTGCAAGGTCCTGGGCATCCACCCCGGCCTGCTGCGGGAGCGGATACGTGGCGCGACGGGCCACTCGCAGGGCATTGTTCTTGCCGCTGTGACCGCTGCGGCCGACTCGTGGGAGTCGTTCACCGAGCTCGCCAAGTCCGCCCTTACCATTCTGTTCTGGATCGGCGCGCGCAGCCAGCAGACCTTCCCCCGCACCTCCCTCACACCTTCCATGCTCCAAGACTCGATCGACAACGGCGAGGGCGCTCCGACGCCTATGCTGAGCATCCGCGACCTGTCCCAGGAGCAGGTCCAGAAGCACATTGATGTGACCAACCAGTACCTCCCGGTCGACCGCCACATCGCCATCTCCCTCATCAACAGCCCGCGCAACATGGTCGTCACCGGCCCGCCCATCTCCCTCTACGGCCTGAACCTGCAGCTGCGCAAGGTGAAGGCCCCGACTGGCCTGGACCAAACGCGCATCCCCCACACCGAGCGCAAGGTTCGCTTTGTCAACCGCTTCCTGCCCATCACCGCGCCCTTCCACAGCCCCTATCTGGAGAAGGCCACTGCGTTGATCGACGACGACCTGAGCAAGATTGAGATTGACGCGGATGACCTCGGCATGGCCGTCTTCGACACCAACACTGGCAAGGACCTGCGCGAGAGCGTCCAGGGCAACATTGTGCCCACTCTCATCCGCTTGATCACCCGTGACCCCGTCAACTGGGAGAAAGCTACTGCTTTCCCCGAGGCGTCCCATGTCCTGGACTTCGGCCCGGGCGGCATCTCTGGCCTGGGTATCCTCACCAGCCGCAACAAGGAGGGCACTGGTGTTCGTGTCATCTTGGCTGGCGCTGTCAATGGCACTGTCACCGAGGTCGGCTACAAGCCTGAGCTGTTTGACCGCGACGAGGAGAACGCTGTCAAGTTCGCCATTGACTGGGTGCGCGAGTACGGTCCCAGGCTGATCAAGACCAAGAGCGGTCAGACCTACGTCGACACCAAGATGAGCCGTCTCCTCGGTGTGCCCCCTATCATGGTCGCCGGTATGACGCCGTCGACTGTGCCGTGGGACTTTGTTGCTGCGACCATGAACGCTGGCTACCACATTGAGCTCGGCGGTGGTGGCTACTACAACGCCAAGAACATGACCAACGCGCTGCTGAATATCGAGGGGGCCATCACTGCTGGTCGCGGCATTACCATCAACCTCATCTACGTCAACCCGCGCGCCATGGGCTGGCAGATTCCTCTGATTGGCCGTCTCCGCGCCGAGGGCGTGCCCATCGAGGGTCTTACTATTGGTGCTGGTGTTCCTTCCATCGAGGTCGCCCAGGAGTACATTGAGACGCTCGGCCTGAAGCACATTGCCTTCAAGCCCGGCTCGGTCGAGGCCATCCAGGCCGTCATCAACATCGCCAAGGCCAATCCCAAGTTCCCTGTCATTCTTCAGTGGACCGGTGGCCGTGGTGGTGGCCATCACTCCTTCGAGGACTTCCACCAGCCCATCTTGCAGATGTACAGCCGCATCCGCCGCTCGGAGAACATCATCCTTGTTGCCGGTAGTGGCTTCGGTGGTGCCGACGACACCTACCCCTACATCACGGGTGAGTGGTCGAAGAAGTACGGCTATCCCCCGATGCCTTATGATGGCTGTCTCTTCGGTAGCCGCATGATGGTCGCCAAGGAGGCCCACACCAGCAAGAACGCCAAGCAGGCCATTGTCGACGCCCCCGGCGTCGAGGACAGCGAATGGGAGAAGACGTACAAAGGCCCGGCCGGGGGTGTCATTACTGTTCGCTCCGAGATGGGTGAGCCCATCCACAAACTGGCCACCCGCGGTGTGCTCTTTTGGGCCGAGATGGACAAGAAGATCTTCAGCCTGCCCAAGGAAAAGCGCGTCGCCGAGCTGAAGAAGAACCGCGAGTACATTATCAAGAAGCTCAACGACGACTTCCAGAAGGTCTGGTTCGGTCGCAACAAGGCCGGCGACACGGTCGATCTGGAGGACATGACCTATGGTGAGGTGGTCCGCCGCCTGGTCGAGCTGCTCTACGTCAAGCACGAAAAGCGCTGGATTGACCCCTCGTTCGAGAAGCTGACTGGTGACTTTATCCACCGTGTCGAGGAGCGTTTCACTACTGGCACCAAGCAGCCGTCGCGCCTGCAGAACTACTCGGACCTGGATGAGCCGTACTCTGGTGTGGAACGCATTCTCGAACACTACCCCGATGCCGAGACCCAGATCATCAACGCTCAGGACGTCCAGCACTTCCTCATGCTGTGCCAGCGCCGTGGCCAGAAGCCAGTGACCTTCGTCCCGGCCCTGGACGAGAACTTTGAGTTCTTCTTCAAGAAGGACTCCCTCTGGCAGTCTGAGGATCTGGAGGCTGTCATTGGCCAGGATGTGGGACGTACCTGTATTCTGCAGGGCCCCGCTGCCGCCCGCTACTCCAAGGTTGTCGATGAGCCGATCAAGTCCATTCTGGACGGGATCCACGAGGCCCACATTGCCGGCCTGACCAAGGATGTGTACAAGGGCGATGCGACCCAGATTCCCACCATTGAATACTTTGGTGGCAAGCTTATCGACACGGATGTTCCCCTCGACCTGGAGAGCGTGTCTGAGTCGTATGACGAGCACAAGAACATCTACCGCCTTGCCTACTCACCCAACATTCCTCTGCCGGGTGTCGATGACTGGCTGACGCTGCTTGCCGGCAAGAACCACTCTTGGCGCCACGCTCTCCTGCTGTCGGACGTCCTGGTGCAGGGCAAGAAGTACCAGACGAACCCTATGAAGCGGGTGTTCGCTCCGGTGCGCGGCTTGTTTGTGGAGATCCGCAACCCCAACGACCCCGAGAAGACGGAGATCATTGTCAAGGAGCAGCCCCGCCAGAACCAGTACAAGGACGTCGTTCACGTCAAGCTGACTGGCAAGAACGAGATCCAGGTCAACGTCATCAAGCACTCCACGGCGCTTGGCAAGCCGGTCGACATGACCCTCAAGTTCATCTACCACCCCGAGGCTGGCTACGCTCCCATCCACGAGGTCATGGATGACCGCAACGACCGCATCAAGCAGTTCTACTGGCGCGTGTGGTTCGGCAGCGAGCCGATCAACCTGGACGCCGAGGTGACTGGCAAGTTTGACGGCGGCAAGGCCGTCATCACGGGCGAGGACATCAACGACTTTGTCCACGCCGTCGGCAACACCGGTGAGGCTTTCGTTGATCGCCCGGGCAAGACAGTCTACGCTCCCATGGACTTTGCCATTGTTGTTGGCTGGAAGGCCATCACCAAGCCCATCTTCCCGCGCACCATTGATGGAGACCTGCTGAAGCTGGTGCATCTGTCGAATGAGTTCCGCATGCTTCCTGGTGCCGAGCCGCTGAAGAAGGGCGATGTTGTCTCGACGACGGCGCAAATCAACGCCGTCATCAACCAGGAGTCGGGCAAGATGGTCGAAGTGTGTGGCACGATTGTGCGCGACGGCGAGGCCGTCATGGAGGTCACCTCGCAGTTCTTGTACCGCGGCGATTACAAGGACTACGAGAACACCTTCCAGCGCAAGACCGAGACGCCGATGCAGGTCCACCTGGCGACGACCAAGGACGTCGCTGTCCTGCGCTCCAAGCAGTGGTTCCTTCTGGACGACCAGCAGGACATTTCCCTGCTGGGCCAGACGCTGACCTTCCGTCTGCAGTCGCTGGTGCGGTTCAAGAACCAGACCGTCTTCAGCCACGTCGAGACGCGCGGTCAGGTCCTTCTGGAGCTGCCGACCAAGGAGGTCGTCCAGGTCGCCAGCATCGAGTACGAGGCCGGTGTGTCCAACGGCAACCCGGTGATCGACTACCTCGAGCGCCACGGCTCGTCGATTGAGCAGCCCATCAACTTTGAGAACCCGATCCCGCTGAGCGGCCGCACGCCTCTTCTCCTTCGCGCCCCCGCGTCGAACGAGACGTATGCTCGCGTGTCGGGCGACTACAACCCCATTCACGTGTCGCGTGTGTTTGCCAACTACGCCAACCTCCCCGGCACCATCACGCATGGCATGTACTCGAGCGCCGCGGTGCGCAGCCTGGTGGAGACGTGGGCGGCCGAGAACAACATTGGTCGCGTGCGTAGCTTCCACGCGTCGCTTGTCGGCATGGTGCTGCCCAACGACGACATCCACGTCAAGCTGCAGCACGTCGGCATGATCAGCGGCCGCAAGATTATCAAGGTCGAGGCCAGCAACAAGGAGACGGAGGAGAAGGTGCTCCTGGGCGAGGCCGAGATCGAGCAGCCGGTCACTGCGTACGTCTTCACGGGCCAGGGCTCGCAGGAGCAGGGCATGGGCATGGACCTGTACGGCAGCAGCGAGGTCGCCAAGAACGTGTGGGACCGCGCGGACAAGTACCTGATGGAGACGTACGGCTTTGCAATCACCAACATTGTCAAGAACAACCCCAAGGAGCTCACGATCCACTTTGGTGGTCCCCGCGGCAAGCTCATTCGCCAGAACTACATGGCGATGACGTTTGAGACGGTGATGGCCGACGGGTCGATCAAGTCGGAGCGCATCTTCAAGGACATCAACGAGACGACGTCGTCGTACACCTACCGGTCGCCCACGGGTCTGCTGTCGGCGACGCAGTTCACGCAGCCTGCTCTGACCCTCATGGAGAAGGCCAGCTTCGAGGACATGAAGGCCAAGGGTCTGGTGCCGCGCGACAGCACATTTGCCGGCCACTCTCTGGGCGAGTACTCGGCGCTGGCGGCGCTTGCGGACGTCATGCCGATCGAGTCTCTCGTGTCGGTCGTGTTCTACCGCGGCTTGACGATGCAGGTGGCCGTGGAGCGCGACGCGAGCGGGCGCTCCAACTACTCGATGTGCGCCGTCAACCCCAGCCGCATCTCCAAGACCTTTAACGAGGAGGCGCTGCGCTTTGTTGTCAACAGCATTGCCGAGGAGACGGGCTGGCTGCTGGAGATTGTCAACTTCAACATTGCCAACATGCAGTACGTGTGCGCGGGCGACCTGCGCGCGCTCGACACGCTTGCGGGCGTGACCAACTTCCTCAAGGTGCAGAAGATCGACATTGACCAGATGCGCGAGCAGCTCAAGATCGAGCAGGTGCGCGAGCATCTCAACGAGATCATCCGCGGCTGCGCGCAGGAGACGGAGAAGAAGCCCACGCCGCTGGAGCTGCAGCGCGGCTTCGCGACGATCCCGCTGCGGGGCATCGACGTGCCGTTCCACTCGACCTTTTTGCGCAGCGGTGTCAAGCCGTTCCGGTCGTTCCTGCTCAAGAAGATCAACAAGACGACGATTGACCCGGCGAAGCTCATTGGCAAATACATTCCCAACGTGACGGCCAAGCCGTTTGCGCTGACCAAGGAGTACTTTGAGGACGTGTACAAGCTGACCAACTCGCCGCGCATCGGCCACGTGCTGGCGAACTGGGACAAGTACCAGGAGGACGGCGTTGTGAACGGCATACACGGCACGGAGACCAACGGTGTCGAGATCAACGGTACGAACGGTACGAACGGTGCCCAGGTCGAGACCGACTCGGACAGCGTCGAGGCATAGGGGCGCCTTTCGATGCAACAGAAGCGGTCGCTCTGGAATGTGGCCGTTTGCAAGGAGGTGCGGTGAGGTGTAGGAAGCGGGTGCGAAGGTGCACGGCAGAGCACGAAGCGGTGTCTCGTTTTGCGCCGAGGAACGCATTTGAATGAAGCGACATTGTGTATTTCGGAGTGTAGATTTGTTTTCTGTTTGTTTCGTTGCTTGCTTGTTTTTGTTGCATGTTTTTGCTATTTGTTTCGGTGTAACGAGTAGGATGTTGCTGGTCTGGTACTGTTTTACACGCTGTTTGCACGCTCCCCATTTCACATTTTACACAAAACAATATAGATAACTAATAAGAGAGAAGCTCGAAACTACGCTGGCGACAGCAGTCCATGATGTGAAAATGCTGTGACGAAGCGCAGATAATGGACGTTTCACAATGCCGTCCAGTCATGTGACGTCGCTTCTGAGTCGGCCGCCGCCGCTAGCCGGCGAACCGCAGAAAAGCACTGTAAATAGCCTCAGCCGCCAAATCGTATTGCTCCACATGTGAAGCAGCAGTTTTGGCCAAAAGCGCGGACGGGTTCACCACAACCGGCCGCAACCAGCGATCTTGCGGAGGAGAACGGAACTGTGCCGGAGGGGAAGAGTGGACAAGAAAACAGAAAGAAAAAAAGATATGCAAAGGGGAAGACAAGCAGCCGTTTGCATGGATCCGCGTCTTATTGAGCAACTGCGGACGAGTTGACGGCGCTGCTCCGCACATTAGTTTAGTACAAAGCCGACGCCACGGGGCCGTCAACAAGAATCAAGGTCCCTCGTATTTGACTGCTTCCTCGGTTTGCGCGTTTTCTTGTTTCCCAACGGCGATTCAGAGTACAAGACAAAGCCCAAGCCTCCCGAATCAAGCAGACGAAAGTCCAACGGCAAAAGGCTGGCTAGTTGACCTTTAGAAGCTTGTCGAACCTGCGTCGTTCCAGTCCCGAGCTCGTTCTCAACTCCCCGCCAGCTCCCCTCCTACTGAGCGCATCGTCATCCTTATCTCTGGCTGTCCTGCAGACGCCACAGCTCTGTTGTCTGTGATACACTCGTTTGGCACACCTCGCGCCTTCCCTTTGCCGCTCTATTTTCATTCTTGCCTTTTTCTGCTCGCCATTGGAATCGACCCGCCTTTGTTTGGTGAAGGAAGGGAAGGAACGACCTTTGCAGCTGCAACTTATTTAAAGACATCTTGAGGAAGGCACAGGTCTGCTGCTTGAGGGGGGCTCTCCGTGTGACTTGGGAAAGAGCGACCTGTCTTCGTCCGCAGCCGTTTTCTGTCATCATCGCTGTTGTGATCGCGATCCTTTCCAGAATCCAGAAACCACACAGCTCAAGGAGACGACCTTGGACGCAGCAACTCCTGCGGCACGACGTGTTGTCTGCGCCGCGCTTTTCATTCCCTTCCGATTTCTTCTTCCTCCGTATCTTTTTCGCAGCATTGATTATCGTACTGCATCTCATTGCACGTATAGCCGGCGCCGCATTGTGCATTTCGACCTCCAGCAAGCTTCTCGACCGCCTGCGTCGCCTACGTCTCACTCCTGTCCCCACGAACAGCCGGAGCGATGGCAAATCAAATCTTCTTCGGGACGTTTGTCCACACGCCGGCCCTGGACCAGATCGAGTACCTGCACGACACCATTGTGGCGGTGGAGGCGACTGGCGTGATCTTTGCGATTGAGGAGCTGCCGCCGATCGGCCGACACAACCCGGTGGCGTGGATCCGCTCATCGCTGTTGCCGAACCTCGGCTGGGCCGCCGACACTGCGATCACGGCGACACGGCCGGGCCAATTCTTCTTCCCAGGGTTTATCGGTGCGTCCCCGCCCCCGTTCGTGCCCATTCGTGCCTTTGAAACGTGCCATTCTAACAAAGTCAACACAGACACCCATCTCCACGCTTCGCAATACCCGAATGTCGGCATCTTTGGCAAGTCCACGCTGCTGGACTGGCTCAACAAATACACATTCCCGCTCGAGGCGTCCCTGCACGACCTCGCCAAGGCCCGCCGGGTGTACGGCCGCTGCATCCGCAAGACACTGTCGCACGGCACGACAACAGCGGCATACTACGCCACCGTCGACGTCGCGGCGACCAACCTGCTGGCCGACCTGTGTCTGCAGGCGGGCCAGCGCGCGCTGGTGGGCCGGGTGTGCATGGACGAGCACGCCTTCAGCCCCGACTACTACCGCGACGAGACGCCCGAGGAGGCGGAGGCGGCGACGCGCGTGTGCATGGACCACATTGCGCGCATCGACCCCAAGCACACGCTGCTGCGGCCCGTGCTGACGCCGCGGTTTGCGCCGAGCTGCACCGGCGACCTGATGGGCCGGCTGGGCCGGCTGCACAAGGAGGGCGCCTGGCCCATCCAGACGCACATCAGCGAGAACACGAGCGAGGTGGCGCTCGTCAAGGACCTGTTCAAGGGCATTGTGCCGCCGTCGGCGGGCGAGGCGGACGGCCTGCCGTCGTATGCGGGCGTGTACGACCACTTTGGGCTGCTGACGCCGCAGACGATCCTGGCGCACGGCGTGCACCTGACGGAGGCGGAGGCGAGCCTGATCCGCGAGCGCGGCAGCAAAGTGTCGCACTGCCCGTGCAGCAACAGCGCCATCACGTCGGGCGCGGCGCGGGTGCGGTGGCTGCTGGAGCGCGGCATCGAGGTGGGGCTGGGCACGGACATGAGCGGGGGCTACTCGCCGAGCATCTTGGAGGCGGCGCGGCTGGCGAGCATGGTTAGCCGCCACGTGGCGATGGGCGGCGACGACGCGGCCAAGCTGTCGGTGGAGGAGGTGCTGTTTCTGGGCACGGTGGGCGGCGCACACGTCGTGGGCATGGGCGACCGCCTGGGCCTGTTCCGGCCGGGCATGCTGTGGGACGCGCAGCTGGTCGGGCTGGCGCTGGTGGACGCCAGCGGCAACGCGGACGTGACGAGCGGGTTTGCGGACGAGACGACGGGCGCCGAGGCAGACGCGAGCCTCTACGAGGAGGAGGGCAACGTGGACGTGTTCGGGTGGGAGACGTGGGAGGACCGGATTGCCAAGTGGCTGTTCAACGGCGACGACCGCAACACGAAGAAGGTGTGGGTCAACGGGCGGCTGGTGCACGACCGCAGCGCGCGGGCGGCGCAGGCGCGGGCGACCGCCAACGGGACGGCGGACAGCGCGGTCTCGGCATAGAAGGTGGTGGCTGCGTTTGTCCTGGTGGGCCTGGCGACGGTGTCGGCGCTGTTTACCCTGCTTCTGTCGACGGTGCCGCGCATCGCCAAGCTGTTGGAGGAGGTTTTGTCGGCGTCGTCGTCGCGGCCATGAGCCGTTGGTGTTTTTTGTTGTTCTTGTTTGGCCACTACGAGCTTCCTTTCCTATACATCTCTCTTTGGTGTCTGACCCTTGGCCTCTAGGCCTCTTTGGTCTCTTTGGTCTCTTTTGGTGTTTTTGTACGGTCACTGTGCTGCCCATTATTTTAGAATTTATGAATTTTTCACAGCCACGGCGGCAATGAGAGTACGGAGCACACAATCTAGAGATGCTGCCATCTCGTACAACGGGAGGAGACTGTGGAGAAGGAAATGTATGGCAAAAGTGTCACAGTCACGCGGTCTGAGAGGCACAAACCAAAGGACATGTAGTACCATGCATGGCCGATAGTCCACAAGCTTCCTACGGTGTATGTGGCAGATTTTCTGGCTGTCGTAGGCAAAGAGCCTTTTCCGGCGTATGTACATGTTCACAGACAAAGAGGCGATGAGTTGATTGTGATATTGATCATAAATATGAATGTGTGATTAGGTGGTAGGTGCCATGGGATAGAAATGAAGAACTTAATGGAAACGCAACTATGCAAACTGAAGAAAATAAGGCACAGGCAGCAAGGACCAACGCCCCATGTCCGTACTCCGTCATGGCCATGCCAGGTGGGAAGAGAATGAAAGGCAGAAAAAGGAGAACGGCACATGGGTGGGGCATTGTGGAAAGGGAAAAAGAAAGAAAGAAAAAGCATGAAAGTGATTGCCTGTTCATCAATCTAGACGAGATATTTCGAGGATCCTTGTGACGAAGGATGGTCAATAAACAAAGGAAGCAAATGAAAGGAAAGAAAATCAGGAGGAAAATTAAAAATCAAACGTAATCGGGGATAGGTCACCGAGAATAAAAAAAGCCGAGAATAAAAAGGACCATCGCCACCAACTCTTGTCCACACCATTCTTCCAGGAGAGACTTGAACCTCCTAAGCGAACATGCCGACCACGATCGAGCTGCCGCGACGAGAACTGTTGTTTCCCTCATCGTTGTCGTTGTCGTCGTCGTTGTCGTCGTCGTTGTCGTCGTCGTCGTCGCCATCGTCGTCGCCGTCAGCATCAGCATTGTGTCCCCGCGATGCCTTGCGCTGTCCTCTCGACGAGCTGCTCGATTGGCTTCCTCTTCGGCTGCCGCCGCTGCCTCTGCGCCGCTTGGGCGTCGTGGGCGTCGTGGGCGTCGTGGGCGTCGTGAGCGTCGTGAGCGCCGAGGCGGCGCGTCCTTTTGCGACGCGTCTGGCCGGCGACGGCATCGACGACGGCCCCCGCCGCTCTGCCGCGGCGAGCTGCCGCCGCAGCTGCTGCACTTCGCCCGCCAGCTGCGCCCGCTCCCGCTGCAGCACCGCAATGGTCTCTTCGGCGGCCTCGATGCGCGCCACCTTGCGCTGCCGGCTGCGCTTGGCGGCCTCGTTGTTGCGGTCCTTGAGGCGCTGCTCGCGCACGCGGTCGAAGCGCAGGTTGGCGGCGCGGCGGGCCTCGAGCTCGGCGGCGTCGAGGCCTTCGGGGAACTCGAGCAGGCGGACGAGGCTGGCGTCCAGGCTGGCTTTGTGGATGGCCTGCTCGCAGTAGCGCAGACGGGCGCGCCAGTCGGCCGGTTCGGTCGGTGGGGGGCCGTTGACGTTGATGTTGATGTGGGTGGCGACGGCGGGGCGGGTGTCGGACAGGGCACGATCTTGGATTTGGTCGGGATGCATCTCCTGCATCGTGTCAAGGTCGGCCATGCCGCGGGTCTCGTTATAACAGTCGTCGTCGTCGTCGTCGTCGTCGTCGTCGACATCGTAGGCGCTGTCGAGGCTGCCGCCGCGCGTGTGGCTCTGGCCATGGCGGCATTTGGTGGACGGAATGGGATCCGAAGCCGAGCGGACACTGTGCGTGCTGTGCGTGTTGTGAGTGCTGTGCGCACTGCGGACGTGGCGAGCACGGCTGCGTGTCAGTGGCGGGCTGTTGTTGTTTACATGGTGGTTGCTGCGGTCATTGGTAGTGTTCTCCATGGCGGCTGTTGCGGCTTGCACGGCTTGCGGCAGTGAACAGAGGCCCGTGTAAGCAGACGACAAGGTCATGGGCGCCATGGACGTGTCGAACGGGTAGCCGGTCAAAGTGTAGCCGGTTGCGTAGCTGCTGGGCGGATCGCCGTATGGCGAGGCAGACGAGGCACCGTTGTCGAGAAGCATGCCCGGCTCGTTGAAGAGGAACGGAGAGTGGCGCGTGACGGCGGACGTCGAGCTGTGGTCTGTGTGGTTGTACGCTGGCAGCGCCGTGTGCATTAGGGCGTCCATGTCGATATCGTCAAAGCTCATGTCCATGGCCGTGTCCAGGCCCACATCCAGGCCCATTCCCGCGCCAATGTCGGCCACATGCACATGGTTGGCGAGGTCCAAGCTGTTTCCCCAGTCCTTTCCGTTGCTGGAAGCACTTCCGTTGCTGTCTCCGCTGCCGTCTCCGCTGCTGTTTCCGCTGCTCTCTTGCTTGTCGTACATGTGCCCACCAAACGCGTCGTGCGACGCTGTGGCCGTCGTCTCCGTGGGGAGAGGCAGGGACATGGACAGAGGCATCGACAAAGGCATCGCCATGGGCGTAGCCGTAGACATGGACATGGGAAGCGACATTGGCAGAGACAGAGGGAGCGGCAAGTGGTTCGGCGGCATCTGCAGCGGATACCGTCTCAGCGAGGGCGGTGTCGGGGTTGTTGTCGACTGCTGGGTGGTTCGTCGTGGCGGTGTTGCCGGCAGCAACGGCTGTGAGATGCGGCCACCGTCCATGGTGGCTGTTCTCAGTGTATCAATAGATCTGTGAATGGCAGGATGAGTTAGTGGGCGGGCAGCTCGGACCTTGATTTGATTTTGATTTTTGTCACGAGGCCATGGACGCAACGTACCGTGACGGTCGGACAATGGTGATGGGAGGAACGTGCTCGTGGTGAGGCACAAAATTGATGGACAGTGGAAAGACGAGGGAGAGGAAATATGACGGCCAAGAGGAAAATTGACCTGTTTGATCGAAATGTTGTTTCTAAATCTGTGCTTGTGGTAAGTCGTGATGGTGGACTGCAAATATGAATCACTCGTCAAAGGAACAGAAGAACAGAAGAACAGAAGAACAGAAAGCAGAAACCAGAAAGCAGAGAGCAGAAGAGCAGAGACTTTGAGAGCGAGATCTGGCACTGGACATACGGGCCGAGCATGCTGCTTTTAAATCTGTGTGCGTCCGTGGACTTGGATGCCTTTTTCCTGTCCTGTTCGTAAGCATCGCGGACCTGCTGGGCATGAGAGGAAAAGGACCTCGTCATCACCTGCGAAAAAGAAGGCATCGGATGGCCCCCTGTCCCATGGGTTTCTATTCAGCGACGATCAAGTGCCATCAAAAGCCAGAAAGACCATCCGTTGCCTACGTTCCCCTCCCAAATCTCCATCCCATCTTTGGTCGGCCCGTATCTGCCTCCATTCTCTATTCAGGAGGCCAGAAGAGGCCTCTATGCATTTCTGAATGGCATTTCGAATGGCATTTCTGGCTGACACAATGGCCTTGTTTCCATATTGTGCCTATTCAGCATGTCTGTCGGCATGCCTTTCAAGCGGAAAGTGGAAGAGGCGAAGAAGAAACAGCATAACGCTCTCTCATGAGGGACTGATATTTGACCATGACAAGCTCGCAGTATTCATATTCAACGTCAACCTATGGACAGAGCTGTTGCAGAGCTGTGGGCCTGCTTTCCCTCCTTCCTCCTTTATGTGTCGTCCATTCATTCACTTTATGGGATGCGGTTTTGTGTAACCTGGAGCCAAAATTGGCAGAGGTGGCAATGTAAGATGCTGCGTCCTGCAGTGCAAGGGAGCCATATGGAGCTATATGCAGTCTAGCGTTCGAGTATCTATGTGTCTGATATGGAAGCGAGCAGACAGAGGAGAGAGAGAAAGCGAGACATGAGGACGAGGTGAGACGGAGAAAGGAAATTAGAGGGCAGACGGTGGGAAAGGTGAAAAGGTGAAAAGGGTGGCAAACGTCAGTGATACAACAATCGGATCCGAACAAAGGCAAGGACGGTGGTGAAGACACGCAGTGAAGCCAATCAGTGAAGCCACTGGCATGGCATGCCATGTGGGGAGGGATCGCGGGCGAAGATGGCGCAAGAAAATCAATCGAATCAAATAGGAAAACAACCGATCAGGACCGCCTTCAAACTGCATCAACCACCACCACAAGCGCTTGTCGCACACACGTTACATGGACGTACAAAGGTACAAAGGCTCTGCAGCGCGATCTTGTGTCTGTTTGACTGTGCTGCCGTCCACACCGTCACGACGTACAGGTGGCTGTGGACTGTGGAGTGTGTACCTGAGCGTGCCTAGACGCCGGGCCTGTTTGTGAGACCGACGGACAAGAAGCGCAAGTGGATGCCAAAACGTCTCTTCGCTGCATGGTGCGCCCCTCTGCTTGCACATAATTTTTATCGTCGTTAATTGAGTCTATTATGTTGCTATTAATAACAGAGAATCAAAAGAAGGTCCAAACAGAAGATATACACTCCATGCCGGTAGGAACACCCCGAGAAACGAATAGAAGCAAGACCGACGCCGTTTCCACCAGAAAACCATCCATCGGACGGACACGAACCAAGAAAAATGAATAAAAACGAAACGTTAAAAGAACGACAGGCTGCCCCTTAGTACGACGCCGGCTGATGGCCGTACGCGGGCTGTGGTTGGCCGTAGAGAGGCTGCTGCTGCTGGCCGTAGGCCGTCTGCGGCTGGCCATAGACTGGCTGCTGCGGGTCGTAGACGGACTGCTGGTCGTAGGCCGTCGGCTGCTGGTACTCCACCGGCGGCTGGCCGTACGGGGCGGCCGGCGCGGCCGGGTCTGTCGCGTAGATGAGCGTCTGGGCCTCCTTGCTGGGCTCGACGCTGCTGTAGCCGCCCCCCATGCCGACCTGGCCCAGCTCGGACTGGTGGGCGGCCGGGCGGTCGCTCACGCAGGCGCGGACCAGGAAAAAGAGGTTGACAATCGACAGCACCCAGACGATGGCGCCGAGGCCGGCCGACGCCGCCAGGGCGCCGCCCTCCTTGGCGGCGTAGCTGTTGGCCTTGACGCAGACGCCGTCGTAGCAGACGGTCGACAGCCAGAGCGCGGCCACCGAGGCGGCCCAGGCCCAGGCGGACAGCCAGAAGACGATGCTGAGCGCGTAGGCGACGGCGGCGGCGATGCGCGGGTAGCTGCGCGGCATCTGGATCTCGACAAAGAGGAGGACGCCGTAGATGAGCCACGTCTTGACGGCGACAAAGATGAGCAGGCCGGGCGCGTCCGAGTAGCTGCCGAGGTAGCCGGCACGAGAGCCAAAGACGGACAGCGCGAACGCGGCGAGGGCGAGCACGACGACGGACAGGACGATGATGACGATGCGCAGCGGCAAGAGGAACGACGGCATCTTGGCCGGCACGCCGGAGGCGAGCAAGCCGTTCATGGTCATGGCGAGGTTAGAAGTGGAGGTGGTGGTCGAGTGAGTGGTGGATAGCCGGCGAGTCTGATGGAGAGCTGTTGCTGGTGACGAGGATGGAAAGAAAGACAAGACAGACAAGCAAACAAAATACGACTTGGGCCAGCCCCTGTTATATGGACAGCACGACCAAACTAAAATCAGCCCCTTCAGGAGCACAAGAGAATTTCTAATAAAAAAAGAATACACAGTACTTTGGACAGAGGTCTGGTATGGCAGGGGTCAGGCGGCCAGGCCCTGCAAGGATGTTGCAACCTGACGGCCGACGGACGAATACGTGAAAATGTGCCTCGTAGCATCCATTTCGTTGTCCGAATTCCTCACTCAGGCGGCAAGCCCCTTGATCCGAAGTACTGTCTACAACATACTGCATGCCCCTTTTGATATCCATGCCGTTCGTTTCTGCAATATACGGAGTAGGTCATGTTAAGAATACTGATCGTGCGTCCTTGTCAAGTAAAGTGAGCCCCCCCTCTCTCAGAGTTGGGCGTGGATGCAAGAAGAACAGTTGCAGTCGACAAAGACTCAACTCTTGCTTTTGCAACCTGAAGCCGGCATTTGTCAAGAGAACCAGCGGCTCGTTTTCCAGCAAGCCAGAGGACGACGCATCCCCATAAGCATCCCCATAATTTAAACATCGACGAGGGTGTGGACTCTGCACGCCAAAAAAGGGAAACGAGACACGAGAAGTGGAGGGATAGGCGCGCTAAACTGCCGCTTTTTGTCGACGACAACGCCTTGCCAAGGAGGCTCGAGGCGGAAGCCAACCTGGCAGCAAGTGAAAGGGAACTGCAAGAGACGCGATCAGCGAACTGCGGCAAAAAAATGGAAAAAAAAGGGGGGGGCAGCCAAGACGTAGGGCGCGTCGAGCGTTGAGAAACTTAATTTCGACGACGGACTAAACACACCCTCTTTATCTCGCGTTCTCGCATTTGCCATGGAACCCTGTCTTTGGTCCTCAGCCTCAAGATCGGCGCTGCCTCTTTTCAGACCTGTGCTGGCGCCTTTTCTGTCCAGGGCTGAGTCTGAGATTTTGTGGTTAGAAAGAATGAATAGAAAAATATGTACCTTCCGGGCACGCAGTACGCTCTACTCCGTACGTCGCTTGTCTCTCAGCCGCTTGTTGTGGCGTTTGGTTCGAGCCCAGTACGACATACCTTGCAAGACAGGATCGCGCAGGTTGCCTATTCGAGCCAACACAAGTCTTTTCCGTGGCGTCCACGTTGATTTTAATTCGAGTGTGCTGCTTCTGATCAAATGGCTGACTTTGGACGGTAAGCAACACCTGTCGCGTCTGTTTCTGTTTCTGCTTCTGCTTCTGCTTCTGCTTCTGCTTCTGCTTCTGCTTCTGCTTCTGCTCTTAATATCGTAGTTGATACAAAAATGTGCAAATATTCGATGCATCTAGATTATGTAGTAAAACCAACGCCTGATCAATGACATCAATTCATCTTCGTCATCACATGCTGCATCGTATGCCCATCCTTTCTCGTAGGAACAACGACGTACAACACACCCTTACAGGCCCCGCAAGAACTCGTCGACCGAGATGGGCTTGCGCACAGCATTGTTCAGGCCTTCGTGGAACGTCACCCACACCCGCTGGCCCTTGTCGCCGGTGCCTTCGTCGGCAGCGGCGCCGTTCTTGGACCGGTCCGCGCGCGCGTTGCCGTCCACTTCCTGCAGCGCGTTGGTGGCTGCCGTCGGCACCTCGGCCATGATTCTGCCGAAAAAGTCGCGCTTGACAGACGCCTCCTCCAGGTCCGCTGCCGCCGACTTGCGCTTGACGCCGCTGCGCTTGCTGCTCCGGTTCTCCTTGTCGTCGTCGTTGCTGGGCGCGCCCAGAGCTGTGCCGGCCTGGAAGCGTGCCTGGCGCGCCGCATTGTCTCGTGCCGCCAGCGTCTTGCGCAGCTCCTGGTCGAGCACCTGCCGCACCGCATACCGCGTGGGCGCCGCGCTGCTGCCGGACAGCAGCAGCCCGCTGGCCGTTTCAAACGACGCCAGCATGTCCAGGTCGGGCTCCATGCGGTAGACCCACTGCGGGCGGCCAACACCAACGGGGGCGGCGGAGGACGGCCCGCCCGCGTCCTCGAGCATGCCGCGCTGCAGCTTGATGCCCAGCTCGGCGAGCACCTCGGCTGCACGCCGCACAAGCATCTTTTCGCCCTCGCGGCGGACACTGGCCACCGCCGTGGGGCCACTGCTCTTGCCGTTGGCGCCCGCGTGGCTGGCTGCGGCCACGTTGACCAGCACCGGCTTCACATCGGGCGACACCAGCCGCAGCACGTAGGGCAGAAAGTCGGCGGCCAGGTCCTCGGCGTTGCGGAACGCGCGCATCAGCGAGGGCGGCAGCTGCGCCTGGATGGCCTGCAGTGCTGCGCGGCTGTGCTTCTCGGCCTCGCGTGCCAGAAAATCAGCGCGGGGGCCGGAAAAGGGCAGCGCGGGACGGCCGTCCTCTCCCGCCCGCGCGTCGTCCGGCACATATTTCCGCGTCGTCGCAAACAGCTGGTGGCACGCCAGCACGGGCTGGCTCGTGTACGGCGCCAGCTCCCACTCCTGGCTGCCAAACACGCGGCGCGCGCACGCGTCGTGGAAGTGCATCCATTCGTACGCCGCGTCCGGTTTGCTGAGGAAGCTGTCGTCGTTGAACTCGCGGTGCGGGTATTCGCCAAAGATGTCCGTCATGATGCGGTCGACGTCGCCGCTGGTCTCAATCATCTCCCGCAGCCGGCCCATCGCGTAGCGCTGCTGCGCCTCGGCGAAGCTCATCTGCCCCTTGGGCTGCTCGTGCCGGTAGGATGTCTGGGCGGACGTCGCCGTGGCCGACGCTGTCCATGTCGACGATGTCGACGCTGTCACTTGCCCTGCCGTGCTGGCCGCTGTCTTGGGGAAGCCGGCACCCTCCTGGAAGACGCGCGTCACAATCTCGCGCACACCGCCGCGACCAAGGCCGCGGGCCCCGATGCCGCCGCCTTCGCCGCCACCGCTCGCGAGATCCGGGAGCACGTGCTTGTCGACCCAAGCGCGCGTCAAGTGCGGCGTCGCCGATGCAAACGTGTCCACGGATGCCGTCGCCCGCAGTCGCCGCGCCACCCACTCGCCCACCACCATCACCCCCCGCAGGTCGCCTTCTGCTGTGCTCTCGGTCCCCCGCCTGCCTGCTTCGCTGCCCGTCGCCATCCCCCACGCCGCCTCGCACAGCTTGCGCGCTGCCTCCTTCTCACACGGGATCCCTTCCTTTTCAAAAATCGTCTTCAGCCGCGTCACCACCGTCTCGACCGTCGGCTTGCCCACGTGCACAATCTCGGCAAGCCCCGACAACCGCAGGGGCCGCAGCGCCGGGTGGTAGATGTCGTTGCAGATGAGGACGAGCGGGCGCATCTGTCGGAAGTCGTCGCCGCGTCGGCTTCTGCGGCTTCTCGAGGCCGCCGTCGTCTGAGCAGCGGACGCCGCGCCGCCCGCGTTCTTCTGGTCCAGCAGCACCAGGTCGATCAGCGCCTTGACGAAGCCGCCCTCGCCGCCGCTGCCGGTGCCGCCCACCACACCGTCCACCTCGTCGACAATCACGCACACGGGGCGCGCCACGTTGGTTTTCTTGGTGTCTGCGGCTGCCGCGCCTAGCGTTGTTGTCTGCTCCACCGCCTTGACGCTCTCCGTGCCCAGGCTCGTGCGGATCCGCCCGTTGACCACGTCCCTGCTGCGGTCGTCGCTGGCGTTGATCTCCAGCACCTCGTATCCCGCCTGCCGCGCACACACGTGGGCGAGCGTCGTCTTGCCGAGGCCGGGCGGGCCCGTCAGGATGAGAATCTTGCGGTGAGGTTTTTCGGATTCCTCGTTGCCGTTGCCGTTGCCGTCCGCGTGCGGTGTCTTGACAAGGGGAACACGCTTCCGCGCACCCGGGAACACCAGCGGATCCCACCGCTTGAGCCACCGCAGCACCAGCCGGTTGGTCAGGTCGTCGCCCACCAGGTCCATGAAGTTGCGTGCCCGGTACTTTTCTGTCCACAGCATTGCGCGTTTTGGCCGGCGGCCAGATGCGGTTCCTTTGCCTTTTGTGGGTTGGGGAGCGGCTTGGACGGCCTCGCCTGCTGCGTCTGCTGCTGCCGCTGCCGGCTTCTTTTTCTCCGCCTCCTTCTGCACCGCCATCTCGTGTCTCGCTCCGTCCACAAGTTCGTGGACCGCAATGCCGTAAAAATTGCGCTGCGCCCGGCCCTCCTTGGTCTTGGACCGCTGCGCCACCATGGCTTCGTACGGGACGGGCGCCCGGGGCGTGCTGCGCTGCCGCACAGGGATGGCCCGGCCGGAGCACGTCTGTACAAAGATGGTGTTCATTGTCGAGGGCTGTGTGGTTGCTGGCAAAGTGTCGTCGGCGGCCGGGGCGGCACGAAACAATAGGTCGTAGCGGTCCTCCTCTTCGTGCTCGACCGGTACCGGTGAGAGGCCGTCTTGGTTTTCCAGGCCCCGGCTGTCATTTGGTGGCGCCGTCTGGGCCAGGAGATCGTCGAGTTCGGCTTGAGACGGGATCTGTGCATCGTGCATATGTGTATCGCCGCCCTCCTGGCTGGCATTTGCACGAGGCGCTGTAGACGTAGGCTCGCTGTGCCGTGTTTGCTGTGTCTGATTTGCTTGTGGCTGTGATGGCTCCAGTATTGAAGCAGTGACGCGTGCCGTAGTGTCTGGAGAGATATCGTCATCCTCTTCGTCGTCCGAATCGACGAATCCTCCGCGCGCAACTCTTTTCACCGGCCGAGGGGCAGAAGCAGAATCGGCCGACTCGACGGACGCCAATGGCGCCGCAACTGGCTGGCTGGTGACGCCGACGTCCATTGTGTTGGGGACGAAACCAAGGATGGGCAGGTCAGTCGCGGAACGGACAAAAGTGGTGATGTGTCTTACGGCGATTGCCCCTTAATTTGGTGTTTTGGTGTCGACGTTCTTGCCTTGTTCTGTGTACTTTGGATTCAGCACAAACGTCCGTTGTTTGCGGCAGGCGAAATGGGCATGCCTGGACGCGTTAAGCTGAATTGGCCGCCGCGACGCGTCCCACTTACACGCGTCTATTTGGAGACTCGCACATGTGATATGTCACGTGGCATGTGCGGGCCTGATGTATGACATCGGCTTCCATTTTGTATTGGATGAACTCTATTGGTTTCGATCGATTCTTCCCAAATGTAATGCTTTGTTCAAATATTGTCTCTTTACATACATCGTAGCATAACTCGTTATTAGGTGGCTGAAATGTACCACGATATTGGCAGCTAAGAATAGCATCCGCACATCGTCGAAATATCATAAGTCGACGTGAATTCGTTTCAACCAGAAGACGGCCGTCTTCTCAAATCGCTTCCAAAGTACGCCGTATAACCAAAAAAAAAAAAAAAAGATAGTCAAACTGGATCCCACATAATGACACCGACAACAGATCCAGGTCACTACCTACGTGACCTCCCCCATGATGTATCCAGCGACGTTGCTGTTGCGGCCCTGCGGTCCGGCCGGTAGCTGCTTGATCGCACTGGCCAATTTACGGCCCTCCGTCAGGCGCTGCATCTCACGCCTGTTCTGCGCGTGGTCGTATTCGTCAATCTGCCGCCGCTGGGCCACTTGAATGGAGCTGACCTGCTGCGCGGTGTTCACCTGGTCCTCCGACCGCTGCTGCTCGTAGGTCAGCAGCATCCGCTGCTTGCGGTCCTCCAGCTCGAGCATCCGCTCGCCTTGCTGCCGCTTGAAGTTGAGCTCGGCCGCGTGCTCGGATTCGCGCTGCCGCGCCCTGGCCTGCATCGCTTCCATGTCGGCTGCGGCTCTGCGCCGCGAAGCCATGAGTTCCGCGTGCGCGCGCTGATTCGTCGCCTCGATCTCGGCGGCCGCACGCTGCTGGACGACGAGGACGTCCCCCGCGGCGCGTATGCGTTCGGCCTCCACCTGCGCTTCGGCGGCTGCAATGGCCTTTTGTCGCACCGTCTGCTGTTCCATCTCGGCGCGCTCCTTCATGGCCCGCATCTCCTCGCGCCGTGTCCGTTCCGTCAGCTCCGCCAGCTCCTCGGCGTGCCGCCGCGCCAGCGCCCGGTCGCGTTCCTCGGCCTGGGCGCGCTCGAGCCGGGCCTGGCGGTCGCGTTCAATCTCCATCAGCTCGTCAGGCACGCTCACGGCACCGGGAGGCTGTGGGCCCGACTGCGCATAGTACAGGTCTTCGGCTCGGTTGCTCTTCAAGACGCGCACAAGTTGGTCTCGTACGGCCGCCGGCAGCTGCAGCACAAGCTGGGCGTACATGGTGGGCGAATATACGAGGTTGCCCTGCTGAAACCGGTTGAATGGGCTGTTGACATACTTGTACAGCCCGGCCTTTAGGAGAGCCCTGGTCGTCGCCACGGGGTCGCTTGCCTCCAGGGCCAAGAGAAGCGGCGTCTTGCCTTCGGAGCGCAGCTGAATGTCGCTACCGTGGTCCAGGAGGAATGTCATGCATTGTTCGAGTGCTTTGAGCCGCGATCCCGCCAACGCGGCCCCGTCGGAACCGTGCTGGCAGATTTCAGCCAGGGCGCTGCGACCATCGTACTCCGGACAGGGAAAGTCGACATCGTGCTTGTTCTTCACGAGAATCTTGAGCGCCGCGAGGTTCAGCGTCTTGGCAGCAAGATGCAATGAGCCGTCGTTCCTGGTGGGCTCCAATTCCAAGATATCGGTCATCATCTCCACGGCCCTCACGCCGCCGGCCTGGACGGCCATAATAAGTGGCGTGTGATTGTTGTAGTCGGCCACGTCGACGTCGGCACCCGCGCGGATGAGCGACTTCACGAGATCAGCTCGTTGACTCTGAATGGCGAGCATGATGGGCGAGGTCATCGATAGGCTTGAAACGAAGTTGACGTTGCTGCCACGTTCAATCAGGAGGTTGATTACTGCGCTGCTGATTTTCTTTTGTGGTTGGAGGAGCGCCCAGAAGAGTAGAGTCACAGGCTCGTCGCTGTCTACATCCGGCGTGGTGTGAGCCGCCACCAATTGGTCGTGGTAGTAGCCTGCATCCAAAAGAGCCTCGAGGATGCGAACGGACCGGGGGTACTGGGACAGGGCCAGCGACAAGACGGGCGCACGGTCGGGGTGCTCGAACAAGACATCTAGGCCATTCTCAGCACCCTGAATTCTTTCCTCGCGGAAGAGCTCAATGAGGCGCACTATGTCGTCCTCTGAAACACCGGATTCGAAAATGTACGAAAAGGCCATCGCCTTCGACTCGGCGCTTGGGTTGAGCTTAAGAAGCTGCTGGACAAGGTCGGCATCGCCCAATTTGGCTGCCGCTTGGAGAGGCTCGCCTTTGTTGACGTTCACATTGGCGCCGTTCTCGACAAGCAGCTGAACAAATTGCCTTGCAATGGCACTGTTGTCGGATTCGCCTGCGCACTCGCTCACACAGAGCGCAAGCACGTGGCCGAGGTCGCTGCTCTTAGCACCTTTCCCAAAGAGCAGTCGGGCCGTGTCAAGTCCCTCTTGGGTCATCCACACGTTTGCCCTTGACGGATCCAAAGCGCCGGCCAATGCAGAACCGAGGTGGGATGCTGATACCGTCGACAATGTTGTGCATAGCTCGAGAATTTCGATACTGGACCGGCAGGCAGCATTGACCAGGGCCTGGCAGCCATCGGCGACTGGCGAGGCACCGTGCTCGAGGAGAAGCCGGATGAGTCCTACATTTGGTTTTCCTTCTTTGACGGCTTTGTTGAGCGCAATGTGAACGGCCTCGGTCGGCTGCAGGCCGGCCGCAAAGAGCCACTGGATGATCTGATAGCGCAGCTCACTCTTCAGCATCCAGCTAATTTTGAGAGAGCGGGCCAGGGTGTCCTGGGATGGGCCTCCTACAGCTGGAAGATTCTTTTTCGTTATCGCGCCTGTGTCGTCCACAATGTTCAGCAGAAGCCTGAGCGTCGCCATGAAGCCATGTCGCGTACTTGTCCGGATGGCTTCTCCGTCATTGTAGTTGGTGTCGGCACCATTCTGGAGCAGGAGACGGACAAGACCAACGCCGTCGTCTCCGTAACCAGCTGACGTGGCAAGTTCTTTATCAACGACCATTCCAGAGACGCCGTGACTCAAGAGAAGGGAGAATGTGGCCTCGCGCGCATTGAGGTCGTCGACTGCACCGGCCTCTTGAAACCCGCGAGACAAGGTCTCTGGCGTAATTTCCGACCGGCTTTTCAGGAGTGTCTGTAGGACATCCGACGCCCCAGACCTGCATGCCGCAATAAACGCTTGGCTGTCATTGTGGTCCGCCCTAGCGTCGTATGATACGAGCAAGTCGCAGAGGTCGAGGTCGGCGTCCGAGGCGGCGACCACTAGGGCATCCGACACGGCAGATCCAGTTGCACCAGCCTCCAGAATCTGTTTGCTCATCGCCAACCGCGTCGGCGTCTTTGGTGTTGTCATCACTTCGTACAAAGCCGAATTGAGAACCTCAACGTCAAACGCTTTCGCCGACAAAAGTACAGCCACCAGGTCGGGTGTCTTGGATCGGGCTGCAGAGAGGAGGGCAGCGCCTTGGTTGCCGTCCGCGGCGGAGGCCAAGGTCCTGATGAGGGGATGATCTTCCGGAAAGTGGACGACGGCGTGATTCAGCGTCACATTGACCTCGGACGCAGGAACACCAGCTTGCAGCAGCATTTTCGCCACGGCTAACCGGTCCATGGTGTCTGTGATGTTAAAGATGCGCGGGATGGTCTTGATGAGCGAGGCCTGGCTTGGTTGGCGGCTGAGTAGCATTTCGACAATCTGGACAACGGGCGCAGCTACGGCATGGCCAAGTGCGTCGGCGTTGTGCGCGTTGACATCGGCACCGGCAGCCAAGAGCACCTGAACAACAGAAAGTATGCGCTCTTGAGGCGGGGCCTTGACAGAAGTCACCACTTCGGAGACGAGCAGGGCGTCGAGCTGCTGTTTCATGTCGCTGTCCGCGAAACGGAGAAGAGTTTTCAGTTTAATCGCTTTAGCGGCTGTTGATGGATGGCTGGAGAGGCAGTTGAGTCCGTGCAAGAGCGTATCTCTGTTGGCTGTCTTTGTGGCCAGGAGCCGTTGCAGAATGTCATCGTTGGGCGAGGAGGCAGCCAAAGCAACAGCCTCACCCCCGTTGTAGTTGATGTCGGCTTCGCCTTGTACCAAGAGCATCTCGACAAGCTCCATGTCTAGCGCCGGCTGGCTTATGGTATGAATCAGGAGTTCAGATACAGCAGCACGCTCATCGCCGACGCCAGCACCGAGGAGCAGGTGGACGACCTGCCGCCGGGTGTGAACGTCGACGAGGGTCTCTGTCTGGGACAAAGCGGCAGCCAGAGCTTGTTTGGTCGGAGTGCCCTTGTGCAGCAGGTCCTGCATCAAGTCGACATCGCCGTTTGCCACAGCAGAGATGAGCGAGGCGTTAATGTCAGCATTGGCTCTGAGCAGCGCCGAGATGAGGCGCTGGTCGCGGGCCTGTGGTGGCTCTTGGATCGCCTTTTGGAGGGTCTCCGTGATGACCGGTCCCGAGAAGCCGGTTCTCAAAAACATGTCGGTCATTTCGTATCGTTGGTCGGCAGGGAGGTGAAAGATGTCGGGAAAGGCCTTGGCCAAGGTATTCGGCGAGGGCCGCTGAGGGCGCGAGTACAGCATGGCGGCGACCATGTCAAAGTTGGCTGCCTGAACGGCCATCCGCAAGGCCGCACCGTCTTTGTGGTCGACCGAGGCCGTGTGGTGTTGCTGGTGGATGGCGGGCTGTCTGTGCGCCATTCTTGTGTCATCTGGCGGGCCAACGTCGATGTGTTCTGGGTAAAATGGTGTAAGCAAGAGTCTGACCGAGTTTACATCGCCTGCTGCGGTTACTTCGATGAGGTAGTCATTGAGACGGGCACCGCCCGCCCCTTTGCGGAGGAGGAGGAGAAGCAGCTCGAAACGCTCTTCGTTGCTGACGTTCTTGGGGAGATACGTGATGCACTTTGAGGCCAGCTGGGGGCTCACGGCGACAGCTTCGGAGAAGAGAATCTTGGCCAAATCCATTTGTTTTTGAGCCAGGGAGCGACGTAGGACAGCGGCGTTGTTGTACTCGACGGACGCGCCGTAGTCTGCCAGGAGAGAAGCCATGGCGGAGAAGTTGGTTATGCACGACTGTGCTAGATGGTGCGCGACGATGTCACCGTGTGCGCCGGCGCAAAGCAGAATCTCTGCCATCGCCATCTTGTCGTTTGGCAGGACTGTGGGGTGCTCAAAAAGAAGCTTAAAGGCACCGTTGACCGACGAGGTATGCGGTGGGTGCATGCCAGTGACAATGGCCAGCGCAATGTCGGGACGGCACGAATTGATGGCTGCACAGAGGGCGGCGGCCTTGTCGTAGTTGCCATCGGCGGCCGAGCGGCTCAGATGCATGACATTCTCGATGCACCCATGCTTGGCAGCATCGACCATGGCCAGTGATAGGTCGGAGGCATCTGGCCGGCCGTCTGATGCGAGCAAGAGGCCGACCAGGTCAGCATTGGCATCCGCGGAGCAGAGCTGGCGGAACGCATCCAGGCCGGCGGTCGTATTGGCCACACCGGCACCATAGCGGAGCAGGTGTTTGACCATCTCGGGGTGGCCCGACCGGATGGCCGCGGGGAGAGCGGAGTCCAGGGTCATGGGGTCGGCATAGGGGACCAGAACGGCAACCAGATCCGGGTTGTTGAGCTCAATGACACGCTGCAGCAAGCGGCTGCGCTCCAAGGACTCAATGCTGCGGCGACGGGTGAGCTTGTTGACCTTGACCTTGGTGTCGACAACGTTGACGTTGCCGCCGACGGCCGTGAGCTTTACAACCAAGGACTCGGCAAGGGCAGCCGAGCCACCTTGGCCGATATGCTCTTCGAGGGCGGCAAAGATCTCGGCAGGCGTCCATTCTTTTCGTTTGGATGTTGTGAATGCTCGCATGAGCGTGGGTGGCCGCTGGCCTTCGGCGGCCACACGCCTCTGTCTGAGCAGCTTCTCTGCGTCGTCGTCGTCAAAGGGCGTGCGAACGCTGTATGGCTGCAATGGTTTTCTGAGTGGAGTGACGGGAGGCGGCGAGTGGACGCCCAGATCGGCTCCGATGGCCCCCAATCGCTGCAGCCGGGCAGTGGCGCTGACGCTGGACGCATCCATCTCAACGGCGGCCGGGACGGCCATTTTTGTAACCCCACACGCTGGGACGCAGCCTTGGTTCGATCAAAAGGAATTCCAAGGGTGCGAACTATTGTATGTCCAGTATGTCCAGTATGTCCAGTATGTCCAGTATGTCCATGAATCGGAGCTGCCCAGTGCGCAACGAGGCGTTATTAGGACATTGGGTATGTTGAGAACGAGACCGATGCGTGCGCGTGTCTAAAAACACGCGCTGTGAAGGCAGTTGGGCCAAATAAAAGGAGCTAGAGACAAAGGAAACAGAAATGCAGAGATACGGGCCACAAAAGAATATTGAACACTCAAAAAGGCCCTCCAAAGTACGAAAGAAGACTTGGATACTTGGATGTTAGGGGACAAAAGACGCCAAGCAGCGCACAAGAAAGGCCGGCTGTACCACCAAGGCGGGGGGGGGGGGGGGGCCGGGCAGGTTTATGCGAGTGCGGCTACGCTGCTCGAGTAAGGACAAAATCGGGGGCAGACAGAGCGGCCACGATCGGAAACATGTGGCTTGCTGCAGATCGTCGGGAATGTGCCAAGAGTGTAGAGAAAGCGAGGCGACGAGTAGAAGAGATGGGAGACGAGGTGTGCAATAGTGAGAGATGTGAGGTGCAAGCCGTCGGCGAGGATGGGAAGGCGACAAAATCAGGAGACGACAAAACAAGATGTAAGAAAGGGACGAAGAGGGGGACAAATTGGAGACGGGCGAGGCTCAGCCTCGTGGTCGATTTTGGATGACTTCGTAGCGCGGGCGTCTGATAGGCGACAGATGCCAGCCGAGGAGAAAGCGTGCGGGAGCGGTTATGCACAACGGGCGGTTAGTGCAGGAGAGATGATTGTCGTATGTTGTTGAGTTGTAGGTTGCAGAAAGAGGATATTAATAGAGCTCGAAGACGGCCGAGAAGACGGAGATCGGACGAGACGTGGAAAGAGGAGTTGGGGTTTCAGAGGGGGAAAGGGGAAGGAGCGGCAGGAGCTGTCATTCCAACCCAAAGGAAGAAGTTGCGACTAGGTAGGATAAGAAAGTCCAATAGTAAATAAGAAAGAGCGAATGAATAAGGTGTAAATGCATGATCGAACGCACAAAGGGAAAGAGCGAGGCGCAGGCAAGACGAGGCACAAGGAAAGAGGCGACGCCAAGTACGGCGTTGGGGTTAAGAAGAAGCGCCTTGATAAAAACTCGCGGCCTAGGCTCGTCTTGGGCTTTGGGAGGACGCCCACAATAGTGCCAATAATACGAGGTTCTGGGATGCTGGCACCAGACCCGGCCTTGAACTAAAAGTACATCAAACCAGCCGGCGTCACGTCACGGGAACTTGCGCGGACGGCTTCCTCTCTTTTGCCTCCCTTTTGCCAGGCACTCAGGCACGACCAATGTGACGGTGGATGGAGGGTTTAGCGCACGAATTATCAAGCTCTTCGTCTTCCAGGGAGTGAACCGTCGGTTAGCGGCTTCACAGTGAGGAATGTCGGTTGGGTGGCGTTTCTGGAACAGCAAAACGCACCAAACATAAACATACCAAACACACCAACTGCACCGCCTCGCCTGCTCTGGGCGTAGCATTAGGCTATGTTACGCCACAGACGCATTCAAGGTAGCAAAGAAACGACTCTGTGAGTGAACGAGCGTAATTGATTATGAAAAGGCAGCTTGATAACTGGCAAGATTCTAAGATGCCGTGTAATCGCCAATGCTAAGCTTCTTTGTCCCAAAGTGGGATAAAGGTCCAAGAGGCAGTGGAGCTCGAACGTGGCACTAGTGTCATTCAATGCAAGGCAGGTGCGCCCGCTTCGAATTGTGTCCAAAGAGCTCTCCGTCTCGCGACTCCATAAGCTTGAAGAATACTTCATGCAAATTATCTTCTTTTACCGTGATATGCTCCGTAGTCTTAACAGCTGCAGAATGCAGGGGGCTACCCTTCCTCTTCTTCTCCAACATGCCCCCTGAGCCCCCTTGTCAACCACTGACGCAGGTCAGATTCCAGGCATCAGCATTTCTTGTTCCCCTTTCCTCGGCGCCCTATCCGCGTGGATTCTCCGGGGTGTTCCACCGTCTTTCCAAAAATAAACCAGACATCGCATGTTCTAACCAGAAAAGAGCACCATGCAGGCCCAAGGCGGCGCGGTAAGGTTGCAAGTCGTGATCTGCGCGGCACGGTGTTGATACCGACTCCCTCGCCCGTGACATAATTATATGTGATGTATCACGTGACACGTCGCAAGCTTTAGAGTTTGGCTTTTCGCAAGGACCACTGAAAATACGTCACTTTTGGCGCTCCAATTGCATTCTGCACTATCAACGGAAAGTATGAAAAAAAATTGTCATGAACGAATTCAATCTATGGATATATAGCAAGGTATATAACAGAGACAAGTACGTTTTTTTCTGTTTCATTTTTTTGTTGGTTCGTGCCTGTATTTATTTTGTATTTTGTATGTATTTGTCTTTTCCCCTCCATTTCCTTCTATGCGGAAGCAGCGTTGGCGACAAGCTGCTGAAGGGCGGGCGGGTTGGCACCGACGATCTCGCCCGTCTTCTTCTCGTCGACAAAGGCCAGGAAGGTGGGCATGGCGCGGATGCCCTGCTCCTGGGCGACCTCGGGAACGGCGTCAACGTCGATTTTGGCAAAGTAGATGTTGGCGAAGTTGGGATCTTCGGAGAGCCTGAAGGTTGTCAGCAGGCAATCAGACCAGAGCAGTGTACTTGCACTGTAGAGAGAAAGGAAAGAGAGGAAAGACTCACTTCTCAAAGATGGGCGAGATGATCTTGCAGGGGCCGCACCAAACGGCATGGAAGTCAACAAGAACGACTCTGTTCACCTTGCGGATGCTGGCAAACTCCTCGTAGGTCTTGATCTCGTGGACAGTCATGTTGGGCGAAGAGGCGTGGAAGGCGCGGGACGCGGTAGATCTGGTAAGCGGAGTGGTAGCGAAGCGGGATGCGATCGTTGGACGAGCAGTAGTAGAAAGTCGGTTGAAGAGCGTGCGTGATGCAGACATGTTGAGAAAAAAGAAGGGAGAAAAAAAGAAGAGAGGTTTGTCAAAGAATGGGGCAGGAGGTCGACGCTATATACAAAACTGCGTCGCATACACGTTTCCCGTTTACTGGGCAGAGGCGAGGGGCCGTGGAAGGCACGGGGGGAGGGGTCGATTGGCTCAGGGCAGGAACCGTCTGCCAGCGAGCCAGCTTAGAAAAGATTAGATGGCGTGCAGTGACAATGGATGGAGCTGGAAGGTGGCAGGAGCGACCGCGTTTCGATTAGCAAGCACGACCGGCGGTGGACGGCTGGCAGAATGGAGTGCAAGAAAATCCCGAGCTTGGAGCTTTGCACCATTTGGAATGCGCGACATGCTGCCATTCTGCCGAAAGGCGGGGACGCCGACCCAGCGCAACGAGGCGTGTGTGTGTCTAACGTGCTCCGTAATCCATTGTCAGTCAACGCCTGGCGCGACGCAGTTACAGAAGGCTGAGTCCGACAGAGTGCTGTGCCAGCTTTTTCTTCCAGGAAGGCACCAGAACGGCGGGGAATTATCGTGCCGGGTTTTGGGTGTTGGCTCTGGGTAGGCTAGTCCCAATACGGCAATCGCCAGAGGCTGCTGTTTCCAAATCACAGCGCCCATTTTCGGGCATGGTTAGGTAAGCTGGGCCTCTGTAAATTTAGTGAGCAACGGCCCCTTTTAGCGTAGCAGGCGTTGCCCGTTGACAAATAGCCTCGACTGCCAAAAACAGCAGCAACCACCTACGATTTCCCTTCTGGGACATACGATGATCTCGACGATATTGTAATCTGTGTTTTGCCGTGATGCAACTTTTGGCTTTGAGCAGCTGGCTTGTCTTGCCAAGCGAAAATAGGGACAACTCAAGCTCCTTTGAGAATTGCGTCGGCTGCATTCGTGGACAGTCACGTAATGACAGCACAACAAAGCAGTTGTTCGTCTGATCCGGTTTGAGGCTTGCAGAAAAGCAGGGCAAACAAGGACAGATAATAGCAGCACCTGTATATCGTACAGAAGATGTAAGGCTGTCAGAAGATCCGTGGCCGTATTCCAGTTTACATGCTGAGAGCGGGAGTGGCGGTGCGGCGCCGTCTTGGATCTACCGCCAGCCTTATGTGTACACGTACAGCGAAATATGGCGCCCGGTGTACGAGACAAAAGCCTGGAAGGAATGCAGGCCGTTCGCAAAGAGTAGACTGTTCTCGATACGTAGGTGACACTCCGTGGCCGAACAAGCACGGCTTCGCCATGTTAGCTGTTGGAATTCCCGTTCCGGGAATGGATTCGCCATATATTTCCGAAGAGGGGTTCACCGTGATTGCGAACGTAGCTTCGAGGAGGGACGTGATTTTGGTGTGCTCTGACACCTTTTGGTAGTTTTGGTGCGTTTGATAGCGCAGGCCGGGATGTTGATTGGGCAGAAGTGGTGATATGGCAGATGTCGCTACCGCAACCCCGGTTTGCGACATCAGTCGCCGGTATTTTGGGTCCATGCAGCCACGAGCCATGCCGGGACCCGCGTGGCAGTCATCGCGAGAGCGGCCGCATTGCTTTCGTGGGGAAATATAAATACAAAATGGAAACTCTGCTTGATTTTGAGTATGGTGTACGGCGTGCTGTCGCAGCCTCTATGATATTGCCTATACAGACAGCAATACAATATAATGGCCGCCATCACATCTTCGGACACCGTCGTGGCGGCTGACGTCGCGGCTCACGCCGCCGCCGCCGCCGCCACACCTACTAAACGCTCGTTCCGGTCCTTCATCTGGGACACCGACACACACCTCAAGACCCCCGAAGAGCGCCGCCTGCTGCGGAAGCTCGACTCGGCCATTCTGACCGTCGGCTGCCTCGGCTTCTTCATGAAGTACCTCGACCAGGGCAACCTCGCCAATGCCTACGTCTCGGGTCTCCAGGAGGACCTGCACATGTACGGCAACCAGTACACGTACGCCACGTCCGTCTACACGGTCGCCTATGCCGTCATGCAGATCCCCAGCACGCTCATCATCCAGCGCGTGCCGCCGCGGCTCTGGCTGACGGCCATGGAGGTCGGCTGGGGCATCTGGACGTTTGCGCAGGCCGGGATGCACACGACGGGGCAGCTGTATGCCTTCCGGTTCCTGGTCGGCCTGTTTGAGAGCTCGTTTTTCCCCGCCATGCTGTACCTGCTCGGCACCTGGTACACCAAGACCGAGACGGCCAAGCGCATTGCGCTGTTCCACATGACCGCGCCGCTGGGCACGGCGTTTGGCGGCTACATGCAGGCGGCCGTGTACAACAACCTGGACGGCGTGCACGGGCTGGCCGGCTGGCGCTGGCTGTACATTGTGTGCGGCAGCATGACGGTGCCCGTGGGCATTGCCACCTTTTTCTTGCTGCCGGACACGCCGTTCCGCACGCAGGCGTGGTACTTGACGCCGGCGGAGCGCGAACTGGCCATTGCGCGGGTCAACCGGGAGGGCAAAGCGGCGCCGGCCAAGATCAACCTGGCCATGTTCAAGCGGATCTTGTCGTCGTGGAAGTGGTATCTCTTTACTCTAGGCTATTTGGTGAGTTGCCGGGTGTGTGTGTGTGTGTTTGTGTGTGTGTGTCTAATTTGTACAAATCTAACTTGTATAGCTCTACGGCGAATCGTGTGGCGGCAACGGCTACTTTGGCATCTGGCTCAAGTCCGAGGGCTTCTCCGTCGCCAAGCGCAACCTCATCCCGACGGGCACGGCCTTGATTTCCGGTACCTGTGTCGTCCTCTGGGGCTTTCTGTCCGACTACACAGGCAGTCGCTTCGCCTTTGTGCTCATCCCGCTCATCTTGACTCTCCTGCCCAATGGCATCCTCGCCTTTTGGTCCTCCAACATTCATTTTCTCGAGTTTGCCTTTTTGACCGTCAACATCCACTTGATGACGGCTGTATAGTGAGCCTCCTATCCCCCTTGCGCTCTTTTCGCGGCTGCTTCTCTGCTCTCCTTACTCACCACTCCAGTTACACGTGGGCCAACGAGGTCTGCGCCGCCGACAACGAGCAACGCGCCGTCGTCATCAGCAGCATGAACGGCTTCCAGTACGCCGTCGCCGCCTGGCTGCCCATCGTCATCTTCCCGCAAACCACCGCCCCGACCTTCCGCCGCGGCTTTCCCACGACCTTTGGTCTCGTGATTGCGGCCATCTTTGCTGTCCTTGCCATCCAGTACATGATTGTGCGTGACCGGAAACGTGCGGCGGCCGAGGCCGAACGGCGGCCGTCGACCGACTCGGAAGAGGGCGAGCTGTCTCGCGAGCAAGCGCTTGTCCCCGGTAAGGACGAAAAAGTGCAAGTATAGTGTTGGCATCAGTGTGCAGAAAGTCATGTGGCTGAGGGGTGTTTCGTATATAAGCAAGTTGTCCAAATCTCTGGTTCTCCAGAATGTACATGGGAATGATTAACGCAATTTGCGACGTATTTAAATATTTAATTTAATCATCTTTTGATATGCTTTGTCCGCGAGCCAATATACGTGTGTTTTTCGACCTAAAGGTGTAGTCTATAGTCTGGGCCGGTATATCAGACTGACCAGGTCGTGGTGCGTGTCGAATGTTTGTGATCTTGAACTGCAATGCAGACACGCCCATTGCAATGAAACCAATACTGTTGAAGCTGCTTGTATTAGCGCCGTGGTGAAGATGGATCATTTTATTTCGGTACAACGTTGTTTCTCGGGTGGACGTAGCACATAAAACACTCATTGTCCCGCTGTTTTTCCACGTACGGCCATAGATAAAGGACAATACGGGATCCCGTCCGCTCTCCCCTAGTCAAACCTTTAATCGGCGGATTAGTAGTTGGGTCGGTGACGACCAGCGAATACCCGCTGCTGTACGTTTTTTTTGTTCTTTTTTTTTGTGTGTGTTTTAAAACAAAATGCTTCTGTTCGTACCACCTTCATTTATCGTCTCACTGTATGTACAATGTCCAGCCTCTGCACCAACGTCCCACATGTCTACAGCTTCGCCTTGATGGCTGCATCCTGCGCAATCAGCCGCCGCCAGTACTTGTCCTTCAGCCCCAGAATAGCCAGCCCCTGCGCCGCCCACTTGTCGTCCCAGCGCGGCAGTGCATATCCGTCGGTGCCCGGTGCCGGCCGCCCGGCAAAGTCGACGAGCCAGTTAAAGTACACCTCAAAGTCCGGGGCGATGGCGTGGAAGGCGTTGGTGGGTCCGAGCCTGGCGACGCGGTCGGTCTCCCAGGCGCGTTGGTCCTCGGCAGTAGGCAGTGGAATGCCGTTCCGGCCGGCGTAGTAGCGGGCGACGGCGACGGCCTGGTACTCGTAGACGCGGAACGAGAGGCCCGCCTTGACCTGGCCAATGAGGGTGAGGGACGGGTCGTCAATCGAAAAGACGTGCTGGTAGAAGCCGGCGACACGGTTCTCGGGCGTGGTCGGGTTGGGATGCAAAAAGGGGTACTGCAGACGGTAGCCCGTGGCAAAGAGAACGTAGTCAATGCCGTCGATGCGATGGTCGTCGCTGAACACCACGTTCACCTTCCCGTCGGCCGATGCCTCAACGGCCTTGACGGTCGTGTGGAGGCGCACATTGGGCAGGCGGTACACGGCGTCGAGCACAGGGTTCTTGTTGCGCACGGCCACCTCGAGCTTGCCGCTCACAATGCCGTGCAGGTCCTGGATAAAGTCGGACGCCGACACGTTGCCGCCCACCACCAGGACCCGCTTGTCGGCGTACTTGGCCGCCTTGCGGTACGACTTGCTGTGCTCGAAGCGGCCGGGCAGTTGCTTGGACACCTCGATCAGGTTGTCAATGGCCGGCACAAAGGGTACATGGTAGTGGCCCGACGCCACCACCACCGCATCAAAGGCCTCTGTCCACCAGTAGTCGTGCGGCTTGCCTCGGTACAGAAGGCCCGACCGCCGCAGCGTCAGCACCCACTCCTTGCCGCGCTTGTCGACCTTTTCGACCGTCGTCCGCAGCGTGACCAGCGACAGGTACGGCTTGAACAGGTCCTCGATCCAGTTGGTGATCACGCCGTACGGCCGCGACGGGTTGTTGTGTCCGAACCGCTCAATCGACACGGGCGAGTTAACCACAGGGAACGGCGTGTGTGTAAAGGCCATCGACTCGGCACCCACGTTGCTGTCGAGGTCCCAATACAGTGCCGAGCGGGCGTAGTGGTCTGGCGCGCTGGCGGGCGTAAACGCGGGCAGCTCGGATGAGGACACAGGTGGTTTGCGCGTCTGGTCCGAGGGCACGCCTGTCGTCGTGGGAAACGTGTCAGGCTCGGCATCGTAATGCCAGAGACCGCCAACCTGGTCGCGGCGGTCAAACACGCGGATCGTGTCAAACGACTTTTCTGACGCGAGTGCATGTGTGGCCGCAAGGCCAGACGGGCCGGCGCCGATCACGGCTACTCGACGATAACGAGGGGCCATGGTGTTGTATGTGACAGATTGTATGATGATAGGCAGGCGGATAGAGACAAAACAATGTAGAGGTGCGAACACAGCCACGATATCGTCAATGGTTGCGAGCGATATGGTTTCCTTTATAAGAGCTCAAACATTGCAGCGCTCGAGCTTGCGATCTCGGGGCGGACCACCACTGTGATACCTGTCCATCGGCACGCTCGTTTCGCTCGTTCACTGACCTCGCTCGTCATCCCACCTGGGCTCATGCACGCTTCTCGCGTGTTTGCTTGTCCGACCCCCGCTCAAGGTTTGGCGGAACTGCAATGCTGTTAACAAAAACCCGCCGAAAAGCGAATGGAAATGCTCCGAATACATATCGGGCCCCATTATTTGCAAGTAACGGCGAGCACGGCGACGACGCGGAGATGGCGCGATTCGAAGCCTCATCGTTTTTCGTGGGCGGCCGGGCTGCAGTGAGCCACTCACAGGCGCCCGTCAGCAAAAACGTCATTCGGCGCCAGGCTGAGCAAAGCAGAGCAGAACCAGCGAAAGCAAGAAAAAGCGTGGGAGCTGGAGATGATGCCTTTATCAGAAGTGACCATGCCCTGTCCACGTTTGTCCGGGCCGGAGAGACAAGAAAGTGGATCGGCAGGGACGGCATTATTTGTGTGGTAGTGTGGTTGTGGTAGTGTGGTTGCGTTGATTGACATTGAGAGAATTCGATAGATGTCAGTCGGGTGTATGTCGTATATGTGGGGCAGATTAAACTGTACCTCAACGGTCCTCTCCGGACCGGACACCAATTCCGATGCTGTGTTGCCCATACTGGATAGCCGTCGTGGGACACACAAACGAACACAATGGAGACAAAAGCCGTATATGCAGAGCGACGTCTGGGGAAATCATGCACGATATCGCCAAAAAAAAAATAGTAGTCAAATGTGTATATCAAAATCAAAGCCGTACGTATGTACGCAAAGGGTATCTAGCAAATAATATGAGGCGGCAAAGGCAACAAAATAAGGCCGACCTGGGCCGCAACGGAAGAAAGGTACCAAAATACAAACGAACCGCAAGACACGAACGCAGAAAGGGGCAAACACCGGGGTTTAACGATACAAGAGGGGAAGAATGGATGAGCAGAGACAACGGGAGCAGCAAGCAGACGGCACGGCGGCGCGAGGTTGCTAGATTTTTGATGATACTTTTTTTGGGTGTCCCTACGCCAGGGTTGGGGTTTTCCGTATGTTTTTTGGGCGCTTTGATTTTGTTGGTATATTTTTGTCGTATTTCATATTCTTTTCCTTTTGTTTTTGCGTTTTGTTGGTTCTCTGGCGTACGAATTGTGTTTTTCGTGTTTTCTTTTATTCGTTTTTTTGTTTCTTATTTTGGTAAGACGTGAAAGGAAATGGTTTGAAATGAGCGAATGTAGTTGGTATCGAAGACGTCAAAGGAAATGCTGAAGAGCGGTTGGTTGTCGATCCGGAGTACATCGAGACCGTATCATTTTGTCATAGCCATCGTGTCATGCTTGCTTGCTGTTGGAGCTCGTATCTCCTGTTCGCCTCTCCATCTCTCACGCACCTTACCCTGACTTGCCGTAATTCCTCACCTTGGTTGTCAGACACTTTCGCGCAAAGGGGGCCCAAAGCCTAGAACAATGGTTCACGCGACCGGCCGGCCTTGGCGTCGACCGAGTTCCGCGGCGACGGCGTGATCTCCAGCAGTTTGGCACTGCCGGCGCTGATATGGCGAGCATGGCCTCGTCCAAGATTTACGCTTGTAGCGCGCTGCAAGCCAGCCTCTTCCTCTTTAAACTCGCTGCTTGTTTGGCTGATGGGGCTTGCCATGCTCACAGGGCTGATGGGACTGTCAACGGGGTTCTCGGACCGGTCCATGCCCTTTTCGCCATCGGAGAACGAAGTCATCAGAACCTCGCGGCTCTGGATTAGATTGGCACGGTGTGACATCACAAAAGCAGCATCAACCCGTTTTTCGTTAACGGAACCCCAGCGTGGATCAACACCGTCGCCATTGACGGTATCGAGCTCGTCGTCGCTAGACGGAAGCATATCGCCCGTCGACTCTCTCTGCATAATAGCCCGCGACCCACCACCGGTTGAGCTGTGAGCAAGACGGCTGAGATACTCGTCATCCAGCACGATGCTCGACTCGTCGTCGTCCATGTGCTGAGCACAAGACACGGCCATGGTGCCGTGTGCAGAAGAGACCAATTCGGCTTCGGTCGGCGACACGGCAGGCTGCTGGCCATGTGTGCTCCCGTTTGAAGGCCACGACCGCTCGCGATGATGTTGGTGGGTTGCTGTCTTTTGGAACGAGTGCGAGACACTGTCCAGCGATGGCTGCATCTGTGACACCCGGCGGCGTGACGCCGTGCGGCCCGACAGCCAAGAGCCCTCGGAGTCGATTGACGCTAGGGATAGTGACTGCTGCGGCTCTGGCGACGGCTCGGTCTCCTCCATTTGGAGCCACGACGTCGGGGTGTCCCGCGTTCCGTTGGTCGTGCTGTTGTTGCCCATGCTCGTGCTGTCAAACGACGGCGGCTGTTGCGGGGCCTCGTGAAAGCCGGTCGGCATCAGGATAATCGACTCGTCGTCTCCACTGTTGTTGACAAAGCTAGAGTTCCGAGTGGGCGAGGAGCTGTAGACCGCTCCTTGTGTAACCATCTGCGCCTGAATAGGAGACACTGCTTCTTGCACCTCCGGCGACTGAATGCGCGACACTGGAGGAGACTTGAGAAAGTCAGGTAGGTCTTCACGGAAACGAGAGAGAGTGCGCTTCGGAACCAGGCCGGTCACCTTCATAGGGTGAGGTTTTGTAGGACGTGCAGCCTTTGCAGACGAGTTGACAGATGCAGTGGACGCAAAATAGCCCCCTGCCATCCCCGCTGCAGTTTCTGCCGCTGCAAAGCTAGATGACTCCTCAACCAGAGTCTGAGAGGGGTTCCGCAGGTGGCTGTGAGGGACAGCGTCAAAATTATGCAGAGATCTTTGAATCGAAGACTGGGCAGCCATCGAATCTCGAGATAAATTTGCAAACGACGATTGTCCTTGTGGGGTCCGCTTGGATCTCGACCTCCATCGGAAAAGAGCGCCAAGGGAGCCCCATGTTAGAGACCCTCGGCGGACTAGCCCACTGTTGGACGGCTTACGGACGACAGTGGCATTGGTCTTGGCAACAGTCTCAGAGTCTTCTTTTATCGATGATGCGCTAGACATGCGTCTTCTTATTCTAGCGAGTCGTCTAAGCATGGACGGGGTCCGTGCTGGAAGTGCAGCAGCCTCTTGCCGGGGTGCGGTCAATTCCGGGGGTGATTCTGGGGGCTCAAACTGGACAGGTGCTGTGGGGATGCTATCTGGTCGGTGATACATATCAACCGGTGAGGGTATGCGCCTGGAATTCGAAGCTGACCCACTGTTGACAGCTGGCAAATCGGCCCCGTCCTGGCGATCAGCAGCAGACGGCGTGGAGTAATCGCCGCGCAGGTCCTGCGGAAGCGGGTCATCAATGTCGCGCTCGGGCCGCTCTTCGAGCATTATCGAGTTTCGTCCCGAAGGTGTGGACGGGGGTGGAGTGGGAGACTCGCGTCGAACGGCGGACGTCACGACGGCGGAGGTAGTGCCGGGTCCAAGTCCAACTGCTTCACGGCCAAGCACACCACGGGCCAATTCGGGCGATGACCGCGGCGCCGGCGCAAGTGGGCGCGCAGAGTTTGCGCCAGCTGGTTGCTCAGACTGCAAATGCCCTTGCTGCAGACGGTGCTTCTCGGCCTGTCGAGCTAGTCGGCGCGCAGCCCTTTCTTCATCCTGGACTCGTCTCCGGTCTCTTCGCCGCGCATCTCTCTCCATTAGTTCTCGCAGGTCGCTAGCGTTCATATCGTTCGCTAGATCGTCAACGCGCTTGTGCGCCGTTAGCGTCGCTTCGGGAATCGGTTTCGAAAGCTTTCTCTTTTGTGAAATACTGCGCGCAGGAAAATAGCCGCCACCGTTGCCTGGTGCGCTGGCCCTGGGTTGCGAGGCGTAGCGTAAAGTCGGCTTTGGTGCCAAAGCAGCAAAAGGCGAAATAACAAAGGCAACCTGGTCGGAGTCGGATGACATGGCCGAATCGATGGACTCGGCCATGGGCAATGAGATATCGCTCGGAAGCTTTCGAGCATATCGGGCGGCAACGCTGTTGGGATGGGCAACCCTCATTGTTTCTCGCTTCATAGGACGGCCGGCGGTCCACGATTCTGCTGCAGGCCGCGTGGGTGTAAAGTCACAGTTGTCGTTGGCGTTGCTGGGATTGCTCAAGGCCTTGATCTTGGCCTCGCGCGCGCGGTCGTCCGCATTTTTACGCCTCCTGCTGCTTTTCGTTCGCGACATACGTTGACGCCCATCGCGTTTGCTGTTGGAATGGTGCAGTGTTGGATTGCGCTCGATTTGGGCGGTATTGCCGCCAATGCCGTCAGTCGCTGAGCCATTGAGCGGGCCGCCATTAGCGTGAGGTGGCGAAGGGATAGATGGCTTGCGACGCGCCGCGCCCTTCCAGGTACCAGCGTTGCCAATCTCCAAGTTGTCGGCGCGGCCCGACTCAAAACTGTATGTGCGTATGCGGCGCTGGAGTTTGTTGGGTTCCGGACGTTGGTGTTTTCTACTGCTAGGACGTCGCCGGATCGGCGACGAAGAAATCGGGCCTGCAGCGACCGGTCCACTCGGCGCGGTGAAGCTTCGCGGCATTGCGGAAAAATCATCCACAGGTGAGCTGGCGCGACCTCGTTTCCGCCGGCTCTTTCGTTTGAACAGCCAGAGAGCCATTTTTGAGTTAAAAAGCTGGCTTGTTGGCCCAGCAGGCCGGCAGCCGGCAGTTTATAGTGTTCGCTGGAGCGTGGACAGAATGCGTCGATGTTCCAACTGGTGCTTCAATTGAGTGGTGGGAGTTCTAGTCGCAGATTCGGGCCTTTTCTGTCGCGGCTAGCGCTCATGGTGTCGACGAAGGTTAAGACGGTAGAGGTTTATGACTGCAGTCAGGGCGTACTGTTTGGAATGTGGGAAACGATTGTGCTGGCGTGAGGTAAAGACAGTTGAGTGTGGCGTCGTCGATAAGTGTGAACAAAAAATTATGAGAAGAAGAAAAGAAGCAGGGGAGGCGCAGGAAGAAACGAAGAACAGGAATACGAGGAAAGAAGAGCGATGGAGAATATGTTGTAGAGAGGGAGATGGGTCTAGCGGCGAGATTGAGATCTCCAGCGGCTTTCTTTTGCGGGTTGGTTTTGCATCCAACGGGGAGGGCTGGGTAATTGGGAGTAAAAGCTTTCCGGAATGGCTGAAGAACAGCCCCACCGTGGGTGAATGAGCGTAAAAATGCGCCGACAAAAAAAAGTCCCTTCGATGGGTTCAGTATCGTGTCAGGAATGGGAAGGAAATGTTTTGTGTCAGAGGCTGGGTTTCTTTTCTTAAAATAGTGACTGAGCAGTCCTTGGAAAGCGGCCAGTTTAGCGGGTCCCGACCGTGTCGTATCGTATTCCCGTCGTTCTTCGCCTCTGCAAATTGCCGTTCTGTACGGGTTGGGACCTGGTCCCTTATCCTCCTGCCTTGCCCACTTCACTTTTGCCAGCGGCAGTTCGGTATAACCTCAGGGTTAGTTGGCTTGCTAGAAGACGAAAGGTCCAGGAGGGCTATATCAGAGGCGTGTTAATGAAGTTGGCGTGTCGACAATTTATGCACTCTCTGCCGGTGGGCTCTCTGCTAGTGGGCTGTCGGAAGATGCTGCTATTTGGTAACATGAGGGCAGGCACAGAAAGCAGGAAATGAGACAGTCTGTCGAGTGATCGATTCAGCTGGAGAGGGGCAAGTGTCTGGTAAATGGGAAGGGCAGGGAGGAAAGACAAAATGTGCAAAAGAAAGTAATAGTGAGCTTGAAGACGATCAAGACGGCGAAACTGTAACCCAAAAACGTCAGCAGGTCGGGCGACACGGAGGGGTTGCATACATCTGTGTGTGCCAATGGAGAGGTCCGTTTGCTGGGTCACAGGGGATCGTCAGCCGTTCGAAGGACTTTTCGAATAGTTGAACTGGCTGCCTTGACAGACTAGAGTCTAGCTACTCCTGTTCCTCGAATTGGCTTTTCGCCTCCTCGTTCGCTTGGGTGGATTCCCAAACCAAGTGATAAGATGCCTTGTGACGCAACTTTCCTGTATCCGTGCGACACAGAGGTCGAGAGGGTGTCGAGGGTATCTAAGGCGACAAGGAGAGAACAGTGAGGAAACGCGAAAGTGGAAAATGCATGAAGCTACCGGCATGGAGACGCTACGCTTACCCACAAGTGGCCGTCGCCTGTTTCCGCCCGCCGTTAATACGTTGCAATTTTGCCTCTCAACGGGACAGGGCTGCTCTGCAATCGCTGAAACCTGAGCGGTGAAATCGAAGAAAACCAAGACATACGATGGATGGAAGCCCTGAAGGGATGTGGAGGATGCCGAAGGAGGGGTGGCGGGTTGTTTGGCCAGCTGGTCGCAGGCTGGCTGAAGCCACAAAACTTGGTTGTAGTGGCCTGAGAAGGACAGCCGTTGGCCAACGAGAAAACAGCCCCATGCGAGGGAGGGTGTGATTGGCGGTGGGCATGAGAGGGATGTGTCGGGTTGCAGGGGTGGTCAAACGGAAGTGGAAGAACGACATGGAGGCATCGAGGGAGAGGGACAGAGGGAGAATCATTGCAGAAAAGGGGGAAAGACAGTGATGCTGCTGGCCAGGCGTTGTAGTCTGGGCCACACTGTCGACAAGCTTCCACTGCACAGGTTGACTGCAGGGCTAAATACGGTGCGTTCGCTGGCGATGCACAGCAGATGCGGGCGGGACACAGGTGTGAGTGGGCTATCGTGCATGGGCGCACCGTTTCTTCGGATGTTTATTTGAGGCTGGAAAAGTACGAACGGAAAAGCAGACGTGTGTGTGAGAGGGAGGAAAGGAGAAGGAGATATGAATTACAGTCATGGAGGAAACTACAGCTCGAGGGCGCAGGAAAGCGCGAATCGCCACAGTCAATGATTGGAAAGCTGTCTCCGTCGCTCTTTCCTGAACACGAGAACGAATCCAATACGCTCAGACTCCCTACCACAGGCAGGTCCCACGTTCCATCGCACTTTCCGCGAATATGATCAAGCTCAACCAAAGCAAGATGAACACAGGACGCTGCGCTGTTGGGCATATTGAGGAAAGACCAGTCCCTATTTTTAACAGACGAAATACAGACACCACGTGCACCGCCGTGTAAAGCAATGTACGCCGTAATAACTTTGAGTGCGTTCCAATGCAGGGTCGCTAAAGCACTTGAAATGAGGCTCAACGGAGCAGCAACGAAAGACAGGATTTAGCATTGCGTTTCTTCTTATCTTGCAAGCATTACGAAATACAATGGCCTTTCTCCTCGGGTTTGGCCAAGAATAACCATTCGTCAGACAGGCAGCTTGCATGCTCTGCACAACATCGAGGAGAGTGACGATGGAGATGCCGCTGCCCAACCTGCATGCGTCCACCATTCTCCGACAGTAAAACACACTGGTTCTCTCTCCATATGACTACAAGTTGCACGGAGTATGTCGTGGCTCGTAAGTACGACGAAGCAAGCTCCAGCAGGTTCAGCCTGGGCACCATCAGACCCGGACGCAGGCACGGTGTCCTGGCGCAGGAAACATAGCGTTCGTACGCCATTGCCAGCTCTGACCAGACGCATTGTTCCTGCAGGCTGTTTGCAGCGGCTTGTGCAATCGACACTCGTTGCGGTATGTTCGGGTACGTTAAGGAGGCAAACGGACACCGTCTGTGCCACGAAGCATGGCAAACGGAATGAGAAGCAATGCGGTGCGCCCAAGTGGTATATCGAAAGTACGGAAGAGAAAGAGGCAGCGAGAACGGAGAGCCAGGGCGATAGGACCACGGGGAAGCCAGGACATCCTAATCTGGTTTCCTGCACCGTCTTTTGTTCGTCTATTCTTGGCCCTGTCGTTGGGCATAAGGCTAACTCCACTTCGACGAAGTTCGACTGGGATCGGCGTCCTTCTCAGGCTTTGGAAGGTGTATGTGCCTTTTTTTTTTGCCTGCAGAAATGGCCAACGGACTACGAGCACTGGCACTGGCCACAGAAGGAATATTGACGGCTGACTATTCCAATTGACGGAATACAAACAGAAACGAACAGATTTGTTCTAAAGAAAGAGAGGATCCTCAAAGTCTTGCTCCTTGAATCTCACAAACTCGTACAACAAGGTACCACTTGGTGGTAATCGTTGAGGTACAGCTTCGGTGCGAGGCACATAGTATTTCTACATTCCTTTGTTCACAAAAGTACCAGCATCCCACCCCTCAAAAGCAAGGACTGCTGCCCCAAGGCAAGCTTTGCATCGCCTCTCAAGAGCTGCAGCATGCGTGACTGAGGATGCTGACGTTCGCTGTCGGATTGGACCTCTCAGTGGCCAGAACGAGGCCGGGGGGCGACATCCTTGGGCACATCCGGCTAGTCTGTGTTTCATGGCTGCAGCTGGGCAGGTTCTGTACTTTCTTTTTCTTTTTCATGTTTGTTTTTTCGTTCAGTCTCTCTCTGACAGAATACTCAATCTCTTCCACCCTCAGGTTCCAGCCTTCCTGCTCTTGCACCGTCTTCCGTCTTCAGTTGTACCTCTCGCATGCAGGTGCCTCATCCAAGACATCACCACGTTCCGTCCATTTGACTGGCTTGGATGTTTCGTTTCACGGAAAGCACCCGAGATGACTGACAGGGCTCTCAGGGCTCTCGGCTGGTGTCTTGCACCGGGACGCCTGCACGGGTTTTAAATTGCAATTTTGGTTTGCGAGTGTAATCAAATGGTTCATGCGGGCACCAATCGTCTGAATCAAGTGAAATTGCAGAGGACACAAGAGGAAACAGAGAGAGAGATAGAAAGGACAGACGACGGTGCCGGCGTTTGTGGAACGGCGACAGTCGAGGATTTCTCCGGCATCATCTCCGCTTGGGCGCACGGGACGAGGAATATCCGTTGCCATCGAATCGACATCGAATCAGAGAACACACATACTGGTTTCTTTACCCAATGTCTCGGCGCTTTGCCTGAAATAAACATACGAAAAGCAAAGAGGACAATACAGCCGTCCTCGTGCGACGAAGCAGCTCAGTACAGTCATGTTGTCAAGCCGATGGCCATTTCAGCAAACACAACCAAAGTTGCACAGGTACGAATTACAGGAGAGAAAGCAAGTCTTAAACTTGTTGAAACGCCATCGATTGACAGTCTGATACACATCTTAATATAAGTCGTAATGGTGAAGCTTTGGTGCGGGTTGGCGGCACCTTCCCCAAACGCGTTGCTGGGCAACTGCCCCACATTTAAACACAATACCAGAAACACGCGCCTCACCAAATTGTCCCCTCCATGTCACAAGTCGCGCTTCGATCATCAACAAAGAGCTCCAGCAAAATCGCCATTCGAAGCGCATCGCGACCTTTTGCCAGCCGGCACACATCACAAATACTACGATACCGACTCATTACACGACAATTACGCAACGACGCAACCATTGAGCTTCCACACCAACAAGCGTCCGACCCTTCACAATGGCGTTCAACCCGCGAATGTCAATTTTGCCGCCGAACCAGCATCGCAGTGCCCGGCCCAAAGACGTGCCCGACCTGCTCGTGCGGCTCACAGACAAGGAGATTGTCGCGTGCGTTGCCGACATGGGCATCCCGTTCTCGGTCGCCGACCTGCAGAAACCGAACCCGCTGCTCGTCCAGAAAATCTTTGAGTGGTTCGCCGAGGAGCTGCTCAACGTGTCGCGCGAAACGGTGGAGCCGGCGATGCGGGCGGCCGCCGAAGAGGTGTGCGGCAGCGAGTACGGCGACGTGCTGATGCCGGCGGACACGCGGTGCCTGATGGGCTTTTGCGCGTCGCTGCGCGTGCTGCTGGCCGAGTGCTGCGTGCGCGACTTTAGCCTCAACGACCTGTACCGGCCCACCTACGAGCGCCTCGTGATGATCCTGAGCTACCTCATCAACTTTGTGCGCTTCCGCGAGGGCCAGGGCCACATTGTCGACCAGCACGCGCAGCGGGGGGCCATGACGCGGCAGCGCGCCGACGAGCTGTACAGCGCGAACCAGGACCTCGAGCGGCGGCTCGAGGCGCTGCGCGCGGCGCGCAGCGCGGCCGAGGCCGAGGTGCGGGAGAAGATGCAGCGCAACGACGCGCTGAAGCGCAACCTGGTGGAACTGCAGCGCAGCCAGCGGCAGGTGGGCGCGCGGCTGGACGAGGCGCGCGAGCGCAAGAAGCAGCTGGTGGACCAGCTCGAGCGTCGCACGCAGTCCAAGGTTGTGCTGCGGCAGGAGATTGCCAAGCTGCAGCCGTACGTCCTGCAGAGCCCGGCGTCGCTGCAGACCAACCTGGCCGACCTGTCCAACACGCTGAGCAACAACCGCGCGCACATTGAGTCGCTCGAGCGGCGGGCGCGCGCCCTGCAAACATCGGCAGACTCGTTCCACGTGGTGGCGGGCGACGTGGCGGCGTGCATCAAGCTGCTGGACGAGATTGGCGCCGAGCTGGGCAAGGAGGAAGAGGACAATGCCAAGAAGAGCCGGCAGCGCGACGCGCTGACGGAGCGCGGCGCGGACGTCAAGGAGGTCGAGCGGGCGGAGCTGATGCTGCAGAAGCAGCTGGCCAAGTGGAACGAGCGCACGGAGAAGCTGCGCGAGCAGAGCGCGCAAAAGGCGCAGGAGGCCAAGGAGAAGATGGAGGAGCTCAAGCAGATCCACCGGACGCTCAACGAGGAGCGCAGCGACAAGGGCCGCGACATTGAGAAGCGCCGCGTGCGCATCGAGCAGACGGAGAAGAAGATGCTGGACCTCAAGGAGAACATTGAGAACGAGGTGCACAACGCCTACGACGAGTACCTCAAGATGGAGTCGCACATCAAGCTGTACATTACGGAGATGGAGCAGACGATGTGAGGGCGCTGGCGCGCGCGGTGGTGTGCAGTGTACGATCTTCTTGGTGCTTTCTGTTTGCTGTTTTCTCTATGACTGATGATGGGCGGATACCATGGGCGCGGCGTTTCGGTTCTTGGGGTGATATAGACTTTAATTTGATAACAAATAATGACTATTCTTATCGACCGCAAGACACAGATGCAAAATTGTACTCGTAGTCCCGGGCCTAGGTGTCCATGTCCTCGTCGGACAGGTCGTCTTCGTCTTCACTGTCTCTGACAAAGGTTTTCTGTGGCTTTTCTTCGACAACGTGGATAGTCTTTTTCACAAGAGAACCATCACCCTTGCCTTGCGCATCTGCCTGTGCTGCTTCTTCCACAAAAGTGTCTGGGCCCTCGTTGGCCTCATCCGTCGCTTTCATGCGTTCAACCTCAACAGGTCCAGTTAGAGCATCGTCGGTGGCAACCGTCTCTACCTTCTCCGCCTTCTGCACCTTTTCAACCTTCTCCTCCGTCTCCTCACTGTGCACTTCCACTTCCTCCTCCTTGACAGACTCCCGAAAGGCAAACCATCGCGCCAGGACAGCTTTGGCTCGTTCTGTCCGAAGCGGATAGCCCGCCTTTTGCAGCTGTCGGCGGGGACCCGTGCTCAACACGGGCATCTTTTCGTCCCAGACGTCTGTGCTCCCTGTGGTCTCGGTGCCTTCCATCTGCCGTCGTCCCCCGTCCACGACCAACACATCCAGCCCCGTCCGCCAGCCTGCCTCCACCAGCACGGCCACCGACGCACTGAGGCCCTGGCTGCTCCACTCGCTCGTGTCCCGGTGCAGCCGCAAAAAGTCGTACACCACCAGAGCCCGATCACCACGACGGGCGGGCGGGGGCGAACCACCGGAGGACACGAGAGTGTCGGCTGCCGGTGGTGCCGTCACGCGGCTCGCTGCCAGGTCGAGGGCGGCCAAGAAGCCACGCAGGTGGGCGACGGTCGGCACAAAAGCGACGCGGATGTGGCGGGCAACAGCAACCTGCAGCAGAGATGCCGTGTGCAAGACGCCGTCGCCGTCGCCGTCGCCATCGTTTCCCTGGCCGGCGTCATCCACACAGCGACGCACAAAGTCGGTGCTGGACGAGCACACGATCAGTGTCGTCGGATGGGCACAATGTGCCAGCACATGGGCCAGCAGTGCCGTAGGGCGTACAGGCGGCACAACGACAACGGGGCTGCCCATGGCGGCAGTTTGGTTCTTCAGTCGGCGTCCGGCGCCGGTTTCATGGTGTCATGGAGGGCAGCGTGCAGAAAGACGTGTATAGTCTATCATTGCGTCGTGTTTTTGTGTGGTTTTTGATGGTGTTGTTTAGTCATCGTAGGTCGTTGGTCGCGCTTTCTCAATCTTGTCGAGCCCCACTAAAACAACAGCTCACGAAGCTTGAGCTCGGTGCACGTGCCTGCCCCAATTGCCCCCACCAAACTCCAAATCAATGCCATTCCGTCATCCAAACAAGGCTTCAACCGATCTCCTCCCAACATCGACAGACACCATCGTAACAAGCACCGGGCGGCACACGACCGCCGACCCAAGGCCCATTGCCTACCCCGTAACGCACCTTCTCCTACTGAGCGGCTGCACCGGTGCCGTGCTGTGCCCGCAGCCATGGAGTCGATCTCGCGCATCTCCAACCTCCTCGAGAGTGGTGCGTCTGCAACCTTTTCCCAGTCCATGTGGCTCTCCTATTCTCCTCCTCCCCCTCCTCCTCTTCCTCCCCTGTGGAGCACTACATGCTGACCAAACTCCGCCTCTTCAGCCCGCGAACTCACACTCGATGCGTCATCGGCTGCCCGCAGCGGCTTTCGCAGCCCTGCACGGCCGCTCGACAGCCGCCAGATCAAGAAGCTGCTCGATAGCCGCGCCGACCGCGACGTGCTCGACGGCCTGCGCCGTGTCACCACGATGGCCTACCGCGGCCAAAAAACGCTGCCGTTCTTCTCGTCCGTCGTCAAGAATGTGGCGTCGCCCAACCTCGAGATCAAAAAGCTCGTCTACATTTACGTCGTGCACCACGCCGAACAAGAGCCGGACATGGCCCTGCTGTCCATCAACACCATCCAAAAATCGCTGTCCGACACCAACCCACAGGTGCGCGCGCTGGCCCTCCGCACCATGTCGGGCATCCGCGTGCCCGTGATCAGCCAAATCGTGTCGCTGGCGATCAAAAAGGGCGCCGCCGACATGAGTCCCTATGTGCGACGGGCGGCCGCCCTGGCGATTCCCAAATGCTACCGGCTCGACCCGAGCCAGCTGCCGTCGCTGCTCGAGTATCTGGGGACGCTGCTGGGCGACAAGCAGTACTATGTGGCAGGCGCAGCCGTGGCCGCGTTCATGGCCGTGTGCCCGGAGCGGCTGGACCTGATCCACCGGCACTACCGCGACCTGGTGCGCAAGCTGGTCGACATGGACGAGTGGAGCCAGCTGGCGACGCTGCGGATGCTGACGATCTACGCGCGCAAGTGCTTTCCGCGGAGGACGCGGCAGGTGGCACAGGAGAGCACGACCACAGTCAGCAGCAACAACAGGCGCAGCTCCAAGACAACGGCGGCACGCACCCTCGACCTGGGCGGTTTCTACGGCGAGCCCGCCGCCGACAGCAGTGGAAGCAGCGACACGGGCCAGGTGGCTACTCCGAGGGAGCCCTCCACCTTCCAGACCGTCGTCGATCTCGACCCGGACCTGACTCTGTTCCTCAACGCCATTCGTCCCCTGCTCCAGAGCCGCAATGCGGGCGTCGTCGTGGCCGTCGCCCGCTGCTACGTGAGTGTCGGCACCGCCGAGTACGTCCGTGATGCCGTGGGCCCGCTCGTTGCCCTGCTGCGCGGACCCCAGGACACCCAGCAGATTGCTCTGTACAACATTGCCTCTGTGTGCCTTGCCTACCCTGCCGACTTTGTACGCTACGCGTCGCGGTTCCTCGTCCGCGCCACCGATCCACCGGCCGTTTGGCGCCTCAAGCTCGAGGTGCTGGCACTGCTTTTCCCGCACAGCCCGGCACCCATCAAGTCGCTGATCCTCAGCGAGCTCGAGCACTTTGCGCGGGGGTCCGACAAGGCTCTTGTACGCGAGGCCGTCCGTGCCATTGGACGGTGTGCGCAGGCAACCGACGGTCCCGGCGGCTCAGGTGGGCAAGCGGACGCGACGACCGCTGCTCGCTGCCTGCGGCTGCTGCTCGCCCAGATCACGAGCCTCGACGGCACGCTCGCGGCCGAGTCGCTGACCGTGATCCGCCACCTGATCCAACAGGACCCGGCAGCACACGCGGCCACTGTTGTACGGCTTGCCAAGAACCTGGACGCCGCAGACGACCCGCAGGCGCGTGCCACGATCATCTGGCTCGTTGGCGAGTTCTCCGGTCTCAACGGCGAGGACAACATTGCCGCCGACGTGCTGCGCATCCTCCTCAAGGACTTTGCCGGTGAATCCGAGGCCGCCAAGCGCCAGATTGTGCTGCTGGCCGCCAAAGTGTACCTGCACCACATCAACCGCGAAGCCGAGCGGAATCCCCCACCTGCACCATCGGACGCCAAGCCAACGCCGTCACCCACACCCTCGCCGCTGGCCGACCTCGTTCCAGAAGGGTTTGCCGACGACGGCGGGTTCGGATCTCCGCCGTCGCACTCGCCTCTGCCCGCCGCGTCGCCGGCCCCCGACGAGTCGGCCGATCACCCCATCCGCCGCCTCTGGGACTACGTTCTCTTGCTTGCGCGCTACGACGTCTCCTACGACCTCCGCGACCGCACCCGCCTCTACCGCGCGCTGCTCGAGGTGCCGCAGCTGGCCACGCTGATGCTGCTCGCACCCAAGCCTGTGCCGCACGCGCCCAGTCCATCCGCAGTGCGTCGCGGGTTTACCCTCGGATCGGCGGCGCTGGTTCTGGGCGCAGGCGGCGATGCGTCCGCCGTGGCCAGTCTCGACAGCACTGGTGGCGGCACCGTCAGCCGCGGTATGCTGCATGGGATCCGGGGCTACGAGCCGCTGCCCGACTGGGTGCGCGAGGGTGACGAGCCGGACGCGCGGCTGCGGGAGACGGAGGAGAGTCTGGCCGCGGTACCGTACGACGACCGTCGTAGCGGCAAATCCGGAGCTGTGCCGGCCGGCGCGGGCCTGGATGCCGCGGCGGCCAAGAGTCGTGGCCCGGTGGTTGGCGGAGCCGCGACCAACGGCGGCCGGGCCGCCGCGAGCAAGCTAGGATCCAAGACACTTGATGATTGGCTTGCCGAAGAAGAGGCCGAAGAAGAAGAAGAAGACGACGATGACGAAGATGACGAAGAAGAAGACAGCAGTGAGGAAGAGAGCAGTGACGAAGGCGACGATGAAGACGAGGGGGAAAGCGAAGAAGAAGAGAGCAGTGAGGAGGAAGACGAAGAGAGCGAGAGCGGCGAGGAAAACGACCGTCTGATGCCGGCGTAGACCGCGTAGGACGAGCATATACAACAAGCATTTGCCTAGACTGGGCATCACATATACAGGAGTTCCGGGACAACCGGCCATTGCAATAAAAGTATGATTTTACGACAATATTTGATGATGCAAGAGTTGTTCCTCGTTGTATAAACAAATATGACGAATGGTTTTCAAAATAGGTTTTCTATTTTTGACAACTTTATTTCAGGCCGTTCATTATTGTTTTTTGTTTTTCTTTACAAAATCAATTTACAAAAATAAATAAAACAAAATAAAAGAACGACAAACTATCATAATGTTCAATCTCATCTACGATCTACAAAATCGACTGCCGATTGTGTAAGCGAGTTCCCATCACGAAGGCCGTAAGATACACCATTTGCTCGAAAGCTCAAGCTCTCTACGACTTATGCACAGCTTGACTCCTGTCTCCTGTCTCGGCAGCGCTCGCTGGATCATTGTCCCGTATCTCCGGCTTCCACCAATAAGCGCTGTAGTGGCCTACCCACCTATGGAGTTTGCTGTTGACCTTTTAGCGGCGAGTCAAACCCTTCAGCGATCCTTCAGCGATCCTACAGGCCTCGCAGGGCAGGTCGAACATGCCTACAAACTGCTCCGGCGATAAATGGTGTTGTCTCCGTTGTCTTGGTCGGCGCTCGGATGCACTGAAAGCCGCGGAAGCACCTCTATTTAGTTGCTGTGTGTCGTATTTCAGCTCTCACGTCAGTTCAAGAAGCTCTGTATTGCTGCTTTGCTTCCCAGCCTCCTGCATCTCACGCTGACCGTCAGACTTCAGTGGTCCATCCTCTGTTATCTCCGACTTCGGGGTGTGCGTAAGATACTAGGATTTTGCGGGTCACTGAGTCGTTCAGGCGCTGGAAGCTCGGGGCGTGGACTTTTGGGCCCGTCGCCTACACCTACACGCGGCCTTATCCAGCGGTCTTAATGGTCCCTGGTTTCGGTGCCAGTTGGTCCCAGCTCCTTGCTGAAAGCCGCCTAGCGCACCCGATGGGCAAGCACCCGTTCCTGTATCGGTGGCGCTGGAGCCACTAAATCAAACGTCTCGATCCGTTTCAGGGCACTCGGCAACCCAGAACGGGGATGATGTCCCCCACGGACAGCCTAAAAATACCACTCACAGCGGCACCATCAGCGAGAGCGGAACGATTTTGAGCAGCCCTTTTGCGACACGGTCGGGTCGCAAGTCCCAAGACCAATAAAAAAGACGACGGTCGCAAACAAAACTTTTGAGATCAAGCAGAGGAGTTAGAAAGCAACAAGAGGCTTGTCAGTATGCATCATCACACAATGCATTTGGATACAATATAGTCTCTCCCTCTCCCTCTCCCTGCTCCTTCCCTCGCTATCTCCTTCCTCTTTCCTCCCCTTCCGTACCTTCCCCGTGTATTCCCCGTTTCCCCGTGCCTTCCCGTACAGAATACGCTCGCTCTTTACTCTCTTATCGGCTATCGTCAACGACACCAGCCACCACTTCACCACTTCGGGGAAACCAACTTCCACACATCCGACGACTGACAGTCGGAGACGACAGCGCTCACTCGTACCGGGATCTTCTCTGCCGTCGACAGAACGAGCACGGGCATTGACTCGCTGTGACGCTTGCATGCGTTGGACGACACCGTGCCGTAACGCATCGCTCGGCTTCGGCTGACGGACGCGGCAGCCGCCGATTTCCTTCTTCTCTTTTCACAACCGCCGCCGCAGCTTTCTCACCATGGCACCAGCGGCTACGGCACCGGTGCTCGTGGCGACCGACGGCCTGGGAAGATCCCGAACCGGCCTCCCTGAAGCCATGGTGACACCCTCGCCGGCTGTGTCTTCGGCACCGTCGTCCTTCTCGGATTCGTCCTCCTCAGCAACATCTTCCTCCCCAGACTCGTCAAGACAGCCGCCGACTTCCACCTCACCACCGTCGTCATTGCAGCCAGACTCGACATCCACACCCTCGAGACCCAAATTACCCACGCCGTCCCTTCCGCCCGCCCATTTGCCCCCGTCGCCATTCCCAAAACGAGCCCCAGGAGGCTCATCTTCCGCTTCCTCCACCTCGTCCACCTCGTCCACCGCCTCCACCGCCTCCACCGCCTCCACGTCTTTTACTACCACCGCTGCTGCCAAGCCCCAGTACAACACCCGACACCTGGGCCTCCGTCTCGCTGCCGACGCCGCCAGCGGTTTCACCGCCGCCGCCTTGGTTGCGCCGATCATCGCCATCATCGACCGCAGCATCATGGAAAACGCCTCGGGCGCCAACTCCCTCGCCGGCTCTCTGCGTGCCTCCTTTGCGACTCTCGTCCGCCGCCCCCAGCAGATCCTGTGGAGCAAACCGTTTGGCCTCATCTGCCTGCTCTACGGCAGCACTTACTTCACGGCCAACGCCGTCGACACCGCCACCAGCACCGCCCACAACCGCCCCGCCTCGCACGTCACCGCCGGCGCCGCCAAGTTTGCCGCCTCGTCTGCCACCAACATTGGCGTCTGCATCTACAAGGACCAGGTGTTTGTGCGCATGTTTGGCCCGCCCGGCGCCGTGCCGCGCCCCGTGCCGCTGCCGTCGTACCTGCTGTTCGCCCTGCGCGACTGCATGACCATTTTTGCGTCCTTCAACATCCCCCCGCGGCTGGGGCCGTACCTCGACGACAAGCTTGGTCTGGGCGGCGAGGCGGCCGCCCGCCAGGCCCTGTCGCGCGCCGTGTCCGGCCTGGCGGTGGCGCAGTTTGCCGCGCCCGCGCTGACCCAGTTTGCCTCGACGCCCGTGCACCTGCTGGGCCTCGACCTCTACAACCGCCCGTGGCAGGCGAGCGGGCCGGCCGGCCATGCCAATGGCCCGGCGACCTGGGCGGACCGGTTTGCCGCCGTGCGCAGGAACTGGCTGGTGAGCTCGCTGGCGCGCATTGGCCGCATTGTGCCGGCGTTTGGTGTCGGCGGCGTGGTCAACATGAAGATGCGCAAGTCGCTGATGACGCCGCTGGAGTAAGGCGGACCTCGGCCGTCGTTCAGCGTCGTTTTCTCTGATCTGATTGCATCCCCTTCGCCTTTCATTTTTTCTTCGTCATTCTCCTCATACATGGGACACGGAAACGGACCAGGCTCATTGAGACCCATGACGGGCGCCATACGCGATTATAGACTCATACACCATTTACACGGTCTCGGATTAGACACACAGGACTTGTCAAGCATTTGTTGTCGTTTTATGGCTTTTCTCTTTATGTTCGTACTTTGTTTTGTGCCCCTTTTTCTTCATACACGCGCTATGCTCTTTCACGATACAACGGCGTCTTCGGACGGAATGCTTCGTAATGAATTGTACTACTAGCTTAAACGTGCACACTCTGGATTCGGTTCTCTCACTTCATTTTATCTCATAATTTGGCGATTTTCTTCTTTTCTGTTTCAGACCATCTCACCACCAGTCATCGATAAAGTAGAACAAACAACGCGCCGTACGCGCCGTTAAGGCGTAAGTTTCAAGAAATTGTCATTGAGTTTTTCTTTGCCCTGCAACCGCCTGCCATATGCCTCGACTATGAGCGTCTCGTAGCCCCCAAGCCTACCCACCGCCGCCCAGGAACTCCGCGCGTTTTTATCGTAACATTCATCTCCCAATCACCTTCCTGTAGGCAAGGCTTTCCTCCCAAAGTATAACAATGCCCTCCTATCCTAGCAGCCAACGCCAGGACCAATAGACGGTCAAGATAAAAAAACAAATGAGAAACAAAACATAGTACAATCTAAACGGGTCAAACGAGAAGCGAAAGAGAGAAAGTAAAGAAGACGAACAACAAGGAAAGAATGAGGAGAACACCAGCTCCTGCATCCTTCAACTCTGCTGCTCGCTCTTGAGCAGCGCCCGTAGACTGACTGCCTCGCGTCGCAGCCGCGCATTGTCCTTTTTGAGCCGCGCCGTCTCCTCCGTCTGTTCCTTGAGCTTGGCCACGAGCTCCTCCTTGTCCTCGCGGCCTTTGCCCTTGAGCGCCCGCACAATCTTGCCGAGCTCCGTGTTGAACTTCTCGTACAGCAGCTCGTTCTCCGCCGTCGCCTCCTTGTACATTTGGTCAATCGCCCGCACCTTGCCCTCGGACGCCTTGACCGTGGCGTCCATGTCGCGCTGCAGCGCCTCTTGGCGGTCGCTGACTTCCTGCAACCGCTTCGGCAGGCGTGCCTCGAGTGCTTGCACCGCGGCGGCCAGCGTCCGGAGATCGACCGTGGTCGAGCCCGGCGCAGGACCTGTACTCGTACTTGGAGCAGGAGGCCCTGCACGGTTCAGCTTTGCCATGTTTTCAGAGATGCGAGACAGCTCCGACTGCAACGACGCGTCAACCTCTTCCACCGCCCGCTTCTCTGACTGCAGGCGCTCACGCAGCTTCTGTGGTGACTGAAGGCGCAGCTTCTGTCCCGTGCCGCCAAGTGTGGATCCGTTGTTAGCAGAGGCCAGCGTGCCGGGTGTCAGCTTGGACGGACTCGGTGGAGGGAGGTGGCTCTGGCGGGTGGGCGACGTTGAGCCCGGCGGAGGCAAGATCGTGCCGGCCGCCCGCGATGTCTTGAGCGTCGGGATGTGCGAGCCACTGGACAAAGTCTTGCTGTGGCCCGGCTCGTGCACGGGCTGCTGCGGGGAATCGCCCGTCGCGATATTTTCCTTTTGGGCCGGGGACTGGAACATGCTGGTCAACTGCGGCGGGGCCTGTATTTGCTGAGCCTGTGTGCTGTTCTGCCGGCCGTGGCTCTGGAATTGTGTTTGTGACAGCGATTGGGGGCTCTTGGGAATCTTGGACGGCGAGGGCGCGCGCGGGCCCACGTTCACCTTCTCGGACGTGGTCTTAGTTGTCCGGAGAGGAATAGGGGGCAACGGGCTGTCGTTGTTCTTTGATACCGGGCTGGGCTGAACATCATCGTCATCGAGGCTCACAACAGCCATCAGACTCTTGAGATCAGACAGCGAGCTGCGGCGCTTTTTCTTGAGCGACTTTTCCGTGCCCGACTTG